TGCTGCGGCCGTTTCGGCCGGCGGCGCGCCTCACCTTGACATTCATCTCGAGCACGACAAAACGCTTTGGCCAAACATTTGAATTAACCCGAACCATTTTCTAAATCTCTCCATATTTACTCCCTGCGAATTACCACCTACAGGATTTGCCGGTTTCACACGAGCTCATACATGTTTATGATCGCCTGGTGTATACTGAATTCACAAAACTAAAAGAAAATTATTCGTTTTTTCTCTTATCAAATTTCCCCTTTGATATCGATAGTAGATCTTATCAATGTTTTTGCATATTACGTTATAAAGACCGTATTTATGATAAGTGATCGAGCTACGTGCTGATAATAAAACCAGGCAAGCTATTTTTAACAAAGAATTATAATCAGAAAGCCAGTATTAATCTCGCATTACGACGTCATTAGGGAACTTGACAAGATTAGGCGAAGTGAAAAAATATGTCGGCCCAAACCGAAAGGTCAACACACCGTGCCGTACCATGCGGAGCTGTTTGTGAATTTTGCGACAATGAATAAAAATAGAGACAAAGCCATCATTACTGGTAATAGATTTGTGTAACCTTCAATTCCTTTTCCTTCCTTTCCCGTAGGTATCGTACAGAGAACTTAATGGTTTAAGAATAGGAAGCTATGTTCTTCTTAAAACATCACCAAAGCCTAACTGCGGTTGCACTGCGGACCTATGTTCAATAGTGGGCAGTTAACGATGTGATAATGATAACGGTGATGAACCTTCAATCGTCACAAATTATCAAAGTTGGGAATCGGCGACTTCATCCCGTAATAATAGCTATTGAGGGCATTCTTCTGGGTATCGCTTAAAAATTTCATGTATGTCTGTACATACTTATATGGTCAGACCACAGATTATGAAAAGTAGTCGTGCTTTTGTATCGTAATAGATCCATATCTCTGACCTTAGCCCCCTTAAACCAGTATTAATCGGTGACGCCCATGGTGCTGTTCATGTCTATAAGTGATGGTTACCACTTTCCTTTTGATAGGATTCGTTTGCTGTTCCCATTAATAAATTAAGTCAACGACTGAATCTTTAAACCTTTAAACTCTTTAAAACTTCCTTTGTAGAGAGATCGTCTCTCCATCGACTGATAGGTCTACCGCGACATCTTATTGAATTCGCAAGAACCAAAACGTTGCGATTTTGATCCACCTATCATATTTAAATTTATTTTTCTTACAACATTTGAGAATAGAAGAATATTTTTTAAAGAGAATCATGCTTTTCACCAATATTTATTTAAGTACTTCGTTTGATTTACTCATCAAATACAATGGAATAACAAAATGGGACGTTGAAAAAAAATGTGTTCAAAACAGCCATTGTGATTGTGAGCATGGTGAGTCATGAAGAGGAAATTTGTGGAATGAGCCGTGCACCATGGCTTTAAGGAAAAATTTGTACATGAGACCGAGTTATGAGAGGTTCGAATGACAATAGTCAGTTCTTTGTACTTCGGAGGGCTTGGATAGCCGTCGTTCGGTAAACCATGTCAGAAGCTTCTGTGTATAACGAAGCACTGATAACCTAGATAGGCTTGACATCAGAGGACTCAACGCAGGTCTTCGGGCTCCTTACCTAAACCCGTCTGCCAAGCGTGACAACTACTGGCAAACCGCCCCTTATGGGGGAGGCCTATGTTCAGCAATGGACAGATAATGGTTGATATAATAAAAACTCTGATGGCAATAATGTCTAGGTCGCCGTCGTTTGATTATACACGAAGGCCTCTGGCATGGCTTATCGAACGACGGCTTTCAAGTACTCTAGAGCACGAAGCAAGTAACTCTCGTAAGTCGTATTTATTTATTCTTTTACACACATTAAAATATGTCTACAGGGTAAACTTAATGCCTGATGGCAAATTTTCAAGGGATAAGAAATTTACTGCCGCCAAGTTAGAGCTTTGCAACGAAGATAAAAGTCTTTTTCTAGATTATACTATGGAAGAATGTTAACTTTACTAAACAGATATGGGATTTAAGATCTATTTATTAATATGTAATAAGGATACTGTAATAAGGAAGGGAGGAAAGGAATTGTTAGTAATGGAGACTGAGAATCCCAATGCTAGCAATATACCCAACCAGGTCGATCTCCTCGTGGTTCTTCCTGGAAACTATCATGGTTAATTCCTGATGAATTCATCATGATGGGCTAACTGGCCTGATTTCATTCTCATCTATCACCCTTCATTGGTGCTCCGCCAGCGTTTCCCGTTAGCGCAGGCGGGGTTACCATACCATTTTCACCCATCACAAAAAAAATTAATAAGGAGTTATTTTGAAATGAAAGTTCTCTTGCCAATGTTTGGATGTAATAACAACGGGACGTCAATTACAGTAGAGAAAGCTCACCCAGAATCGAGCCATCAGAGACCCTTAGTCATGAGCGCCCATGACAAGAGCGCCAATCAGATTGCGCGCCTCGCAAAATATAATCCTCAAAATGTATTAAGACTCTATCATTAAAAACCAGCTGGATGAAAGGAAATTTTTTATCCACCATAAAATATTTTTATCTAAATTTGGTCCGAATGCATAGACTGGGCTCTAAAGGTCTTAGAGGCAATAAATAAGATCATTATTTGGCCAGTAATAATAATAAACCAGTGCACAAGAGGAAAAACTCAAAATATTTGTTAATCGGCATGGTAAGTAGACTATCCACCTCTTATAGAGAGATAGCCAAGCCCAGCAGTGGGATAACAATAGGCTGTTATGGTGATGACGATGTTGCAGTTGCTCATGAGACCAAAGTCATAAGATCCATTATGATAATTACTTAATTGTTCACCGTAGAGGCAATACAATTACAGGTTGTTCTAAAGCTATTCTATTCCATAAATGAATAAGTTTATTAACAATGGCAGTACTTATGGTACCTATATGAGCTATGAATATAAATTATTATTCATTCAATAAGACAGCATCATACCCTGATTCATGAGCATTCACTATCCTGATTGAGAAAAATCAATTTTACCAAAAACGGCTTTTGAGGGCAAAACAATAAACTGATTTAAACAATTAAACAAAATAGTTACACTATTTTGTTTAATTGTAGCACACTCACAAAACATTATGTTACCTCTTTTATGTACTTCCCTTTTTTTTCTGTATATGTTTTTTTTTGAGTATGTACCAATGTTTGTTTTTATTTGTGTGCTGTAAGTGATGCAAACAAATTGTTTGTTTAACTATCTAATATCATAGATGTGAAAGCTTGTAAAGACATTTGTACAGAAGTATACTCAATAATATTTAAGCAGCTGAAATCTGATAACAAAAGTAGGTTATATCTTAATTCAATTAGGTTACTTTATATACCGATTCAAATGGCCAAAGCCACAGGAAAGGTCAATAATTAATATATGAAATAATTTAAATTTTTACAATTACACAACTTTAGATTGTAATAAAATTAATATGGGTGATAAGAGTGAACCCTAAATGTAGATTCATCAAAATCTGTTAAGAAAAAAAGTGAAAAAAATAAAAAACTACACAGAAAAAATAAAAGAATTGAAAACATTTTAAAGTATTTAAAAATAGGTGATGGGTTCTATTATTAATATTAAAATAGGTTGGTTATAATATTCACAAAATAAAATTAAATAGAATGTTATTTGAAAAATGTAGAAACAATTTTATTATATTTCTGAGTCACATAAACACCAATGTTTATATACGTAGGCACCTTTGGAAAATTAAATGTTAAATTTATAACTAGAACAATGATTAACATGTTTACCTATGATCTCATTTCTCATTACATATTTAAATATAAGTAAATACCAAATCATAATTATACAATAATTTTCCTTAATCTTTTATTATATTATAAAGGGACATAAAATATATGCTTAATAAATCAGACAATGCATTATTGTCTGATTCTCAATCTGGAGAGTAACTTGATTCCAAAGAAGTTTTTTTTTTCATATATATATATATATATATATATATATATATATATATATATATATATATTAACGCTTTATATATATTACAGGATTTGTTGAAGAATTTTTAATAAGTATAGAGTAGTTCAAAAGACAGTTTTATTACTAAGGAATCTCTTCCACACAGCCTTTGGATAGAAGGAATTAAAGAATAAATAGGTAGGTGGTGCATTAAAAAAAAATAGATAGTACGAAAAATAGTAAAAAAAAATAGATATTATACTGCATAAAAATAGATTTTGATATACAGACAATTATCTGAGGCTAACATATTGGATAATTCTGGTCCTAATTCATGCAGATAAAACCAGAAACAAAATATAGAGAGATCCAAGAGGCATAGCCAGTAATAAATAAAATAAACTTATAAGTATTTCAATAGTACAAAGTTTAGACAATGATAATAATATTTTGGACAGTTGACTTGGGCATGACTTCATGTTTAGCTGTGAGTCATCCTAACCTCTACATTCTTCACTTTGGTTAGAAAACCTCATTACAAGTGGATGTACCTATATTTGGTATGTTGTACCTAATGACATACACAATTATTACAGCATTGTGGTGAACTTATGGAGGCTTCATACCGTACTATGTTACAGAGAATTAAAAAAGTTAAAACAAAAACACTAAATTTAACTATTTAATTATGTTTAATTATATTTATGTTGGCTTACAGATAAATAATATATTTTAGTATAATAGTTATTTTTGTCAAATCAAGCAAATATTAATTCATTTTAATATTTATAAAAAGATTCTTTTCAATACAATTGCAATCATAAAAGATAGTTATTATATCAAAATTAAATCAGTTTTATTTGTAAAAACAGTAGTTTATGATAATAAATTAAAGAAAAATGAATTATAGGTAGTTTTAAACAAAAGTGATTAAAAAACAACATTTTCACTTAAATTCATTCCTGTTTTTTTTTTATTGCCCACTAATGGACATAGGTCTCTACCAATAAGAAGCAAATATTAGCTACATTTGCCTCTTGTTGGTAGAGACCAATACCTTACTAGTCTAGCTACACTTAATTTTCACAAAGATTCTTTCTCTTGCCCTGGTTAATTGCACTTTGTTAGTGATTTGATCCTGGGGATGATTAGGCCCAGTGGGCCAATGGACCTGAGTTCATCTTCACACTTCAGACCCACACAATATTTTGTTTGTGTATATCAATTGCACAAGTGGGGTTACCATTCCATGTTCATAAATTAAAAAGCCTAAGGATAAAATAGTGATTTTTATAAATAAAAAAAAAAAAGAAATCTTGGTACTTACATAAATAAGTCCAGAGTAATATCTCTCTTTGATGTTGTGGAGGACTGATGCCTCGTTGAGGCAGGTCAGCTCAGCCATGTCTTCCACCTTGTCAAACTTGGGCGGGTTCATCTTCTGGATATCATCTATAGGCACCAACATTCTCTTGCCCGACTCAGCAATCTCCACTTCCACTTCATCACCCCTATCCCCCTTGATCCCAGCCGCCACGAAGCCCTGGGTTTCGTGGGGCACCCAAACCAGCCGCTTCTGCGTCCATTCCGCCTGCGTCGCTGGGTCATTGAAACTGTTCCTATCAACGGACAGGTACCGGAGTTCCGGATCGTTCCTATCCATGTCCACCATCGTGCCGCCTAATCACGCCGCGCGGCCCGACCTACTATAACCTAACAAGGGCACTGTATACCACATTAAACGGTCGCGGAGACCGGCACTGCACCTCACAACACTTGGCTTTTTATAATAATCACCCCGCGTTATACTTTTACCACGCGTTTGCCGTGACTGCGCACGGCGATAGTAAGTACAAAATGACGATAGCGAGCGGCTGACAGAACAGCAACGGTTATTACGGGTAGGAGGGATGAACCGGTCGACGCCCGAATCCACGTAAGTTTGGATATAATTAGTAAGAAAATGTTCTTGTTGGAATTTATAATAAGACTAATTTAATAGTTACTTTAATAATATTAACTAAGTAAACATACTGATGATATAGTTAATAGAAAAAAGTAAAACAGCTTAAAACTGTAGGAGTACACATTGGGACACAAACAACTTGTCCGTTGACTTAACTTTGATTTCAATTACAAATTTTAAGCAGCTAAATTTACAATAGTTATTGTAAACTAAATTCTATTCTTACCGAGTACGGCATATTTTGAAATAAATCTATAAGAAACCAAAGTGTTGCCATAGCCAATAGCAAGCTGTCTTTCCGGCAGATACCTTCGTTACTGTCATATTTCTTGTAATAGAAAACAAAAGTAAAGGGTCCTATGAACACAGATAGAACATAGATTTTTGGTTAAAACCAACATTTAAAGACTTCTTGAACGGCAATTATGTTAAAAACATTGAATTTTATAAGTAGTGCAAAAAAAATATTATTATTATTACATTATTTAAACATGTTGAAAAATACAGTCTTACCGATAGAGGCTTTATATCTCTATTAGCATTACTATAATTCTGATTATAGATCATGTTTCTTTCTACTTATCTATGAAACAAATATAATGAAATCTATGGAGCAATTTCCAAATGACACAATCGTATTCTTATTATACCATAGAAAAAAAATGACGGAATACATCGATAGTATTCTTAATCTATGGCACTACTAGTAAAGAAGTAAAAATGTGACACAGAATGAATATTCACATCGTTATGTTACAATACTATGCAACCACCTATCTAAACCACGCAATAAAATAAATGATTAATAAATATCGTGACTTAAGTTGATTATGTAGCGTCATTACTCTCAAACTATTTTCTAATTTAAGACTATAATAATCATAAACTAAATTTACAATAATATTGATTGAAACTATTAGAAATTTATTTCATGTGAGGTCTTAGAATAAGATTTCGTTGTGATATACACATTTTAATTTTACAGATAGGTTTAGAGAATTGCACATCTTTACACATAGTTATTAATATTCTTCAAAAACACTTATACTATAAAATAAACTACATATTAACAAAAATGTCTGAGCAGTTTCTTCTTTTAATGTATTTTCAAAATCCTACTTAGGTATAATGATTTTCTTTGTGAAATCATATAATGAATAATATAAAAATTTATAAAAGTAGTAACAATAGCAGTTAGATGTAATTAGTTAGATATTTACAATAATAATTTATGAAAAAGTATCAAATGAAATTAATTTTAGTATTATTGTACACCTATTAATAATTTCTGGCGCGAAGACGTGTGTGTATTTATGTAGTTTGTGGCGAAGACAATAACTTATATTCTTGTAGAATAAATATATTCATTATAATGTGTTTAAAATAATGATTTTTAAGGTTCTGCAACAAATGGTATAAAGTAAGCCTTATGGTGCGACTTTATCTGGCCGTCCGTCCGTTTGTCACAACGCTATATCTTAGTAATTATTAATGCTCTAGATTTGAAATTTGTTTTATATATTACTCGTCACACATTTAGAAATAGAAGTAATTAAAAAGATAATAGAAACTTAATTTTCTAGCCATTCAATCCAGAAATAGCTGTTGTTACAGTTAAAAATAATTCCTAATTAAAATAACTAATATTAATTATTAGAAGTTTGTTTTATATAAAAACAATACAATAAGGTGGTCATTTTATACCACATATTATTATCTACATATATTAATGTTCCAATAAATTTTAGTACTATATTTAGCGAATAAATTTATTGTTGTTGTTGGGTGGGTGGGTTGTTAAATTTTCGATTGGGATAGAATATTATATACTTACTATATAAGCTAAATTTTTGAAATAAATAGATTCCATATATTTTGTACAAATTACAATACAAATGTTTTTTGATCCAAGTGACGACAGCCTAACTTTATCTTTTAATTACTTTTGTTTATGTTGTTTGAACTTTCAAGGTTTCTGATTGTAAAAATCAAGTATTGTTGATAAGATTATTGAATTGACATTTATTTCAGATGTGATATTACTATTGTAGGCACAAACGAACCGTTAAGACCTCTATTGTTTTTTATATTTATTACTTAGGTTATTTATTATATAAACTCGACCTCATTTTTATAAAACTATGGCTTACATAGTGGATTTACGATCGGACACTGTAACTAAACCTACAGAATCTATGAAACATGCTATGGTCAATTCAGCATTGGGAGACGACGTAGTCGGCGAAGACCCTACAGTGAATGCCTTAGAAAACAAAATAGCTACTATGTTAGGAAAACAGGCGGCTTTGTTTGTGCCCTCTGGTACTATGGGTAATCTTATTGCAGGTACGTAAGTAGTTTTAATTCCTTTTTTTTTTCGATTTATAAACTGTCCCTTAGGGTATCCACTGATCCAAAAACTTACTAAAGGAAAAAGTTTCTAATTTTTTTTTATATTATTTTTATTTGTTGCCAATTGTGATCCTATTTTATTATTCTTTTCCAAATTACTTGACCCCATTTAAATTTTGTAATTATTAATGTGTATTGTGTGTGCCTGCTTTAATGTGTTTACAAAACATCCCACTATCCATCAGTTTTTTTTTTTTATAATATGAATAATATGACTAGTCCAGAAATTCCTAAAGTTCTCAGAACATAGGGGTTCCATAGAGGTACCATTAATTAGTGCCCCATCAGTGTATACAGATAGCGTAGGTGAGGTTTCCATTCCATCATCATCCACTAAGGGGTTCTATAGAAAGGTCTGTAAATTTATTTTTATTTTTGATTGTTAAATAATACCACTGTTAAGTAAAAAATTGTTTTGAAATAATATATGTCTATAAAATTAAAGAACGAAGTACTTCACTTTTAAAGTACTTCACTTTATTTTTAATAAGTTTTTGGTCTCATTAAAATTACTGTCTTTGTAACAATTTAATATGGGGTTCTATAAAATAAAAGGTATTTGGTAGGTATTTATATATTTACTAATTCTTTATAACACCAAGTTCTCTTAAAGTTTAGGATTACATAAACTAGTCCACATTAATTGTGTTATGTTTGGAAGACTTTTTTTGGCTTTCTTATATATGTTGATCCTTTGTTTCATATGCAGTTTGATAGTTTGTATCAGAAACAATAGTTACATTCTCATTTTGTATTAAAGTTCCTAACATTTCTAATTGAGACTGATTTTCAGTGATGGTTCATTGTAGCAAGCGAGGATCAGAGGCTATTGTTGGTGAAACATCCCATATCTTCAGATATGAACAGGGTAAGGAGATGTCATGAACTAATTTTGTTATGATAACCTACTGTCATACAACAGATATATTATCATAGTGTTTCTTGGCGATATAATTATTTACCTATCTGTGATTACAAATCACAGCATTGTATTTTGTTATATTAATTTCTAGAGTTAATGTTTTATTAGGTAAAATACACTGGCTGTAAAGGACAGATTGGTAAAAACGGAAACAGTGAATTCAGACCATTATTCTGAACTGAAATACAGTGGAAATTCTTGCTGGATTTTTTTTTATTTATGATTATGTAATCTGTGATATTATGTCCTAATATAAAGAAATAATAATATATTTAATATTCCTATTAAAATTCTTGTGGAATCAACTGAGTAAGGTCAACGATACATGCTTATGAAAACTACCTATGAATAATTTGCGTAAGTTTGATCATGTCTCCAAATATCGAAAAGAATTGAAATGGTTACCTTCACGTTTTCGATTGAATGTCCATATACTGACGCTTCTTTACAATATCTTGCATAATCCCTCCATTCCTTGTTATCTCCGCGAGGGTTATGAATATTTATATTCAAGAGATAAACCACTTCGCCCTCAGACACGATTACTTCTAAGAACTCCACCACATCATACTCAGGCTTTTGGGAATTCCTTTACAGTTATATCCATTCGACTATGGAATAGTCTGCCATCCGAAATAAGGGAATCGGCAAGTATAGGCATGTTTAAGCGTCGTCTAAGAGAGCATTACTTATCACTATGCTGACGTATTATGTATATGTGTATGTATATTTATATATGTTTATATGTGTATATATATGTATGTGTATATGTATGTTTGTGTAAATATATATGTATGTTTACAGGGTATTTTATGTAATTTATAATGTGTAGTTTGTATTATTCTTTGTGTATACATAACTTATGCGTTTATGCAATATATGCAGATCGTATGACTGCCTATTTTTATTTATAAAATAACACATTAACATGGAAAGGTTTTGCTGGAAGAAATCTCTTATTAGAGATAAGCTCGCCTTTGTACATTATGTTTATAATGAATTGTAATTACCAGTATGTTTTGTGTACAATAAAGAATAAAGAATAAAGAAAGTAGTAGTAAACTATATGTTACCTGTTTGATCCACGGTAAAGCTTCATAGGGTATATTCAAGTATTATGTAACAAAATTTTTTAAGATTCCTTCCTGCTTCCTGTATAACGCACCATAAAATTTTTCTGTGCATCTTAGAACATCATGAGCAGCGGTAGTCACTTACCATCAGGTGAGCTACATGGTCGTTTGCCCCCTGTGTTGTAAAAAAAAACACCAAAAGCCAAACTAGTGATCAACCCGCCAACCAAGCATGGCAATTACTGGCAAATCTACAATAGTCAGAGACCTATGTTCAGCTGTGGACATTTAACGACTGATATAATTATGATATCTTCACTAACTTTCTTTTTAAATTGCAGGCGGTGCAGCCCACCTTGGGAATGTCTTACTCACCACTATACCCAACAAACCAGATGGGACTTTTGACTTGGACACATTGGAAGGGAAAATCCGAGGCTCGGATATACACGAGCCTATCACTTCACTTGTTGCTGTGGAGAATACGCAAAATTATTGTGGTGGGAAGGTATAATACATAATGATAATTTCAGCCCTTGATTGTAACTTTATACAGTAAAAGCTCCTTATTCACGCTTTCTTTATTCGCGGATTAAAAAATTGCATCCCAATTCCTATATTCGCGGCTAAAGATTTCTAAATTCACGGATCTAATCGATGCATATTAATAAAAAGGATTCGGTGTCCTTTGTAAACGCGTCGGCAAAGGGAGTAATGAAAAAGTAAAATAGACCTTATTACAACTACGCTTAAAGTATGTTATCAAATACTGTCGCCGCTGTATAAGTGGTTCGGCTTTCTATATTCACGGTTTCTGTATTCGCGGCATATTCACGGAACGTATACCCCGCGTATAAAGAACTTTTACTATAGTTATGATCAAGCATATCTCTAAAAGTGCATCTGTGTAATTTTTAATGCGACTCTCTAATAAAATAATCTTTAATACGCCTATGATTTCTGTGTGTCCCGGCATAGAATGGGCCACCCCTTCCTTCCCCGTGGGTGTCGTAAGAGCCGACTGAGGGAACTAAACAGTTAAGAGATAGGTAGCAGCATCCCTCTCAAAATATTACTAAAACCCCTAACTGCGGTTGTCAACCCGCCTACCTGGCGTGGTAACTACTAGCAAACCCCGCCCACCCCACATGGGGGAAGTCTTATGTTCAATAGTGGGCAATTAAAGGCTGTTGTGATACCATCCGTGTGGTCATCATATTAGCCATTGTACCATGCTAGCCATGTGGTCCCGGCATAGAATAAGCCAGCCTTTCCTATTCGTGGGTGTCGTAAGAGCCGATCAAGTTAGGGCGAGAGATAGGCAGCAGCGTCTCTTTTAAAACATCTCCAAAGCCTAACTGCGGTTGCCAATCCGCCTGCCAAGCGTAGCAACTAGTGGCAAAACTCCCCAAGGCGGAGGTTTATTCAGCAGTGGACAATTAAAGGCCGATATGATGATGTTGATGATGATTATAGGTGCTGCCGCTAAGCTGGTTGGACGAGCTGGCCGTCCTGTGCAAGAAGTATTCAATCCCCATCCACATGGACGGCGCGCGGCTGTTCAACGCTAGCGTGCACAGTAAACAGCCGCCGGCCCGCATCGTGAGGGACTGCGCCAGCGTCTCCGTGTGTTTCAGCAAGGGACTCTCGGCGCCCGTCGGATCAGCGCTCGTCGGATCGTATCACTTCATAGAACAGTTAGTTTACAATGTTCAGTCAAATGGAAAATGTGTAAATAGATGTTACAGGGTATTAGAGTCAACTCATGATTCTGACGATGAAATGATTTTGAGACGTAAGCTTTGATCAGTGTATGAATTCATTGGGTTCTGACTTGGTATATCAATTATACGTCATTTTTATCAGTAAATATAGGATTTTTATTGGGATTACACCAGTTTAATAGGGGAAAGGAGGTAAATGGTAAGAGGCGACTAGGGGAGCTCATAGTGGAGCAGTGTGGGTAACAGCGTTCCTCAAAAAACATCACCAAAAACCACTGCGGTTGCCAACCCGTCTGCCAAGTGTGGCAACTACTGGAAAAAACTCTCTTTATGAGGGACATTACATTCAGCAGTGAACAGTTAACGGTTAATATAACAACTCTGTAATTTCACTGCCATATCTCATCCCTCAAACCGAAATGCAGTAACGTTGGAACTGTTGCTTCACAGTAAACGTAAATAGGACAGAGGTATGCATGTAGAAGAGTTTTATACAGTCTCTTACTGGTAAAGAAGTGGTGAATGGCAGTAAGGGGTCCAAATTAAAAGAAAATACTTCGTAATTACCGTACGTGCCTGTAACTTGATGCTAGAGCCCGGCGCATGCGCAAAATGCTGGGCGGCGGCATGCGGCAGGCGGGCGTGCTGGCGGCGGCCGCGCTCGTGTCGCTGGATGAGGTCGTGCCGCTTCTCGCGCTTGACCACAAGCGCGCGCACCGCCTCGGCATGGGTGAGTAGTATGTACTGAAGGGAGGGAGGGGGGGAAGGGAGACTAAGTAATGCGGACTATTTTTTTATGTGTGATGATGGAATAGTAACCCCGCCCGCGCTATCGGTATACACAGGTGGGGCACCAGTGAGTGATGATAGGTGAGGATGAAAAGGCAGGTCAGATAGCCCATTGTGTTGAATACACATGCGGATCACGTGGAGGTCGACTTGTTTGGGTATATTGCTAGGAATAGGGCCTTTAGACTTCATTATTAACAATCCCTCCCTCCCAATGCGGACTATTAGCCCCCGAGAGTTCTCTTCCAGAGTTAAATTCACCTCTTGTACATCTTTATTTAATATAAATTATATGTTTGTAATTTTTTGTGTACAATAAAGTAGAAATAATAATTGTGTCTGGTCAAGGCCAGTAAGCCTATTTTTATGGTTTCCTTAAAGCCTACAGTCATTTTAACCCCATGGGGTACTATATCATTGTTATAAAGTAAATACCAGAGGGAGACTTTGTACAAAAGTCGTTGCTTGGGTACCTCTGTCCCATTCCTGTTTTAACCGTAAAGCAGTTGTGTTTGCATGGCTGTGTTTCGGTTTGAAGGGTGGGATATGGCGTGAATTTACAGGGTACAAAGGAATAACACCTGAGTCTTCAGGAATGGCAACGCATGGGGGGGTATCATGGGCGAAACAGTGTACTCTGTTATGTCCATGGTTCACGTCTATAGGCGACGGTTACCACTTTCCATCAGGTGGGCTGTCAGCTTGTTTGCCATTCTAAGTTGTATAAAAAAACAATCCTCTTTAGTTTGTAGTGATTGATGGGGAATTTGATTTTTGCATTTTTAATATAATATCGCAATGTTTTCAGTAATCCAAGGCCTGTTTCTGAAGTCCTTCACTGTAGACGTCGAAAATCTGCACACGAATATCGTGCTGGTGAAGATACAGCCGGAGAGTCCTATCACCGCTGACCAAGTGCTGCAGAGGTTGGCCCAGGTTTCTCTCGCGGAGACGAAGGTCAGTGCTTAGTTACAGTAAAAGATCCTTATACGCGGGATATATGTCCCGTGAATATGCCACGAATACAAAAACCGTGAATATAGAAAGCCGAACCACTTATACAGCGGCAACAACTTTTGACAATATACTTTAGGCGTAGTTGTAATAAGGTCTGTTTTACTTTTTCATTACTCCCTTTGCTGATGCTTTTACAAAAGACACGGAATCCTTTTTATTAATATGCACCGATTAGATCCGTGAATATAGAAATCTTTAGACGCGAATATAGGAATTGGGTCGCAATTTTTTAATCCGCGAATAGTGAAAACGCGAATAAAGGAAGCGTGTATAAGCTTTTACTGTATAATTAATACTGCTATTTAACAAAACAATGCGATACACACACGCGCAAGAACACACACTTGCTTGCACTTATTGTTTTCTTTTTTGTTATGGTTTTTTTATGTTATTGTTATTGTTCGCGACATTATTTGTATATATCGTAATTTATAGTTGTTAAGTCCTAGTTAATCGTTTTGTATTCTGTTATTTATATAGATTTACATAGATTTAAGATAGTGTAAGTTAAATAAAGTATTCCTTTGTGTGTTGTCCTTATTACCTACGAATAGAAATAGAAATTGTAACAATAAATAGAATTAAGAAATTGTAAATTGCAATAAATAGACGCTATAGAGTACCGATCTGAAGAGACACGCGTCTCGTTCATTCTCGCCCCGTCCCGCTCGCACAGATCGCTAACGCGAGTTGGAAATGTTATCGTGCGAGCGGGCGGGTATAAAGATAGGCCGCCTCTCGTCGAGCGGCATTCGCTTCCGGGCAGCGACGCACTACACTCGAGAAGAAATAGGACAAGAAGAAAAAATACTCTCTTCAGACGGTACCGGAGGCTTCAGAATAGTAATCGCTGTGTTTCACTCCAGCCTGAACCAACGCCCCTACAGTCCACGCTCACCGTGCGGCAGTCCACACCGTTCATCGTGGTCCTTCGAGCCGGATTGCTGGAGGAACACCGTGGTCCTTCGAGAAGCCGGATTGCTGGAGGAACACCGTTGGTACATCAAGAAGCCGGATCGCTGGAGGAAGACCATTCTGAAGCCGGATCGCTGAAATGCCGACTACGAGAAACATGAAGTCGTCGCAACAAAAAATCGCCGTCACCGAAGCCACAACGTCCGCCGCCACCACGTCGACTACGGCCGCCGGAACGCTGTCCGTCGCTGCCACGCCGTCCGTTGCTGCCGCCACGTCGTCTGCGGCTGTCAGAACGTCATCTGTCGCTGCCACGTCGTCTACCGCCGCCACCACATCGACTACGAACACGTCCGGCGATACGACGACCACAGGAGCCACGGAGACTACCGAAGCCACAGGAACGACAGAGGAGACAGCAAGGAAGAAGGAACCGAAGCACGGCACGGCACGCACGGTTCGCACCACGGCCTCGCAGAAGAAGAAGGCTCTGGCCAAGGCACGGGAGGAGCTACTTCGAAAGGAGGTGGAATTGGCCGCTGCACGTGTCGCCGCCCTGGAAGCCGAATCAGAGGACGACGAGGAAGTAGAAGACGACGACGCTACCGTCAGAAGAGAACGAACGTCGGATTGGGTTCGTCGAAGCACGCTGGCACTCACAATGGAGCCGCATGTACCAGAGATAGAAGAAGTCACCGGCAAGCGTCAGGGGTTCGTCCCATCGAGACCCGTTGAAGAGGATTCGAGAGCGCCGCCGCCACAGCCGAGCAGCGACGCACTTCACCGGGACCACGCACGCCACGTTGACCCACATGCCGCGATTCCTACGATAGCAGCAGCGATGCAGTCGATGAAGAAAGAAGAACCGGTGCTGAAGGTGGGCATCGATTGTAATGAGTTTGCGATCGCCATGCAGATGGCCGCTCGCAACATACTGCCCTCCACAGCGTCAAGAGTCACCGAGTTGCCAGTCTTCAATGGATCGTCGAGCGAGTGGTTACCATGGAAGATGGCCTATGAAGAGAGCGCAAGTCAACTCACAGAACAAGAGAACCTAGCAAGACTGCGCAGAAGCTTGAAGGGGGCCGCAAAGGACGCGGCACGCTCCCTATTCGTCGGGTCTACGACCGCAGAAGAAGTAATGAAGATGTTAGCCGCGAGGTTCGGCCGCCCTGGAGCACTCGTCACAGCCGAACTGAACAAACTCCGCGCGCTACCACGACTCTCGGACAACGCAAGAGACGTCTGCCTCTTCGCAAGCAAGGTGCAGAACGTCGTCGCCACGATACGAGCGCTGAACAAGAGTCACTACCTCTACAACGAAGAAATAGTGAGAAACGTCACAGAGAAGATGCCGTCGGTACTACGCTTCAAGTACTACGATTTCGCCAACGACCAACCGGAGGGACAACCGGACCTCATAACACTCTCTCAGTTCCTGCAAAGGACCGCCGCACGATGTGGAAACTTCGCCCCCGCCGAGGAGATACCGTCCGAAGACCGGCGGGAGTCCGCTCCTAGGAAGACGGCGAAGACATACACGACGCAGGAGAAACCCGCTACACCACCGTGCCCGATGTGTCGACGAGAGGGACACGCTCCATCGGACTGCAAGACGATGAAGGAAGCGGACACATCGGAGAGATGGGAGCTAGCGAAGACTCATAGGCTGTGTTTCCGTTGCCTCAAAGTGAGAAGATTTCGCCACGCCTGCAAGAGCAAGAGATGTGGAGTAGATGAGTGCACGCAGACTCATCACCCTCTGCTGCACACCACGCGACAACAGCCGGAGAATGAAGTAACAACACACGTCGTCGAGGACAAGTCCGCCGCAGTCACCGCATCGGCAAGGGAAAACGACAAGATCGCGTTCCTGAAGATCCTGCCGATACGAGTCACCGGTCCCACGGGAACGTGCGACACCTACGCGCTACTGGACGACGGGTCGACTTGCACCATCATCGAGACGACGGTGGCGGAGCGAATCGGTGCTACGGGTCCCCCGCACCATTCTACATGGAAGGTGTGGCCGGGGCACGGATCAACGCAGCTCAATCGACGCGTGTTCACTTCAAGATCCGCGGGCGGAATTCACAAGAATACACAGTGGGGGCACGGACGATGGACAGACTGCAGTTATCACCGCAGTCGGTACCACGCAGCGTCATCAAGGGCTGTCCACATCTACAAGACATAGAGAGGGAGTTGGTCTATGAAGAGGGCAAACCGACGGTACTGCTGGGGCAAGACAACTGGCACCTACTGCTGGCCCACGAAGTCAGAAGAGAATCCGACACGCAGCCGGTCGCATCACTCACCGACCTGGGATGGGTACTGCACGGTACGAGTCGCGGCAGGACAAGACAGCAGGTGCACAGAATCAGCCACATAGTGACGACACACGAAGAGGAACAATCGATGGAAGAAATGATGAAGCAACATTTCGCGCTCGAATCGCTGGGGATCGCACCGAAGAGGTCCTACAACGAAGAGGAACGTCGCGCCCTACGCATTTTAGAAGAGAAAACTCGTCCGTTACCGGCGGGAGGATACGAGACGGGGTTATTATGGAAGAAGGACGACCCTGTGCCGCCGGACAACTATGAATCGGTAATGCGACGTCTCCAACCGGTCGAAAGGAATTTCGACAAAAACGAAGAGCAGTGGCCGCGTGAAGATAGTACGAGCGACGATAGTCAAGCGGAAACGGGAGAAGAACGCGTACACAAGCTACAGAACGCGACGCAGTTGTCTATAGCATTACCCGATCCGTCACGTTTTTCTAATTGGTTGAAACTTGTTCGCAGTTCAGCACGGGTGTTGCAGTTCATCGACCTCCTGCGACCAACCAGTCAACGCTGCACCGCCATCCGAAAGAGAAACAAGAAGAAAGAGAGCGCCGACCCCACTTGGACCCGCACGAAGAAAGTCGATAGAGAGAAGACGAAGATGAAAATCAAGAACAGCAATAGTCCATCTGTGTGTTTCATCCCCATAGACACACACTACCTAGATCGCGCGCGACGGCTATGGATTCGCGCGATACAACAAGAGGCGTTCGGCGACGAAATCGCAGTATTGAAACAAGGGAAACAGCTGCCGTCATCCAGTCGACTCATACAGCTGTCAGTCGTCATAGACAACGACGACATTCTGCGACTTCGATCGAGAATAGCGGCCGCCGCCGATTTGTCAGCCGAGCAACGAGAGCCCCCCATCGTCGACGGAAACCACGCCTGGATGCGCCTATACATCGCATGGGTGCATCGGAAACTTCACCACGGCGGCTTCGAGATCACCACGAACGAGGTGCGACAACACTTGTGGGTGTTGCGCCTACGACACGCCGTCCGCAGTGAACTGAAGAGGTGTCAGCTGTGCCGCCTACGAAGAGCAAGACCGGCGCAGCCGTCAACGGGCAACCATCCACAGAGCAGGCTGGCGCATCATCAACGACCGTTCACGTTCACCGGCCTAGACTACTTCGGGCCTATGACCGTGACAGTGGGCCGCACTCACCAGAAGCGGTACGGAGTGCTCTTCACCTGCTTAACGACGCGCGCAGTCCACCTGGAAATCGCCGGCAGCCTCAGCACGGACTCCGCCATAATGGCCCTGCGGCGCTTCATAAGCCGCAGAGGGTGTCCCACGGAATTATGGTCCGACCAAGGCACCAACCTCAAAGGTGCTGACGTAGAGTTGAAGAAGGCAGCCGAGGAAGCCATCCAAGAAGAGTCATCAGTCCATTTCATCCGGTGGCGCTACATTCCCCCGAGCGCACCCTTCATGGGAGGTGCGTGGGAACGGTTGGTGCGTAGCGTGAAGACCGCACTAGCCGCCACGTTGAACGAACGGGCGCCCAAGGAAGAGGTCCTCCACACTCTACTGGTCGAAGTCGAGCACACCCTCAACAGCCGACCGCTAACCCACGTGTCGACATCGGCAGACGACGACAGCGCCCTAACCCCCAATCACTTCATATTGGGCGGTCCATCGCGCGTCCCACTGCCAGGCAGCTTCACCGAGAGCGACGCGGCGGGACACAAGGAGTGGCGTGCCAGCCAGAGGCTAGCTGACTGCTTCTGGAACCGATGGGTGAAGGAGTACCTACCCGAGTTGCAACACCGGCGGGAGCCCCGAGCTACACACGGAGCCATCAAAATGGACGACCTGGTCCTGATAGCTGATGGGACCTTGCCTCGCAACACGTGGCCGCGAGGCGTGGTGGTGGCGACCTACCCTGGACCAGACGGCGAGATCCGAGCAGTCGACGTGCGGACGAACAAGGGCATCCTACGGCGACCCACTAAGAAGCTGATCATACTGCCCACATCGACATCGAGCGACGCGAACACGAGTTAACTCCAGCTACGAGAGCTGCGGCGGGAGATTATGTTCGCGACATTATTTGTATATATCGTAATTTATAGTTGTTAAGTCCTAGTTAATCGTTTTGTATTCTGTTATTTATATAGATTTACATAGATTTAAGATAGTGTAAGTTAAATAAAGTATTCCTTTGTGTGTTGTCCTTATTACCTACGAATAGAAATAGAAATTGTAACAATAAATAGAATTAAGAAATTGTAAATTGCAATAAATAGACGCTATAGAGTACCGATCTGAAGAGACACGCGTCTCGTTCATTCTCGCCCCGTCCCGCTCGCACAGATCGCTAACGCGAGTTGGAAATGTTATCGTGCGAGCGGGCGGGTATAAAGATAGGCCGCCTCTCGTCGAGCGGCATTCGCTTCCGGGCAGCGACGCACTACACTCAAGAAGAAATAGGACAAGAAGAAAAAATACTCTCTTCAGACGGTACCGGAGGCTTCAGAATAGTAATCGCTGTGTTTCACTCCAGCCTGAACCAACGCCCCTACAGTCCACGCTCACCGTGCGGCAGTCCACACCGTTCAGTTATATTTAATTTTTTCATTCATGCTACTATGTGATTCGCATGATTCTATGAATAAATTCAAGGTTATATATATATATATATATATATATATATATATATATATATATATATATATATATATATATATATATATCCATTAAATATAATAGTGAACCGGCTTAGTGAAGAAAGAAAGAAACTTTATTTTACAAGAAATATGCGACAACACCCACACAGTATTAGTGCGACCAACCATGGTGTGGTCTCTCCCCCTTGAGTTGAGTTGCTAGTACTAACAACTCATTAGTACCATGGGCACAATAGTGTACTCGTATTTCATAACTCCCACACGGCTGTTCATGTCTATAGACGACGCTTACCGTTTTCTCCATCAGGGCAAATTTAGAGGTGTTTTTTAATGGGTGAGATGGAATGGTAACCCCGCCTGCGCTATCGGTGTATATTGGCGCGGCGCCAACGAGAGATTATAGTTGAGAATGGAAGCAAGCTAGTTGGCCACTGTTGTGACGAATTCAACAAGAATTAACCACGATGATTTTTAGGGGAAACCAATTTCAGGTCGAATTTTTAGGGTTTCTTTTTTATACCACTGAGGTGGCAAACAAGCATACGGCCCACCTGATGGTAAGCGGTTACCGTAGCCTATGAACGCCTGCAATACCAGAGGCATTACGCGCGCGTTGCCGACCCTGAAGAAACCTATTTACCCCCCTTTTGAAGAACCCCATGCTGTAGTCCCTTGAGATAACCTCGGCAGGGTTGCTTACAGTGAGACTTGTGTACTCCATAATTAGCGATTCCTTTTACCAGGCGGTTACCACTTATTATCGTCGCCATTTTAAGTCGCAATAAATCTATAATAAATGCTTTCCTTCTACAGGGTGATTGCAAAACACCAAACGACGAAGGCGTAATAGTAAAGGGTGTTCAATTCAACAGTAAAACAATCAGGTTCACGTTGCACAGGGAAATAACAGACGAAGACCTCTGGCTCGCTATTATGAAGATCACATACGTGTTCAAAGAAATCGACGCGGGCGTAAACAAGTAACACCGCTTAGTCATTCTCAAATTGTATATATTGTAAGTAAAATAACTGTAACAAAAAATTTGATCTTTATTGCATTGTAATTAGGTTGAAAATTATACAGCTGTATTGTTTTATATTATGTATATATATATATATATATATATATATATATATATATATATATATATATATATATATATATGCCCGTGATACCCCCCTTGCGTTGCCATTCCTGAGAACTCAGGTGTTATTCCTCTGTACCCAGTAAATTCACGCCATATCCCATCCTTCAAATCGAAACACGGCCATGCAAACACAACTACTTCACGGTAGAAACACGAATGGGACAGAGGTGCCCAAGCAAACGCCTTTTGTACAAAGTCTCTATTTCAAGTACACACTGGTAATACATAAAAATGTGACAGAGGTAAGTAAATGTACAAAGGGGAGCTTAATTTTAAAAGAGTTCTCTTCCAGCAAACGCAAAGTGGAAAGGAGCATCAATGTCAGCGGCTAGAGCGGTGTACAATATTGTGACCAATTTTTAAACAATAATTTTAAATTAGACAAACATAAGTTTATACATATAATATGTGTTTCGGTTTGAAGGACGATATGGCGTGAATTTACAGGGTACAGAGGAATAACATCTAAGTCTTCAGGAATGGCAACGCATGGGGGGTATCATGGGCGAAACAGTATACTCTGTTATGTCCATGGCACTGCTCATGTGTATAGGCGACGGTTACCACTTTCCATCAGGTGGGCCGTCAGCTTGTTTGCCATTCTAAGTTGTATAAAAAAAAGTAGACTGAAGTCAATAAATTCCAATTGTATTTATTACTATTTGAATGTAAATGTATGAAGATTATGATTTAAATAAACAAGAGATTTAATAAGATGTTATTTTATTTATAATCTAGAAAAGCCTATGTTTATTATCTATATGCATGTATATGATAACACGAGTACTGAAGGCCAACCATGAAATGTTTTCTGAAATTTCGGAGCCAAACGAAACACAGATTTGATGTTAAAATTACATAATACATACTGTTTGGAAATATTAAAAATGTTCAAATATTGTTCCTTTGGACTTTTATGATAGGATGTATGATAAACGAAATGTTAAACTCCATTCATTGATCCGTTTTTAGTATAAACAAAAACACGAAATTGAGTCCGAAATTTCGGAATTTCATTTCATGGTAGACCCGCTGCTTCCTACAGGACAGGCTCAGCCTAGTTTAGGAAGCAATGATAAGTTCTGTGCTAATAGATAGATAGATACTCTTTATTGTTTCCTCCAAAAGATTACAATAGTAAACTTATTATAAATATAAACAATTACAAGAAATACTGCCGAGGTTTTCCCGAGAGACTACAGCATGGGGTTCTTCAAAAGGGGGGTAAAGAGGTTTCTTCAGGGTCGGCAACGCGCGCGTAATACCTCTGGTATTGCAGGCGTTCATAGGCTACGGTAACCGCTTACCATCAGGTGGGCCGTATGCTTGTTTGCCACCTCAGTGGTATAAAAAAAAAATCACAATGAGAAAACAATGGGCGACCTTATCGCTAAGAGCGATCTCTTCCAGGCAACCTTTGTATGGAGAGGAGTAATTATAAACAATTTAAACTAATACAAACATACTTTGTTAAATAAATATCTCTTTATCTTATCTTAATCTTACATAATATATAAATCATCCCTCTATAGGATTTGGACGCCATAAGACGATACGGGGCTTCTATTATTTCCAGGCTTGGTATATTTTTAAGTTGTTCTTCTCTTACATCGGGGCCGATTCTGAAGCGGCCACTCATTAAAATCTCTAAAATTTAATTTTCAAAATTCAATTTGATATCACAACTACACTCATGAAAAAAAAAAAAATTAAGGGATCAAAATAAAAAAAATCTGATTTTTAGGTGATTTTCAACAGGCTGTAACTTGGAGGAAAATCATCGTAGAGATATTTAAAAAAAAAAGTAAATTGTAGCCCTAAACGTTTAGTTTTATAAACTCGAAAAAAAATTCATTTAAATTTTCTTCAGGTAATTTTTAAATTTGAAAAAAAAAACCACTGACAATAGTGTTTAAAATTTTTTTGATTTTTTTTACGTCTACGTTTATCTATTATATATATTAACGTAGACAGTTTATATATATATCTAGGGGCTGTCTAATCCCCATTACTAACAATCCCTTTTCCCCTGACCTACCTATATATATATATATATATATATATATATTAATGGGTGAAAACGGGATACGTTAACGAGCACCAGTGAAGGGTGATAGATGAGAATGAAAACAGGCCAGTTAGCCCATCACGATGAATTCATCAGGAATTAACCATGACAGTTTCCAAAGGGAACCGCGAGGAGGTCGACCTGGTTAGGTATATTGCTAGCAATGGGATTCTCAGTCTCCATTACTAACAATCCCTTTCTCCCCTCACCTACCTATATTATGGCATTCCATAAATGACAAGCAGCAGTGATAAATTCTTGTTTCGCGATATGAATTATATCAGAGCTGTCCAACGCACGGTTTGCGGGTCGCATGCGGCTCTTGGCTCATATTCGTGCGGCCCGCAGGCGTACCCATTCACCATCGGTAGATCAGTAAATGTAAGAGGAAAATTCTTTTATAAGTATAAAATACACCTAATATTATAAATATTAGATTTTTTATTTTTAACTAGCTGTTGCCCGCGACTTCGTCCGCGTTTTCGTAAAATAAGTAGCCTATGTCCTTCCTCACGGTTCAGTGGTTTTGATGTAACAGACACATTTCCCTTCACTGCTCTGCTCCTATTGATCGTAGCGTGATGAAAAGTATACTATAACCTGCCCAGGAGTATGAAGAATAATTGTACCAAGTTTCGTTAAAATTCGTCGAGTAGTTTTTGTTTCTACAACGAACATACAGACAAACAGACAAAAATTTAACTGATTGCATTTTTGGCATCAGTATCGATCACTAATCACCCCCTGATAGTTATTTTGGAAATGTATTTCATGTACAGAATTGACCTCTCTACAGATTTATTATAAGTATAGATATAGATAAAGTCGATAAATATTTAAACGATTAAAAAAAATACCTACAGAAAACGAGTAATATGGACTGTTTTTTTATTTAAAAAAAAGTTACAACTCCTGGCTGTAATTAAACTATCCGTGCGATGCAATAGCGACTCGCTATTTTTTTTCCACAATACCCCCCATGCATTACCATTCCTGAGGACTCAGGTGTTATTCCTCTGTACCCTGTAAATTCACTGCAATATCCCACCGTTCAAATTGAAACATAGCCATGCAAACATAACTGCTTCACTGTAGAAACACGAATGGGACAGGTGCCCTAGCAAACGACTTTTGTACAAAATCTTCCTCTGATCTCCTTCTTCTCCATGTCCTCTACCCGGTCACGTGGAGGAGATTGTTTACAGATGGTGTCGTCTTTTGTATCACTTCTCATTAAAATTAACTGCTTTTATTATTTTTTATAAATGGTCCAGTAGAGTGTAAATAAATATTCTACCAATATTTCTCCTAATGTCTCCCTTCTTTTTCTTTAGTTCTTTCCTCTATATTGTAGGTGGCGGATACCACCAACAAAAGCATTTCCAAAAAGAGTTGATGTCAGACAGGCGACTGGTCGTGAAAGAAAGAAATATTTTTGTTCAAGTAACCTTAGACTTAATCATTTTCGAATAGTAATTTTTTCATTACCGCCCATCCGGAACACAATTTCAGCCGAGAAGAGCAGACGAGAAACTCACCTCTTGCTTTTTTCAAAAAGTTTAACTATATAAATATTGAAACTGTGTAAATACAAACTGCTAGAGCAGACTAGTTCTCACAGGCAACACCCGTTCACGAGTATGACGGAAAAACGAAAACATTTAAAAGCCAAAACCATGGGTAATAAGAACAAAATCATTACGCCCACCCAAATAATCACCCATTTTCTTGCCATAAGGTACAGGAAAATCATATTCCTGCCGTTCCCATGCCATACCTTATCAGCCGATAATCGTCCATTGTTTAACATAAGCCTGGAGGGAGACTTTGTACAAAAGTCGATTGCTTGGATACCTCTGTACCATTCGTGTTTCAACCGTGAAGCAGTTGTGTTTGCATGGCTGTGCTTCGGTTTGAAGGGTAGGATATGGCGTGAATTTACAGGGTACAGAGGAATAACACCTGAGTTCTCAGGAATGGCAACGCATGGGGGGTTATCATGGGCGAAACAGTATACTCTGTTATGTCCATAATACTGTTCATGTCTATAAACGACGGTTACCCATTTCCATCAGGTGGGCTGTCAGCTTGTTTGCCATTCTAAGTTGTATATAAAAAAAAAGCCCTCAGCAGGCGGGTTGGTAATTGTATTTAGATTTTTAGAGATGTATCGCTCTACCATTAGATTTCTTTAGTCGCCTCTTACGACACCCACGGTAAAAGAAAGGATAGCCCATTCTACGCCGGGACCACATGGAGTATACCTATTGGTAAATAAAAATGCAAAATTTTTCTTCATATTTGTCATGTAATTGACAAGTCTTATTTATTAACTATGAAATTTTTAAATAAAAAAATACAAACTATTCTGAGTATACACATCAAAACGGGCCAATATTGTTTAATAATTTATAAAATGTATGCTGTTATACATGTTAATATTGCTGGAATAAAATAGTTTTTTTTAAATATTTGTCTTATTTAGTTTTTGTATTCGAAAATTAACACTAGTGAATAGAAAAAAATACATAAAAGTTCTTCATCTTCTTTTTCTTAATTGAAATCGGTCGCCATTTGTAATAATAATAATAATATTTATTAATCTACTTAAACATATTTATTTATTTTTACAACCATTTCTGCTAGCGTCATGTATAAGAGACTCAAAGCACACCACGTTCATAACAAACATTTATTATGCCAACGTGGATATATACTACATAGTTTTTTTTTTCTTTAGTGGCATTCACCCCGATATTAGGGTATATTTTATTAGACATAATGTAGAATGGTTTTAAACCATTTTAACATTTGCAAACCTCTGCGTGGTGCTGCATGTTATGTGCCTGTATATGTATGTAACGTCTTATTGTACCATGTAGCAAGCGAATAAATATGATTTGATTTGATTTTGATTTGACATGTCGATGTATAAACAACCATCAATATGTCTTGTTTGTTTTTCTAAGTTACACATTTTTCGTGTTACATAGACAAATTATTTATATGCCTATTGCTTTTGAAACTTGTCAGGCGTCTGGAATTTTATGTATTGTTTAAAATCAACCAGAAAAGTTACTTATTTTGCGTACGCTGCCTAAACTATAAAAGATAGAACCATAAAATGTTCTTATTAATTGTAGATCTTATAAATATCTACAAAAAAGTCCGCGACACACTGTACCTATCTATGTCGAGTGAGGCACAACAACCATTTTTTTATTTAAAAATTTTGATTTTTTTTGGACTACGTTTAAACGCATTTATTTTACTCATGCTATTAATCCTTATCAAAATAAATTGTTTTGAAGTTTTTAAAACCCTGCTATATACGTTTATTTAAATCAAACTTAAATTTTATTTGCAAGAAATTAACAAAATAAACATAAACCCTTATACATACAAATGTGGACTGAATAAAAACTTTTTAAAATTACATCAACTTCTTAAATTGGGGGCCTCATGCAGCTTTGCCGCTTCGGGCCTCTGACGGGTTTAATCTGCCCCTGAGTAAATGTGTCACTTAATATTTATTACTAAACTATTAGGAAAAAATCCTATACTAAAATCATCTAGTTCAATCATCTAATCATCTTTTTTTTTTTCAAAATAATCAGCGGTAATCAAAGAGTATTTTTGTATTAAAATGGCCCATTTATATAAATATAAACACCTATACCTATACCTATTCCTCGACGACTTTTTATATAAAAAAAAAAACACTATAAAGTGCTTAATAAAGACTTTAAACTTAATACTAAAAAATCAGTACAGGGTACGATAGGGTTGATAAACATAAAGGTAAAAGCCCTTTAAAATAATAATAATAAAAAAAAAAAACATTATCTATAGTGTACCAAATTCTATTTTATCCAGCACTTATTTGCAGTCGAATTTATCTGACTGGCAAAGATTATCGTGCCCATGACTCTCATGCCGGATTTAACCAACAAAGTACATGTGTTTGTATGTTTTTTAAAAAAAAAAACACTATAAAGGTACACAATAAAAGTACACTATATTAATATTATTTGTCAGAGAACAATATAAAAAAAAAAAAACAAGTACAAAATAGAATCTTCGGTTTGAATCGTGTGCTAGGGATATACATTGGCGTATTTAAGATGGGGGGGAGGGGGTTTTTTTTTTAATGGATTAATGGATGGAAATGGAGTGGTAATCCCGCCTTCACTACCGGTATACACTGGCGGGGCACCAGTGAAGTGAGATATGATATGTGAAGATGAATGCAGGTAAGTTGCCCTACCATGACGAATTCGACGAGAATTAATATTGACTGTTTCCAAGCTAGGCTGTTAGACCTTATTACTAACAATCTCCTTGGAGGAGGGGGGAGAGGAGAGCTGGCCCCATAAAAAGACGTATATGTACTCTTAGATGTGTCCTTGTCCTGAAAGTTCCGCAGGCAGGTAGCACAGACCCCCCCCCCCCCTCCTTTTATACACCACAGCAACTGCTACAAAGTTAAGCCATCAAAAAATTAAACTACTTTATTCTGTTCAGTCCAAACTCGAATTAGTTCATCATGGTCATCATAACCATGAGACGCTATGACGTCTGCGTAATCCGCTTTGCTGTACTTTTTCTTGTAAAAGTGAAACTGGTCACAGTGCTTCGGTACTATGCCTACTTTTTTCGCGACAATACCCAAATATATATCGTCAAACCTGAAGTGCTTCACGAATAAACTGCCCACATATAAAACCTTCATGGATTTGTTGGAGACAACATAAGCTCCGGCCGTGACATACGGCGGCCATTTATTCCACGGATACTCTTCCAAAGATACCCTCCATTTGCTAGTTTTAAACCTTTGAGGCGCCGACTTAAAGACGTAGCCAGCAAACAAGTGGTTGTCCTTGTCTTCGCCCACTGTTGACGTAGCACTGTCTCTCTCCCAATTGTTCTTTACAGTTTGATCGTGTACGTAGTCTAATAAATTATTAAGAGATATATACATATCGTCGTCCGTGAATAGATAAAAGTCGGCCGTAGAACAATGCTCGTACAGCCATCGAAAGGACATCATCGTTTTTATGGTATTATTGTAATAATTGTCATGAAAATCTATTTGTATTATGTCCTTATATTGAGCCATTTCCTGATCTATACGCTTCTGAATATCGGATTTGGGATTGTTGTCTATGCCCAGGAAGAATAGAGTCTTGATTATCCTTCCAGGTATCAGATTCTCCTGTCCGTACGTCTGTCTGATCGCGGACCGGTGGCCGAATTGGTGCATTGCGGATTTTACAATGATGAACAAATCTAACTTCTCTATTGTATTGCATTTACCGGAATTGCTTAGGAATCTGTAGGGGTAATAATTTATTGGTGCGATTCTAGGCTTCCTTCCTGATAACACATCGCGTACGATCGGTTTCAAATCGACATTTAGGGGGTAGTCGAATTCATTGTCGAAACTCTTCGAGTATAAATAGTCGCCGACGCCGAAAAAGTAATACACACACACCAACACACACGCACACACAAACACTTTGTATTTTGTTAGTCTCATTGCGCAAGTTCATGAGATTCTTGATATACAGTACAGAAGGTAACACCTATAAAAACAAAAAAGTTTTAACAATATTAATGGCACTGAAAATCTACGAATCTAGAAGAATTAGTTAGTGAATAAAATAAAAATTTACATATACAATGTCAAATTCTTTTAAATTAAGAATTTACTTTGAAAGAAAGAGATGAAACATTATGTATAGTTTAAAATTACGAAAAGCCGATTATTTAATCCTTTAAAAAACTAGTAGTCTGGATAGAAGCAATAACATATCTTATCAATGTGTACACATGAAACATTCTAATTACTTACTGATGACATTCATACAGGTATGTTTTGTAAAATTGTAGTGCAACTATCTGAGCTCACTGTTAGCTCAAGTGTTCAGGATGGTCACAATATATTTTTGCCAATAACACAAAAAAGTATGTATGAATACAATCTTTACCTTAATCTTAGGGAATATCTGTTAATTATTATGTGAGGTGTCTTAAAACATATCTAAAGCCTAACTGCGGTTGCTAATCCGCCTAGAGGGATGCTGTTACCCATCCCTCGCCCTCCCTATTGCCTCTCTCTCGCCCTCTTCTATTTTTTTTATGGGTGAAAATGGTATGGTAACCCATAAAAAAAACAACTATTTCACAGTAAAAAACACGAATCTCCCGTAAATATAAGCTTTAAAAACAATTTCAGTTACGGTTTTGTGGTTATATATATATATATATATATATATATATATATATATATATATATATATATATATATATAATATATACCTATTATATATATATATATATATATATATATATATATATATATATATATATAATATATATTTATATATATATATATATATATATATATATATATATATATATATATATATATATATATATATATATATATATATATATATATATATATATATATATATATATATATAAAACTTCCTAAAATCGTTAGAATAGAATAGTTAATTTAATTCAAACTTAATACAGTTGTTTCTGTACCTAGAAATTATTGATAAAATAATTTGTGGGTATACATGGTGGGTAGACTATTTGACATAATGTACACTGTGGCATAATGTTGCTTTTTCTATGGTAGTATTGTCTTTGTCATTGTCAGAGTCATGTCAAGTGTGGAAAGAGTCTGCAGGGGAAAAGGGATTGTTAGTAATGGAGACTGAGAATCCCATTGCTAGCAATATACCCAACCAGGTCGACCTTTTCGCGATTCCCGCTGGAAACTATCATGGTTAATTCCTGATGAATTCGTCATGATGGGCTAACTGGCCTGTTTTCATTCTCATCGATCACCCTTCACTGGTGCTCCGCCAGCGTATCCCATTAGCGCAGGCGGGGTTACCAAACCATTTTCACCCATCAAAAAAAAAAAAAGAGTGTGCAGAAAATGTGGATTTGAATAAGAAAGTTCGAGAGATTTTCAGTTTGCTAAAGTTAGTTAATTAATATAGAGGATTCAAATAAAACATTCCAATAAAAGGTGTATTCTTAATAATACAATAAAAAAAAATTACCTCTCGTGCTAGTTAAAAACTGTGTTATGGCAGGTAATATTCTCGGTATATATGAATAAAGTTCACTTTTCAATGTGGTATTAATTCAAATGTAGGTACTAAGTTATGCAGTCGACGGGCTTCATTGTGTCTAAATAAACAATTCATTTACATAAGGTCGAAATGTAGATAAATTATTTACACATAATATTTTATTTTTTAATATATACTTAATAACATACATAATATATACACACACATATGTAGATTTATTCTAAAATACCAATAAATATTATTATTATTTCAGCAATAATCATCATTATTTCAGCCATTATCCGTCCACTGCTGGACATAGGCCTCCTTCATAGACTGCCATAAGGAACGGTTCTGAGCCACTCGCATCCACCAACTCCTTACAGTACATTTCAGGTTGTCACTCCATCTAGTGGGGAAAGTCCTACACTGTGTTTGCCCGTACAAAAAATAATAATAATGAATAATTTCTGTAATTTCCCAAAGAGGGTTGACGTCAGACAGGTGGCCGGTCGTAAAACTAAAAGCCAAATCTTTTTGTAATATGGATAAAAAAATTACGCCGACCCCATACAATAATTGGGATAAGGGTAGGAAGATGATGAATGAATAATTTCTGTACTGTTCATAGTTAAATATTTGTAAAAACTGTTGCAGTGTCTTTGTACACATAAATTTAATTATACAATCAAAGCTCTCCCCAACCAAATATAAAAGACTTACACAAGAGTAATTTTGCAAGTAGAAACTGTATATACTGGGAGGAAATGGATTGTTAGCATTGGAGTTTGACAGCCCCATTGCTAGCAATATGCCTTATTAGGTCGACCTCCACGTGGTTCCCCCTGGAAACCATCGTGAACAATTCTTATGGAATTCGTCACGGTGGACTAACTGACCTACTTCATCCTCACCTATCATCTTTCACTGGTACTCCGCCGGTGTATACCGATAGCGCGGGTGGGGTTACCATTCCATTATCATCCATTAAAAAAAAATTGTATATACTTTATGTGTTTGTCTTTCAGTACAGTCAATACTGATTGGATGGGGGGGAGGAATTGTTAATAATGGAGACTAAGGACCCCATTGCTAGCAATATACCCAAACAGGTCGACCTCCACGTGGTCCCCCCTGGAAACCATCATGCTGAATTCCATGTGTATTCAACACGATGTGGTAACTAACCTGTCTTTTCATTGTCACCTATCATCCCTCACTGGTGCCCCGCCAGCGTATACCGATAGCGCAGATGGGGTTACTATTCTATCATTACCCATTAAAAAAAATACTGATTGAATGGGTGTTGTCTCATGTCTATTAATTTTATGTAAAACTGACCCAAAGTGAGTACTGTCGCATTATATATTAGTTGTAAGGTACTTTAAAGACTTAAATTTACATGAAATAACTATAAATTCGATAAAATTGTATCACAGTTCAAATAACACAGATGTTTTAATTGTATTTGATAATTAAACAAAGAATTTAATAGTCATAGTAAATATATCAAAACGTTTAAGTATAAAATAATAGAAAATTAATTGATAAAATAATTATTAATAATACTGTATTATTTGGAATACAATGTGGGGTTTGCTAGTCAAGATGGTTAATATGCCTTTGATCTTGTCTGCCGCTCCCATCTCTGATGGTGACGACTCACATACAGGACTCCTAAAACAAAGTCTCGACTTAATATCTCGTTTCTATGTTAGCAAACAAAAACAAAGGCACATTAAGGCCTTGTTGATTGAGAGAGAAGAGGAAGAAATTTTATTAAAAAAAAATATGATTGAAGAATAAAGTATGACACATATGTACGTGGTTGTACATGGCATTATAATAATGAATTGGGCAAAACATGTAAGGATGTATAAAAGAGTTTACGAAGACATAATACTATTTTATAAATAAAAATATTCTATACTATTCTGCGACAGTTGCAGTCTAAGCACCAAAGGGCTGGGGAGGGGTGGGGGGGGGATGATAATGTAATGGTAATCCCGCCTGCGCTGTCAGTATACGCTGTTGGGGCACCAGTGAAGATGAGAGCAAGTCTGTTAGCCCAATTTGATGAATTCATTAAGAATAAAAAACTATGGTTTCTAGGTAGAACTGCATGGAGGGGATAATAAATAATAATGGAATGGTTACCCAGCTTGTGCTAATCGTAAACATTAGTCGGGCACCAATGAAGGATGTGAGGTGAGAATGAAAAGAATCACTTAGCCTATTGTGATGAATATATTTAGAAGTTAGCACGATGGTTTCCAGAGTGACCATATGAAAGTGGAGGTCGACCTAACAGAGTATATTGCCAGCAATGGAACTGGTAGTTTGCGTTACTAACAATGCCCCCCTGGATCGAATGTTGATAGTAACTAGCATAGTAATGGTAGCATAATTAAGTAATTCAAATCACCTAACCAAAGATGTGTTTATTGTTTCAATTTTGACTCTAAAGGATAAGATAACCTATACGATTTCTGATACAAGAGCCATAACACCTTAATCCTGAGCAGCAGCAGCACATGATAGGCATTATGGGCATCATGATACATTATGTGATGTTCATGGTGTTATTTGCATTGACATGTATTACCACAATTTGGATAAACAATAGCATTAATAATACAGATTAAAAATTGGTACAACTAACGCCATCTCTTGTAGAGTAGATAATTATACTAACAATTATGTAAAGAAAACCAACAGATCTCTAGATAATATGCCACTTCATATAAACTGCAGTTTCATGAAAACATGATCAATTTTTATGTTTAGCTGATGTGTTTAGTTGTCATCAATTCACTGTTGAACAGACCTCCATAATAGACAGTACTTAGATAGATAGATACTCTTTATTGTTTCCTCCAAAAGACTACAAATTCAATAAAAGATTTAGTTGAGTATGTACAAGAGTACATACTCAACTAAATTTCGATAAAATTCAATCATTGAAATGTGTAAATTTTCACTTTTATCAAAGCATTTTCTCTCGGTAAGGACAAATTAGTTTGAGAGCCATGGCTTATTTATATGCTCTCCATGCTAGACTTCTCATGTAGTCATGTCCTATTAAACTTACCAAAACTTAAAGTGAGGTGTCTACATTAGAGCTGATAGACACAGGAGGCAGGTAGTGGCTTCGAATCCTTGAGTGGAGCCGTGCTACTTCGCTGTCACTCTCCATTTCCCGTACAAGCTGAGTGAACTGTACTATTCCTGAAATGAAATTAGAAAAATTAGAAACACTAATCAATTTTATTACATATTCTTTTCATCTAAGAGTTTCCTCTTGTCAGTGCAACTGATTCATGCATCTTTTTCCAGCCAGCTCTATCCCAGATACAAGCAATAAGGTTTCAATATTACAGGTTTTTTTTATACAACTTAGAATGGCAAACAAGCGGACGGTCCACTTGATGGAAAGTGGCAACCATCGCCTATAGACATGAGCAGTACCATGGACATAACAGAGTATACTGTTTCGCCCATGATACCCCCCATGCATTGCCATTCCTGAGGACTCAGGTGTTATTCCTCTGTACCCAGTAATTTCACACCATATCTCACCCTTCAAACTGAAACACAGCCATGCAAACACAACTGCTTCACGGTAGAAATACGAATGGGACAGAGATACCCAAGCAATCGACTTTTGTACAAAGTCTCCCTCTGGTAAAACAGTATCTACAAAGCACAACTTGGATTCATAATAATATTATTGATATTTCTTAGAAATCAGTAAATATTGTACCTAATTCTGAGTATAAAGGAAATGTAAAGAGCAGATATTTTAGGTATGTGACACAAAATCACAGTATGTATATTACTAGGAACATACACTAGCTTTTTTTTTAATAAATGATCTATAAATAATGAGCTATACAGCCATATTACTCACTCATAAAGTAGCTTTCTATAAGTAAAAGATTTTTTAATTATTGGTTATTTATGTTTTTGAGTTTATAAATTGCAAATATAAATGAAACTATTGCTCTTTATAACATTATATTTTGACTTGCATATGTTGTTGATGGAATAAACTCTTTTCTGAGTGTTTTCATTACATTAATGTATGGAGGTCTTAAGTTTCTTAAAAGACTGACATAGCACTAACTGGTGCTTTTTTTTTAACTTTTGTAGAGGCTTCAGTATACTTGGGTGACCATGCCAGGTGCATATGGAATGGCAATTAATTATAGAAAGTGCATTAGGTTTGTCAATTTGTTAGGGACATCTTTATCCAAAGATATAGGTGTTTGGCATTGTGATTGCCATCTTGGTTTAGTATTACATTTATATTACCATTATATAAAGGCATAGCCCTAAGAATTTGCTATCTGGTTGCAATTCTGACCACATTCTACCAGCAAATGTAAAAGTTCTATTTTATTTCTTCTGGGACTTGCAAGCACATTTGGGTGATGGTGGTAGCCACTTTCTATCAGGTGGGTTGTTAGTTTGTTTGCTTCTCTAATAATAAAAATCAATATTTTAACAAATTGATGACTGCTTTACTTCTATAAAATAACCCACTTTTAAAAGGTGTGGTAAATTAAAAAAAAATTATGCAATTAAGAATGACAAACAAGCCGAGGACCCGATTGCTTAACAGAAGCACAAATCATTCATACCTTCTCTAGAATTGGTAAAACCATGCCGTTTAATAGTTTCCATCTCAATCTGGACCACCATGGGGAAAACAATCTGCATCATTTTCAACATCTCATTGCCGGCTGCTTCTTTCGCCTCATCTAGCTTCGGAGCATAGTCGACGGACTCTAAGGCCTCTAGAACCTCTGTCAGAATTTTGCGTATCTGATCAACTGTCACATTTTGTGGAGAAGCCATTGCTATAGGTTAGATTATGCATTTAGTATCTAAAATATAGAGAAATTTATACATAATTAATACTGATTTATGTCTTATCCATATTTATGACTAATCATGACTCTCAGTAATGAGGAAACGAGAGAAACATATTATTAGTAGGTATATCTTAGAAATCTCATCCTCCTCTTATTGGAAGGATACTTAGCCATTTTGCATGTAGTTGTAATGCACTGAAGATTTTCTTTAAAACAATATATATCACGTGGGTTAAATTAGGGATACTATCAGTTTTTCCTTGAATAAATGCTGTTCTTTTTTCTCTTCCGTGTTGCTCTTTAAGGTTAGCGTTAGTACAAACAAGAAAGTACCTATTGTGTTGGACCTTGATCAGTTGGTTTTACTTTAAAAATCAAGTAACTGCATATTTTACTACATAATAGTAATTAGTTTTAAATTTGAGAAAAGAAAATAATATTTATAGGGCCAAGATCAAGCACAGACGAAATAACTTGTCAATGTCAAGTTATGTCAGTCAACGTTAATAGAAAGCAACATAGAATAGTATAAAGAATACTCTGTGGTCGTTAAAATTTGACACTAACTCATCCTCATTCATTATCGGGAGGAAGCCATTAAAAAAAAGAAGAAGAGCTTCCCAAATCTTTGAGAAGAATATGACGGGACCTAAAGCACAGGTCCGAAGGTTATTTGTCATAATTTTTTTTATCAGGCGAAGAACCGATACCTAATACAGAAATGTTCTGTTTCGTATTTTTTCGGAACATTGGTATGAAATAATAAGTTATATTTTTATTTAAAATAAGTATTTATTTCACATAAAAATAAAATTTATTTTCTATCACATGAAATGACGTAGGTATAACGTCTGTCGTATTAGTAAATTTTCGTACCGCTATTCTCTATCTTTAGAGCAAATATTGGCTTTTGTCTCTGTAATCTGTGGTGAATCTGTGATATTAATTGTGTTTTGTTTAAAAAAGGCGGGAAACTCGAATAAGAACAAGCGGGTTTTTTAATTTTTTTTTATTAATTTATTAAAACTATCTCTATCAATTCTTATTATTGAATAAAATATTATATTTTCACTAAATTCAGCGACAGTAATATAATTAGCATTCATGGGGAAGCGCAGTTGTAGAAAAAGGAAAAAAAAAGATGACGATTCAGGTGATGTAGACCATGAACCTTGTAATGACAAGGATATATATTCGGAAGATACTTCTACTGACTCAGAATCTGAAATTGATAAGGTCGATAAGTATAAACCTTACTACGTCACAGATTATATTAGAAGATATCCCGAGGAATCCCCTGGGACAGAATTTGTTGTCTTTGTAGAATCCTCAGATAGTCAGAAAACCATTGGATCCAGAGACTTGCTCTCACTCTCCTCCTGTTTAAAACGATTTAATAAAGGGGTAACTTATCTTAGATCTATAAATAAATTCAAAATCGGAGTATACTTTCAAAAGCCAGACTTAGCCAATGCTTTTTTAAATAATAAAACTTTTTTAAATGACTACCATTTTAAGGCCAGTATTCCTGCTTCTTCAACAGAAGTTACAGGCGTTATTAGAAATGTACCTACAAATATATCTAATAAAAAAATATATACTATGATATCGAGTTCTAAGAAAATTATTGCTATTAAAAGAATTTTAAGAAAAAATACCTTGACTCATGGATATGTGTTACAGCCAACTCTAACCGTGACAATTACTTTTGCTGCATCTGTATTACCTGAATATCTGGATATTGGAGGTTGGCGCCACAATGTCACTCCATATATACCACCAGTTAAACAATGCTACCGGTGCTTGAGGTATGGACATTTAGCTAAATTCTGTAAGAATTCTGAGCGTTGCAGCATCTGCAAAGGTGAGCATAATTATAAAACTTGTACAACTGGAATGGAAAACGCTATTTGTGTACACTGCAATGGAAATCACACAAGTGTATCACCGCAATGCCCTGTTAAACAAAAGAAAATTGCTGAAAATAGATCTAAATTCAGACCTGCTTCTTTTGGAGATATACTTAGCACTGAAATATTTCCTAAACTGGGTAACAAACCTAAAAAAAATGTAGACCTAATTTCAATTCTAAATTCTGATAACAAGAGTTTATCACTTTTAATAGAAAGCATAATCAAACTTATTTCACTACATAACACAAAGAACACATCTATTAACACTAAAAGTGTTTTGAATGTGTTATATGATACTTTTGGTAATAGACCTATTTCACAAAATTCAATCGAGACCAATTAACTATCATACAGTGGAACGCTCAGAGCCTACTGAGCAATCGACATATTTTTACACAATTTTTAAATGAACATCATATTCACATTGCTCTCATCTCAGAAACTTGGCTAAAACCACATTACAAATTAAAAATTAAAGATTATTGTATAGAACGAAATGATTGTGGTAATAACCACAATGGAGTAGCGATTATTATACATAATAGTATTAGATATAAAAAACTTCACTCTTTTTTCGACAATTCTTTGCAAACTATAGCTATTAGTATTGAAGTTAATAATTCTTGGTATTCAGTTGCCAGTATTTACTGTCCTACCAATAGTACACCTAGTTTTACTAAAGCCAAATTTAAGTTCTTTTTGGAGTCTCTTCCTAAACCCACTATCATATCTGGAGATTTAAATGCACATCATACTATGTGGGGTTGTACCTCCACTAATACAAGAGGTAAAGACATTCTTGATTGTTTAGATGAATGTAATTTGGTACTATTAAATGATAAGCAAGTTACTACTGTTGGCTCTCATATTTGGAGACCCAATGGCCTTGATTTAACTATGGTATCCCCATCCATATCATTAAAATGCGAGTGGTCGGTTCATGATGATCCGTTAGGAAGTTATCACCTGCCGACTTTTACTAAAATAAACACAAAGAACTCTTCATCAACTCCGTCAGGTGAACAACATGCTCCTATAGATGAAGTTAATAAACTTTTGTTAAATCGTATAAACCTACGTCTCGTTAATTGGGATCTTTATTCTGAAACTGTTAATCGATTACTTTTGGATTTCGAGTATGATGTCAATGAACCCTTAAACAATTACAATAGGTTCTGTAAAATTATTTTGACAGCTGTGGAACGTTCCGTTCCACGTAGGAACTTATCAAATAGCGGTGCAAATACTTCAAAGAGGCACAAACATATTGCAGTACCTTGGTGGAATAACAGGTGTGCGACAGCTGTCAATGATAGTAAAGCGGCTTACCTTAGGTTTAAACAAAATCCAACTCTCGATAATTACATAAATTTTAAAAGAGTTCAAGCTGTTAAAAAGTTAGTAATTAAGCAAGTAAGACAACAGGGGTGGCAGGAATTTTGTTCCAAATTTAATAGATTAACACCAATTTCCACTGTTTGGCAAAATATGAGAAAACTAAATTCAAAACATCGTCAAAATCATTTTAAAGATATATCATGGGTCAATGATTTTTTACGCAAATATACTCCTGATTTTGTACACTCACCTTTTGATGACAAACAGTTTAATTCTGTTAATTCATGCCCAAAATTTCTCACTGACCCATTCTCAATTGATGAAATATCCAGTGCAGTAAAATCTAGAAAAGATACAGCTAGTGGCCTTGATCGCTTAACATACAATATGTTTCGATTGCTGAATAAAATAAACCTTACTAAACTCTTACAAATTTTTAACGATTTATGGAAGGACTGTATTATCCCACCAGAATGGAAAATGGATTGTTTGATTCCAGTAATTAAACCCGGTAAAGATCCTACAAATTTCGACTCCTATAGACCTATAACATTGACGTCCTGTGCAGGCAAATTATTCGAACAATTAATTAAACAGCGTTTAGAGTTCTTTATTGAAAGTAATAGTATATTACCATCGAATCAATTTGGTTTTCGCCGTGGATATTCAGCGCGCGAAAGTTTAGCGAACTTCTATGTCGACCTTAGTACTGCTTTGAATAATGATGAATATGTTCTATCTGTTTTTTTAGATGTCGTAGGAGCTTTTAACAATGTAAATTTAACAGTTCTATCTTCGATTTTATCCTCATTTCTTCCAATGAAACTTATCGAATGGATTTATAATTTTCTTAGTAATAGAGAAGTGTATGTTAAAGTAAATAGTAAATTAATAGGACCTAGGTTAAGCTCTAAAGGAGTATGTCAAGGTGGTATTCTAAGCCCGCTACTATATATTTTATATATCTATAAACTTAATTCAATTTTAGGAAACAGTGTGAACAACTTGCAATTTGCCGATGATTTATTAATTTATATAAAAGGAAAGAATATTATTGATATGCAATTAGTGTTAAATGAGTCATTAAAAAGACTTGAGAAATATTTTTCTCTTCTTTCCCTCGATATTAGTTTAACCAAAAGTAAAGTAGTTGTTTTTCATCAAGTTCATAAATATGTTCCATTAATGAATATTATATATAATAATCAAACTCTTCCAACAGACTGTAGCGTTAAATTTCTGGGGGTAATTTTTCATCAAAATTTAAAATGGGATCTATACGTTGATTGCTTAGTAGATCGTGCTTTAAGAGCCACTAATATAATAAGATCTGTAATTGGTCGTAACTGGGGAGCTGATCCTAAAATTATCCTTTTACTTTACAAATCTCTTGTTAGAAGTAATTTTGATTACGCTTTCTTTTGTTATGCCTCAGAACATAAATTAGTAGAAAAACTCGAAAAAATTCAAAATATGAATTTAAGACTTATTTTAGGTGCTATGTATACTTCTCCAATTATCTCAATGCAAGTAGAATGTAATTTGCCTCCTATCCTTCTTCGTTTCGAATACATAAAACTCAAATTTCTCTTCAAAGTTTTTTCAGTTTCCAATAACCCACTCATACTCAAATTATTAAATTGCCCCATTTCTATGTTTTTGAATAAAACTATTGTCAATGATTTGAATTTACGAGATGAATATAACATCTATAGTAGTAAGATACTTCCTTGTTATAATGGCCTTTATGAGAGTAAGTTCTGTAAGATCAAAATTGTTATACGTAAAGACATAAAAGAAAAGCACGATATGTATGAGACTTTATCAGAATTTATTGACTACAGGCAGATATATACAGATGGTTCCAAAAATGCACTTAGCACTTCAGTGGCTTTTTACGATTTGTCAAATAGATTTGGTCACGGTTATAAAATTTCAACTTTGGCTAGTATTTACACAGCAGAAGCAAAAGCTATATTTTTAGCATTAGAATACATAGAAAAACAGGTACTATATTCGAAATGGATTATAATTACAGATAGTATGAGTGTTCTTATGGCATTAAAAAATAACACATTCATTTCATCATCAAACTACTTAATTCAAGAAATTCGTAATAAATATTATCATCTCTGTACTATATATGGAAAAGATATTATCTTCATCTGGACCCCTTCACATATTGGAGTGTTTGGGAATGAACAAGTAGACACTTTGGCTAAAATTATTAATTCAAGTGCTGCTCGTGTTCAAGATTTACCCCTTTGTTACTCAGATTGTAGTATTGGAATACATAAAATCGTTACAACTAAATGGGAGGAGCATTGGACTCAAATATTACAGACTAAAGGCAAATGGTACCGCAAAATTAATTGGCGTATTGGAAAACCGTGGTTCTGCAAAGGAAAGGACACAAACAGAAAATTTTACACCAATATTTGTAGATTACGAATCGGCCACGGACATTTCAACGAACACCTGCACCGAATGGGCATGATCGCTTCCCCATCATGCACATGGTGTAACTCAAATACAGCCCAATCTCTACATCACCTTTTTTTTGATTGCTCTGAATTTGTCATTCAAAGACACATTATGTTTGACGAACTTAGGATTATCTTCAAAAAACCCGAAAATATCCCGCACTCAATCCCGCTTCTCTTAAGATTTCCTTCTTGTTTCAAAGCTATTTTCACTTATATTACTACAACATTCAAGGAGCTATAAGAATACTTTTATTGAATTGCAAGACAATGATTTTTTATAATTATTTATTTTTAATTTGATAAATCCACTGGTTTAAGAAAACTCAAGAAAAGATATTTATGAAAATGTACTTACCGGATTTGACAAATGAAATATTGAAGATTATGACAATAATTGAAGCGACATTAGAAAAATAAAATTCCAGACAAATTATCTTTTTGAAGACTAGGCAGCATGGTCTCCGACCTTAGCCTGTTCCAAACGGAACAAACGTACTAAAAAAAAAAAAAATGTGTTTTGTTTATTTTCTTTTATTTATTATTTATATTTTAATTTAAAAATTAAAATCGTAATGGAATATATTAATCGGGAAGTTAAATTCATTTTAAAATGAATCGTTATTCTTATATTATTACTTATTACGAATAAAATATTTTTTATGTAGAATATTATTACTATCTCTTCATCTCAAAGGTGTGTTCATTTAGAGGTAGATTGTTGACGGAAGAGTTGTCGGTGTTAGCTACGGCGATCATTTCAGCAGATATAATAAGTATATATTCACTTTATTCCCAATTTGTGTAACAATCATTGGCGTAGTTAATATTATTTTAGGTGGGGTCTGACCTCTTAAAAAGGCCATATTATGTACCCCTATTTTTTTTTAAATGGATGATAATGGAATATCATTATTACCCCGCCTGCGTTAACGGTATACGCTGGCGGGGCACCAGTGAGGGATGATAGGTGAGGATGAAAATACAGCTCAGTTAGCCCATCGTGATAAAGACATCTGGAATTCAGCACGATGGTTTCCAGGGGAGACCACGGGGAGGTCGACCTGATAGGGTATATTACTAGCAATGGGACTGATAGTCTGCATGACTAACAATCCCTTTCCTTCTTATATTATCTTTGCAATGTGTGGGTACAGGTGCAGGCTCAGGACCACTTCTTATGGCTGCTTATGGGTGGAGGCCTATGTTCAACAGTGAACAGATAATGCCTGAGATGATGGTGATTTTCTTTGCAAACTTTCGCTTGATTCTTGAGGTGGGTATCAGATAGCACTAAGGTGAGTTTGGGTCACCCGTCTCCCTCTGTCCCTTAAATATGCATATGGTAATAATATATATTTTTTTCTAATGGTTAATATTAGAATGGTATCCTTCGCCTGTGCTATACTGATAGCATATATGTTAATAACCCCACCATTGTAACAATGGGCCAACTGACTTCTTTCGTCTTCACCCTTCATTCCTCACTGGTACTCACCAGGGACAAATTTGTATAGAATTAACCAAAATGGTTTCCAAGTGGAACTGCATGATAGTCAACCTGAAAGAAAATATTATGCCTTTTCCCCTCAACAATATGATTTTCACTTTCATCATATCCAACATTTTACAGTAAAAAAGTTACTGTATTAACATATTATTATTAATGGGGATAAGCAGCCCCACCTAGCAATATATTTCATCAGGTACACAGCTTTATCCCTTTAAGAACGCCCTTTGTGGTCATTGGTGAATTAACATTACTTTCGAGGAGGGTCTGGCCATTTAATTAGGTGGATCATGTACTCACAGACATATCTTTGTACATTGTGAAAAGCTCTGTCATGGGCACCAGAAAATTCTGAGTAGGCATGGGCAGCAGCATCCCTCTTAAAACACCATCAAAGACTAGCTGGGCTTGTCAACCTGCCTGCCAAATATAACAGCTATTGGCAAGACTCCTCAAGTGGAGGCCTTTGTTCAGCAGCAGAGATTTAACAGCTAACATAGTATAGTATGGCCTACCCCACCTTTCTATAAATATGCATATTGTCATGTACTTTATAAAAAGATGGAATAGCATTTTTTATGACTCACTTTCCACTATAGGATCTTATTTTTAAAATTTGAGATAGTAATACAAATCCATTTCACAGACCTAGAAGATGGATGACATTGATATAGACCCAAATGGTGAAGCAGGAGTGGGTGTCAGACGGTCGTTGACCCAGAGCAGCAACACGGCACGGCAACTCGCCGTCAGCTTTATGCCGTCGCGTCAACTGCCTTACAGTGAGTTTATTTTTAAGCGACTTTCAAACATAACATTCGATATCACACTATGAGTATGCTGACAAGCAACTACATCCATACATGGTAGATAGCCCGCAATGATGTACAAATAAGTTTGCCAATTCTTACATTAACCATACCATAGGGACTTTGTACAAAAGTTGATTGCTTGGGTACCTCCGTCCCATTCGTGTTTCAATCGTGAAGCAGTTGTGTTTTTATGGCTGTGTTTCAGTTTGAAGGGTGGGATATGGCGCGAATTTACTGGGTACAGAGGGATAACACCTGAGTCCTCAGGAATTGCAATACATGGGGGGTATCATGGGCGAAACAGTATACTCTGTTATGTCCATGGTACTGCTCATGTCTATAGGCGACGGTTACCGCTTTCCATCAGGTGGGCCGTCATTCTAAGTTGTATAAAAAAAAAGCCATAACAATGTGGAATGCCATTTACTTCATCCTATAACCTCAGATCTTTCAAAGGTAGTGAATAGCATTAGCTAGCATACTGCGGTCAACTATTGAGAGTAAATTATTCTCTTTTCAGTTGATCTTATTCAGGGACCAAATTGTTTCTGCGTTAGCCTTAGCCTGTTATGGTTTTTTTACTTTTATAATGGATGATAATGGAACAGTAACCCCACCTGCACTAACGGTATACACAGGCGAGGTACCAATGTAGAACAATAAATGAGAATGAAAAGGCAGGTCAGTTAGCCTCCCATGATGAATACACCTGGAATTTAATGGTATCACAATACAAATAGCAAAGTATATTGCTAGCAATGGGACTGGTAGTATGCATTACTAACAATCCCTTTCACCCCTCCTGGTGTGGTTACATGTAGTGGCATAAAAAAAAATTATTTAATCAAATAATCAATTATTAATTTAAAAATAAGAAGGCTTTCAATTCGGTTTTATTCTTTCTTTTTATGTTTGTTACCTCATAACTCTGTCAGTTGTGATCTGGAAAATTCTTTTCTATTTCAAAGGTTATATTTACAGATTGGTACCATAGAAAAATAAAAATTTTTAAAAAGATAGAGATTTAAAAAAAAAAATTAATAAATTTATTAGATTTTAAATTTTTTTTTTAAATCGTATTAGTATTTTAATTTCTAAATTAATATAACTGTCACAATTAAAGTTTTTATTTTTTATTTTAATACAATTATTATATAAACAATTATAATCTAGTAACTTATCTATATCTATACTTATAATAAATCTGTAGAGAGGTCAATTCTGTACATGAAATACATTTCCAAAATAACTATCAGGGGGTGATTAGTGATCGATACTGATGCCAAAAATGCAATCAATAAAATTTTTGTCTGTCTGTTTGTATGTTCGTTATAGAAACAAAAACTACACGACGGATTTTAACGAAACTTGGTACAATGATTCTTCATACTCCTGGGCAGGTATAGTATACTTTTTATCACGCTACGATCAATAGGAGCAGAAGGCAGAAATGTTAAAAATGTCCACCCGTGCGACGCCGGGACGGGCCGCTAGTTCATAAATATTAAATATACTTACTCAAATTTAATAAACATATAATTTTAGCAAGCATACACAAGTGAATATATACAGTAAAAAAAAAGTTGACTTTTTAAGAGCTCTAATTAGCAGAAATAAGAAAAAAAAAACCAACTGACCTGACTCTATTCTCAGTTATCATCTCCCACGAGTACTATGGCTAAGGAAAACAACAATACAGCCTTTTTCTTAATCAAATAAAAAAAAAGTTTATTAAATTGTCTTTAAATTGTATTATTAAGTAAATGTATAATGTACAAAGTACAACCTATAATGTACTATCTATCTATCCTATTTAAGAGCTGCGCTCTTGTCGGTGGAGCTCTTGCCACTCACTACGATTTTCAGCGAGTCTCTTCACCTCTTGATACGACACGACACCAACTCCTTCCTTGATCTGCCTGATGTAACTATGTCTCGGTCTCCCTCTTCCCCTTCTTCCTTCTATCTTACCTTCTATTATAATGTTCATAAGTTCGTCGTGTCGTATCAAGTGTCCCAACATTTTTCCCCTTCTGTCCTCAATCGTTCTAATAATTTGTCTTTTTTCCTTAACCCTAAGCAGGACCTCCTCATTGCTAATTCGATCCCTCCAGTTAATTTTCTCCATCCTTCTCCAGCACCACATTTCAAAGGCTCTAAGTTTATCCATTTCCTTCTGAGTTAATGTCCACGTCTCATATCTACACAGAGCTATACTCCAGATATAGGTTTTAATAAGCCGCTTTTTAATATCTTTATCTATAATGTACAAAGGCGAATATTTTAAATAAATATACCACTGTAATATTCAATCAATAATCAATCATTTCATCGTGCTATCTTATCTTATAGCGCGTTAAATAATAAAGCATATCTAACAAGTGCCTAACAACCTCTAATTATGTTATTAGCAAATAACAATTATGCGCCTTGAGTCAGTAGTCGTTGCATTCGGAACATTTACGAGTATTTAGTATTTAAACGCGTGCTGTGAAGTGCGAACGCTGAAGTTACACATATACGATTTTTTTTTTTTTTAATTTCTTTATTGTGTTTCGTTTGGAAGTGATTTATTAATGTTTTGAGTATAAATGTGATAGATTATTTATTATTGTTTACATTGAATTTACTAGAGGGAGGCTTTGCATAAAATTCGCCTGCTTGGGTATTGCATTCGTGTTTCTGCCGTGAATTAGATGGGTCGGTGGGTTATGGCAGTGAAATTTCACTGCACGGTGGCATAATACCAAAGTGTTCAAACATGGTGGTAACACATGAGAATTACCAATTAGATCACAGTGTATTCTGTTGATGATCATACACCATTATCGGTTATTTGAATCTTCATATTTTTTTTTTTTGTTGAGTGAAAATGGTATGGTAACCCCGCCTGCGTTAACGGGATACGCTGACGGAGCACCAGTGAAGGGTGATAGATGAGAATGAATACAGGCCAGTTAGCTCATCATGATGAATTCATCAGAAATTAACCATGATAGTTTCCAGGGGGAACCGCGAGGAGATCGAGCTGGTTGGGTATATTGCTAGTAATGGGATTTTCAGTCTCCATTACTAACAATCCCCTTCCCCCCGAATCTTCATAATTTCAAGTTGGATAGAAAAGTTTAACGCTTATTTTCCATCATTAGATAATTTGTTAATTATGATTTTATAGCCTGATGAGAGAGGCGACTAGACGATCAGGGAGAAGGGATTGTTAGTAATGCGGACTACCAGTTCTATTGTTAGAAATATATTCTGTCAGGTCGACCTCCACGTGGTCCCCCTTGGAAACCATCGTGCTGAATTCTAGATGTATTCATCACGACGGGCTAACTGACATGCCTTTTCTACCCATCTTTTCATTCTACATTGGTGCCCCGCTAGTGTATATCGATAGCACAGGCTGGGTTACCATTTTATTATCATTCATTAAAAAAAACTAGATTGTCAGGGATATTAGGAATTAGCAACCGCATTGTTAGCAATATACTCTAACAGGTCGACCTACACGCGGTGCCCACTGTGAATCATCGTAATTAATTAAATTCCTAACGATGGGCCAACTGACCTGTTTCCTCCTCACTGGTGCCCCGCCTGCGTATATCGATAGTGCAGGTGTGGTTACCATTCCATTATCATCCGTTAAAAATAATAGAGAAGCAAAGACATACTTATGTGTTGCCATTTTTAAGGACTACACTAGTGTGACCACAAATACAATAATTTAACCGTTTTATCCCACCCTTCAAATACAGAACTTCTAAAATATATTTAAGCATTACAGCTTGGCGGCAGAAACATTACTAGGCCTAGAGTTACCTATACTATGCAGATGATTGTCCAAAGGTCCCCATTGGCGATTTTTACTTTTAAACATATTTTGAAATGTAAAGCACGTGTTCAAAAGCGAATTTATAAAGCCCACGATTTGCTTTATCTGAAATCCAATGATATACCCATTTAAAATCGACAAGTTCGACGTAATGTTATAAAGTGATACCATTTTTTTAACTAAATACGTACCTACTTTTATAAAACTTTGCAAATAAGTGTATACAAATGGATACAGTAATTGGTCTTCGAGATTTAATAACCGGTATGTCCAGTGTTTTTTTTTATGAATGATAATAAAATGGTAACCCCGCCTGCGCTAACGGTATACGCTGGCAGGGCACCAGTGAGGGATGATAGGTGAGGATGAAAACACAGGCCAGTTAGCCCATCGTGATAAATCCACTTAGACTAATATCCACTTAGAATTCAGAACGATGGTTTTCAGGATAATCCGCATTACTAACAATCCCTTTCCCCCCTGTATGTCCAGTGTTGTCTACATGCAAAATGACTGCTAAGTTTTATTTATTTATTTATTTATTCATTAATACATATATGTGTATATGGCGGACTTAATGCTGAAAGCATTGTCTCCCAGTCTACCATAGGGAAGTGTCAGCTTATAATGATAGTGTAGGCGGGGTTACTATTCTATTATCATCCCCATATTAGACTTCCATCCACTGTCCTGTACTTTATGTTTTTCATCCTGCACCAAAGAGGACCTTAACAAAATGACTAACAGTGCTGTGAAAGTAGCTAAGTTCTTGTCAAAAAAATTGTTTGTTTTGACAGAAGAATCTACTTGAATTTCGGTTTGACGGGTGTTATATACTCGTAGCTGTGAAATTACAGGGTACGGAGGCATAACACTAGGGAAAATCAACGCATGAGGAGTAACTCGGGTTTCACGGAATATTTTGTAATAATGGTCATGTCCGTAAGCAATAGTCACCATTTTCCATCGAGTCCAAGATCCAAAGACAATCTATTCGAGAACAATTTGACATTCAAGCATAAACATAAGTTCTTTTTATTTAAATTCCCTAGAATCGTAATATGTTTTGGACGTATTGCTTTTTTTTATACAACTTAGAACGGCAAACAATCTGACGGCCCACCTGATGGAAAGTGGTAACCGTCGCCTATAGACATGAGTAGTACATTGCTTTGTATGATGTTGGTATTTCCCTTGTATCCTTGTATAGTTTTTCGTCTGACATTATTTATTATTATGTATATAATATACATGTATGTATAGTTTAATAAAAATAGATAATATGAGTATTATATGTTATTATTTATATTTTTATATAATTTATATTGTTTTTGATTTTTCTATTCATTTACTCATCATACTGCACTGTCAATTATATTTTCTGTTATTTCTGTCTGCGGTCGACTGGTATTGCATCTCTTACCGAATATATCACGAGGAGTTCTCTGGGGAATGGTTCAGATTGATACCTGCTGCTGATTTTCACCACCGTACAATTCGACACAAATTAAATTTCCATCCTAACCATTTGGACGAGTGGCGGTCCTTCACCGTGCGTTTTTTTAAGGCACTTTCTTTCACGCACAGTAACGCTTTGGAATCAATTTCCAGCAGCAATATTTCCGAACTGATACGACATCATAACCTTAATAAGAAAAGAGCATATTCCTTTTTAAAAGGCCGGCAGTACACCTGCAATGCCTTCAGTGTTGCGGGTGATCATGGGCGGCGGTAGTCATTTACCATCAGGTGAACCGCATGCTCATTTGCCCCCTGTGTTATAAAAAGAAAAGATAACACCATCTAGTGATAAGTTCGCCATTTACACTGTATACGTATTATCATCTTCCTACCCTTATCCCAATCATTTGGGGTCGGCGTAATATGATTTTATCCATATTACAAAAAGATTTGGTTTTTAGTTTTACGACCGGCCGCCTGCCTGACGTCAACCCTCTTTAGGAATGTATTTGTTGGTGGTTTCCGCCACCTACGGTTTGGAGGAAAGGATTGAGGAAAAAAGGTTGGAAATGCGTAAAGGAAATTGGTAAATAAGAGGAATAAGGGACTTATGTGGGAAAATAGAGGACTGGGGCACTGCAGCGGCTCGCGAGGCCGGGGTCGCATACCCGTTATTCTAGAATCGGACAGATTTTTAGAGAAGAACACCCCTGACAATGTATAGGTATATTAAAGTTTAATCGGTAGTCTATTATTGTTCAGGCACAATGCGTCAGAGGCGGTGCAACTCAGAGCGAAATGCCCTCCTCGAGGAGTACTCCGACGCGACGGACTCGGCCGACCGGCAGGCGGACATCATCGTCCGCGACATGGAGCTGGATGACAGGCTCATGAAGAACAGCCCCGTCTCCGAGGAGCGCAGGAGGTGAGGCTGGTTTCATTCGCACTATTTGTTTGTAGTCAACTTGTATCAATGCATCAGGCTTTTTTTTTATGGGTGAAAATGGTATGGTAACCCCGCCTGCGCTAACGGGATACGCTGGCGGAGCACCAGTGAAGGGTGATAGATGAGAATGAAAACAGGCCAGTTAGCCCATCATGATGAATTCATCAGGAATTAACCATGATAGTTTCCAGGGAGAATTGCGAGGAGGTCGACCTGGTTGGGTATATTGCTAGCAATGGGATTCTCAGTCTCCATTATTAACAACCCCTTTCCCCCCATGCATCAGGCGTTATCTGCCCATTGCTGAACATAGGCCTGCCCCATGGACTGTCATAGGGAACAGTCCTGAGCCACCTGCATCCACCGATTCATGTTGTATGCTTGGTTTTGTTTATAAATTGCTTTATTTTACTAGAGACTTTGTCTACCGGATATATTAATGGCGGGGGATAAAAAATTGCATCTATCTTAAACAAACATAACTGCTTCACGGTAGAGACACGAATGGGACAGAGGTGCCCAAGCAAATGGCTAAATGATTCCAAATTGATAAAATGTGACCAACTGTCAAGTTAGTATGGAAGATTCTATGGCATTTCTAGAAATTTAAGACATGTTTCTATAGAAACAGTGTTCAGTTCCATTTTGTAGAATATGCTCCTAAACGGATTCCGATGATTTGACTTTAACCTTGTATAAAATGTGACCTTTATCCGTGGGTGTCGTAAGAGATGATTAAGGGAACTTGATGGTCGAGGGATGGGTCCCCTTGATGATGACGTCCCTTTTAAAACATCACTTAAGGCCAACTTTGGCAACCCGGCTGCCAAGCGTAGCAATTACTGCTAAAATTACCTTTATGGGGCAGTCCTATATTCAGCAGTGGGTAGTTAACATAAATAAAATTTGTGACCTTCCAGGGAGGCATTGCGCGAACTGCCCCGCGGCCTGACGATAAAGAGGCATGTCCGAGCCAAGCTGTCCGCCTCGGTCAGCCTCCGCTCCAAAAGGCCCATCTCGTTTTGGAAGCGGCTTAAATACAGAACTAGTTTTGCTATTAAGAAGGTTAGTGCTCGTTTACCTTATACTAGCTTTTACCCGTGACTTCGTCTGCGTGACTGGGATTTGTTTAATGACCGGGATAAAAAGGAGCTTCGAGAGAAAAGATATGGAGAGAGTAATTGGTTAAGCCGTTAAGGTTATTACCTTGTTACTATTGTTAACAAACATACCATTTTTAACGCACAACCACTCTTTGGAATCAACTTCCAGCAGCAGTATTTCCGAACCGATACGACAACATAACCTTCAAGAAAAGAGCATATTCCTTTTTAAAAGGCTGGCAGCACACCTGCAATGCCGTTGGTGTTGTGGGTGATCATGGGCGGTGGTAGTCACTTACCATCAAGTGAGCCGCATGCTCGTTTGCTCCCTTCTTGAAGGCTTATGGTGTCGTGCTTTTTAAAGGTTATCATGTCGTCGTCTTTACTAATATTCGTCTTTATAGTTCCTTTTTCTAAATCGTAATGTCCTCCGCAATACAATTATACAGCAGAAAAGGTAATACATACATCCCTCTCTCTCGCATACTGTCCCTCTCTTTCGCTTAAAGATGCGATCGTGTATTCGTTTAAAATTATAATTGCGTTACAATATATGTATTATTTTTTCAACGAAAATAATCCTACATGTACATGTGGCATTCTTAACTCACCAGCTCCGCGACCGTCTCCTCAACCTGGTCTTCTCTGTCGAGCTGTGGTATAGATCGATCAGGACCATCGAGGGCCACTTCGGGTCCGCCGTCGGCACGTATTTCTACTTCCTGCGCGCCCTCTTCATCATGAACGTCTTCCTGATGCTGATGGTGGTGGCGTTTGTGGTGATCCCCCAGTCTCTGCACGACGGTCACACTAACACCACTAGTGCTGTTAGAGAAGAGGGAAGGTTCTTGGACTTTATAAGTGGAAAGGTAACTATAGTTCTTATTCACGACTTTGTTAAATTATTTTAAATTGAAACTGAAAATAACTTTTACAATATTCTCACGATAATTTTACAATATTCAATTGAATCTCATTCGAGTGACGGTTTTTTTTATCATAACACGACATGTGATCACACCATTCTGAGCGATCATAGACAATATGATTCATGAATATATCAACCGAAAAGAGAATTTACTATCAACGGTTGACCGCTTTATGCCGGGTTCACTGTGTACGTGACAGTGACCGTCAGTATCATATTTTTCTGATGACTAGGCAGTAGGCTCGCGTTCTGCCATGTTGGTTTCTAATCTGCAATATGTGAAATATGGACTTGCTTTGCTCTGCAAAATATTGACATGTTAGATGTGACCAAAACTACACCATCAGTGATTATAATTGTGAGCCTGATATATTTTTCTGATGACTGATCACTGGTGATATTTAGATATTGTAGTCATCAGTCTGATATATTTTTCTGATGATTGATCACTGGTGATATTTAGATATTATGGTGATTAGTTTAATATATTTTTCTGACAACTTATCACTGGTGATATTTAGTCATGAGTCTGATATATTTTTCTGATGACTGATCTTTATTTATAGACTGTTGTCGTGACTCTGATATTTTTTCTTGTGACTGATGACTGGTTATATTGACAGGGTATGTTGGAACATTCCCTACTGTTCTACGGACACTACCACTCCGGTGAGATCGCGGCCGGCGGCCCTCTGTCCTATGATATGTCCTTCGCTTACTTCTTCACCATGCTGTCTGTCTGTATGGTGATATTCATCATACTATGTTATAGGTAAGTGTTGCTTTGACTTTGAATGTTAATGTATGTACTCAAACACTTTTGACTAAGTTTTTTTTTATGGGTAACAATAGAAAGGTAAATCGGTTTCTGTGGCGGGGCACCATTGAAGGATAATAAGTGAGGATGAAGTTAGGTTAGCCCATTGTGATGAATTCACGAGAAATTTACTACGATGGTTTCCAGAAGCACTGATAGAAAAAATATAGACCCAGTAGGTGGCGGTATATATATATATATATATATATATATATATATATATATATATATATATATATATATATATATATATATTATATATATACACACACATACATATACATACCATACTATACTAGTGATCCAGCCTGACTTCGCAGGGGAAGATACAATTTTCGAAAATAATATATAATACATTTTATTTGCTGATAATGTAGCTTTCTATAAATGGAAGAATTTTTTAAACTCGGTTATGTGGTTTTTTATCCATTAGAAATAAACAAACAAACAATCAAATCTTTTTTATAATATTAGTATAGACTGAAGCTGAATAAACAATAACAGTTATTTTTTTTTATCATTATGACTTATGTCTACATATCGTAAACCACAGTTTTAAATTAATAATAACAAACAATAAATAATATACCTACCATTAATATGCTATATTTATATGTTACGACTGTAACTTTAAACCACAAAGATAAACATAAAGCTTGATCTGTATACTATATGCATAATTATAATAATTACATATATATATATATATATATATATATATATATATATACATCGGTTTGAAGGGTGGGATATGGCGTGAATTTACTGGGTATGGAGGAATAACACCCGAGTCCTCAGGAATGGCAACGCATGGGGGGTATCATGGGCGAAACAGTATACTCTGTTATGTCCACGGTACTGCTCATGTCTATAGGCGACGGTTACCACTTTCCATCAGGTGGGCCGTCAGCTTGTTTGCCATTCTAAGTTGTATAAAAAAACATTTCCCCAAAGAGGGTTGACTTTGTTTTTTGATGGGTGATAATAGAATGGTAACCCCACCCGCGTTATCGGTATATACCGGCAGGGCACCAGTGAAGGATGATAGGTGAGGATAAAGAAGGTCAGTTAGCCCATCGTGACGAATTCAACAAGAATTGTTCACGATGGTTTCCAGGGGGAACCACGTGGAGGTCGACCTAATAGGGCATATTGCTAGCAATGGGGCTGTCAAACTACTGCTAGCAATCCCTTTCCCCATAGAGGGTTGACGTGACGCAGGCGGCCTGTCGTAGAACTATAAGCCAAATGTAGGTATGTAGTATGGATAAAAAAAATATATTATGGCGTCCCTAAATAATAATTGGGATAAAGGTAGGAAGATGATGTTGACATTTATTTATATATCTTTAGCAATATATCTCCAGAAATTATAAGTCTAGATATGCTAGGTCGACTCTATACTTCGTTTTTTTTTTTTAATTTATGATAGTTTATTTACTTATTACATTACATCTACTGGATGAGCTTTACAGTCTTCCAATACGCTCACCCAGGAACTTATCAGTACAATAACATATATAAAAAAAGGAATAATGGAATATTAACCTCGCCTGCGCTATCGGTATACGCTGGCGGGGCACCAGTGATAGATGATAGCTGACAATGAAAGGGCAGGTCAGTTAGCCCATCGTGACGAATTCAAAAATAAATCAATCACGATGATTTCCAAGGGTAACCGCGTGGAGGTCGACCTGAAAGGGTATATTGCTAGCAATAGAACTGATAGACCCCGTTACTAACAATACCTTCCCCTCTATACTTAGTGTACTGGGTACAGAGGAATAACACCTGAGTCCTCAGGAATGGCAACGCATGGGGGGTATCATGGGCGAAACAGTATACTCTGTTATGTGCATGGCACTGCTCATGTCTATAGACGACGGTTACCACTTTCCATCAGGTGGGCCGTCAGCTTGTTTGCCATTCTAAGTTGTATAAAAAATAATAATACTAGATTCATAGTAATTTATATATAGCATACTAGCTTTTTCGCCGTGTGTGCCCCGGCATAGAATGGGCAGCCCCTACCTTTCCCGTGGGTGTCGTAGGAGGCGACCAAGGGAAGCCGAGGGATGGGCAGCAGCGTCCCTCTTAAAACATCTCTAAAGGCCTAACTGCGGTCGCCAACCCGCCTGCCAAGCGTGGCAACTACTGGCAAAACTCCCCTTATGGGGAAGGCTTATGTCCAGCAGTGGACAGTTAATGGCTGAAATAATAATACTAGCTTTAACCGCGATAAAAAGTAGCATATATCTTATCTCTATCATATATGTAGAACGGCGGACTCGTACCGGCGTAACTTCATCGGCGCGGGCGGCGGGGCGCGGCTAGTGTTCGCGAGCAAGGTGTTCTGCGGCTGGGACTGCGGCGTCGTCAGCGCCCGTGCCGCCGCCTCGCATGCCGCTGGCCTCTACCTCGAGTTCAAGGTATTCTATCCAGTCATGTTTAGATAGATAGATAGATACTCTTTATTGTTTCCTCCAAAAGATTACAATAGTAAACTTATTATAAATATAAATAATTACAAGAAATAATAATAGTGAGAAAACAATGGGTGACACACACACACACACACACACGCACGCACGCACGCACGCACTCACGCACGCACACACGCACACGCACACACGCACGCACGCACGGCCGCACGCACACACGAGCACACGCACACACGCGCACACGCACACACGCGCACCCGCACATGCACACGCGCACACGCATACGCGCACACGCACACACGCCACGCGCACACGCGCACTCGCACACGCACACGCGCACACGCACACGCGCACACGCACACGCGCACACGCACACGCACACGCACACACGCACACGCACACACACACGCGCACACGCACGCACGCGCTCACATGCACGCGCACACACACACGCACGCGCACACACACGCGCACACACACACACGCGCACACACACACGCGCACACACACACGGCCTACTTGATGGTAAGCGGCTACCGTAGTCTACGTATTCGCGTACAACGCGGTGTCAGAGATGTTTTTTTTTCTTTGAGACGTACGATGATAGAAAGTGGCCGTAGGCATCATATTGAATAATTCCTCTGAGCACCTAATAAATAAAATATGGCATACTTCATTATTAACGCTCTTAAATATTGTTGCTCTTAAATGTTTTATTAATTGTTATTTTTTATTTATTTATTCATTCGCAACAATACTACACTTGTGTTGAATATATATATTTATTTATATATATAACAATAAGATATCATAAAATGTAATAAACCAAATATATATATATATATATATATATTATATATATATATATATATATATATATATATATATATATATATATATATATATATATATATATATATATATATATATGAAGCTAGTTATTGAAGTCGCTGGCGGAAGATCTAAAAAAAAACCAATTTTATAAAATAACTAAATTTAATCATAAAATTAATTGTTACAATAATAGGTGAATTCAGATCGATGTGTGATCTGTAAGTGAAGTCATATCGAATCAAATACAAAGGAACTGGGTAATTTTGCTGTGGGAATTGAAGTGCTGACTCGACGCAGGTGTCTTTCTCGGTAGCGCCTTCTTGCGTCAAGCTAGGTGGTCCGATCCGATCACCGTTGAAGGTGTGTCGTAATACTTTACAATTATCACTATTTTAATATCCTACCAGGAATTACTGAACGAGCAGGACAAGAATCAGGTGTTGATGAGCTCGTGTGGCAAGCTGTGCCGCTACTTGATCAACGCGGCGGTCACGACCGCGGTGCTAGCCGTCATACTGGGGCTCCAGTACGGCCTGTGGAAGCTTCTGGAGCTGGAGAGCCACGCGGCGCACTGGGAGCTCGCGGTCTCGATCACTGTCGCCCTCATGGTCAGCCTGTGTCCGCTGGTGTTCGATTCGGTCGTCAGGTTAGTGGGATATCATCATGGTCATCAAATCAGCCGTTAACTGGCCACTGCTGAGCATTGACCTCTTCCTATTGGGGGTTTTGCCAGTATTTCCCGCGTTTGGCAAGCGGGTTTGGCAAATGCAGTTAGGCTATGATGATTTTTTTTATACGACTTAGAATGGCAAACAAGCTGACGGTCCACCTGATGGAAAGTGGTAACCGTCGCCTATAGACATGAGCAGTACCATGGACATAACAGAGTATACTGTTTCGCCCATGATACCCCCCATGCGTTGCCATTCCTGATACTTCCTGAGGACAGATGTTATTCCTCTGTACCCTGTAAATTCACGCCATATCCCACCCTTCAAAGATGTTTTAAGAGGGACACTGCTGCCGATTCCTGGGCAATTAAGCTCCCTTAGTCACCTCTTACGACGCCCATGGGAAAGGAAAGGGTGGTCCATTTTATGCCGGGACCACACGGCATTATAATGGGATATAAGGATGAGTAATATCGGTACCGCGTCGAGATTTACATATATCGGTCCTCTGGACATTCGGAAAGAAGGTCATCGCCCGTTTGCTTGGGCACCTCTGTCCCATTCGTGTTTCTACCGTGAAACTGTTGTGTTTGTATGGCTGTGTTTCGGTTTGAAGGGCGGGATATGGCAGTGAATTTACAAGGTGCATGGGGGCAATGGCAACACATGAGGGTATCATGGGCGATATAGGCGATGGTTACCACTTTCCATAAAGTCGGCTGTCAGCTTGTATGAGATTCTAAGTTTTTTTTTATGGGTGAAAATGGTATGGTAACCTCGCCTGCGCTAACAGGATACGTTTTGGGAGCACCAGTGAAGGGTGATAGATGAGAATGAAAACAGGCCAGTAAGCCCATCGTGGTGAATTCATCAGGAATTAACCATGATAGTTTCCAGGGGGGACCGCGAGGAGGTCGACCTGGTTGGGTATATTGCTAGTAATGGGATTCTTAGTCTCCATTACTAACAATCCCTTTCTCCCTGTCATTCTAAGTTGCAAAAATAAACCCCTTACCCTTGATGTACAGCAGTGGACAGTTAACCGCTGTTTAGATATATATTTTAAATCTCAACAAGCAATTTTGTCGCGATGAATTAAGAAAGTTTATTATCGAAAATATTGTGTCCATAGAATGGAATATTACAATCCGCGTACAGCGTTGTACGTCACGCTGGGAAGGACCTGGCTGCTGGATATGAGCACACTTGTCCTACTTTTCTACTTTTGGGCGAACTCTGCAAAACATGTGAGTACAGCATTGATGTTGCCTACACATTGGCGGTGTTCCACCGTGCGTTTTTCAAGGCACTTTCTTCCACGCACAACCATTCTTTGGAATCAACTTCCAGCAGCAGTATTTCCGAACCGATACGACAACGTAACCTTCAAGAAAAGAGTATATTCCTTTTTAAAAGGCCGGCAGCACACCTGCAATGCCGCTGGTGTTGTGGGTGATCATGGGCGGCGGTAGTCACTTACCATCAGGTGAGCCGTATGCTCGTTTGCCCCCTGTGTAGTAAAAAAAAAACATTAATTCAGTATAGCAGAATTTAACAAATAAATAATAATAATATAATATAATATAATAATAATAATATAATATTAATAATATAATATTTTCTTTATTTACGGATTACTAAGATCCATTTTTGTTAGTAACAATTGACTTAAACTAAGTTAGTAGAGAAAAAAATACAAAATTCATTTTATAGCCCCTATAATAATTTTGACCCACAATGAGAGGATCGGGCTATCGTATTTATTACATAATGCCCTCAGAATGCCGTTACTGCTGCCACGCAATCGGTATAAAAGAGATGCAATCCGTTTGCGTCTGATGGCATAGAAGTCATCTGTCCATGCCGCTGCAAACATTGTGGATGCACTACAAAAACGTGGCAGCCGTAACAACACCCTGAAAACATTATTGTATTGAACACGCAGAGCGCTGTATGCCCGCTGTGTATAGTCAACCCACAGGCTGCTCGTGTAAAAAGATTGGCAATATGCCTTGAACAATATTATTTTGACTTCAGTCGAGCAACGAGCAAACCTGCGAGCCAACATATTACCCCTTACAGCCAGCGCCCTGCGTTCACGTTCAATGTCAGCGTTATCTTTCAAGTCATCGGTAATAATATGTCCTAGATATTTAAACTGAGTCACTCTATTGAGAGGAACACCGTTTAGAAGAATTGGCGGGATTTGTGGATTCTTACTACCTAGACCGAAATACATAAATTCACTTTTTTGTGTATTATATTTCAGACCATGTTTTTCAGCATACTTTTCACATACGCTTAGCAATTTACGTATAGCTCTGATTGATGGACTCAGCAGCACCATGTCGTCAGCGTAACTCAAGTTATTCACAGCAATCCCGTCTATGTAACAGCCCGCATGCATACTGCTGAGCTCAGCGATCAGGCTATTCATATATATATTAAAAAGTGTAGGCGAGGATATACCGCCCTGTCTCACCCCACACTCCAATCCATACTCTTCAGATATTTTATCCGCCCATTTAACAACGTTAATTTGATTATCATACCAATACTTAAAAATACCAATCAGTTCAGTAGGAATATTCAGCTTTTGAAGTTTGTTCCACAGGATCTCATAAGACACCAGGTCGAAGGCTTTTGACAAGTCCAAAAAGCACGCGAGGACTGGTGTCTTTCGTTCTAAATAATACTTGACAGTCTGCTTTACACTGTATATAGCACTCTCAGTAGAAAGTCCAGGCTGGAAACCAAACTGTGCCTCATGTATTTTAACATTTCCCCTGAGATGCGCATTAAGCAGACTGTCAAGTACTTTCGCCAAGATAGTGGCTAATGAAATGGGGCGGTAGTTACTTTTGTCACAAATATCACCCGTCCTACACTTGACAATTGGCACAACAACAGTTCTCATGAGATCCTGAGGCAGATAGCCGTGTCCCAAGCATAAAGAATAAAACATAGCCAACACTCCGGGCAAATGACACCCTGCATACTGAAGGTGTTCAATGCTCAGGCCGTCATGCCCAGGTGATTTGCCCCTTGTCATATTCATTATTATATTTTTAATATCTTTAGATGTGATTTGTATACTCCTATGATCCTCATAATTAATATTTTTCTCTATATATTGCGCAGCATACAAAGTAGATAAAGGTGAACTTAATTGAAAGTGACTTTTAAATATATTCGCAATTTTCTGTGGATCTCTTTCTGTATTAATACATTCAGCAAGGGTTTGTTTAACATTAAATTTATTTGTACATTGCCAAAATTTTTTGAAATCTTTTTCTGAGAGTTTAGTTGCCAAAATATCCATCGCAATCTGGTCGGCATGATTTTGGCACCATTTTAGTCTAGATTTGTATATTCTACGACTAATAAACATTTTTTCATAAAGGTGACCAGCTGATGGCCTACCATGCCAGACCCAGTTTTTGAAATGAAACCTGGCCTCCAAATATACCCCTTTTACATGTTTATTCCAACCTACTAATGGTTTTCTGGTTTTCATTTTATTAGTACAATTAATATTATTACATACTATAGCAGATTCTTGTAAAATGTTTACTATATTTGAATACATTTTATCTAGTAATGTGCGGTGCTCTAAATTACAACAAAACTTATCTGCACACCCTTGAAACTCTAGTGGAAATTCTATAATTTTTAATTTATTATTACATACATTACGGTATTGTTCAGTTTGTTCAGGAGTTCTGTCACCCCATATTATTTTATTAGGTGTGTGTGTCCTTATATTTTTTTTATATTTAACTACGCTAAAATTACATTCAATCTCAAGAGGAAAATGATCCGACCAAAACACATCATATTGAATTTTAATTTTAGTGATCATTTTACTACCTACCTCTGTTGTAACGCAATGATCAAGCCAACGAGAACAACCGTGACTATCACTAACAAATGTGTAGGTACCTGAGTTAAGTCCTAGGTGCTCTAAATCCGCACACCGCCACTGCTGTTCTGTACAGAATGCCATAAGCTCATCATGGAATAGTCCTCCAGGATGTGCGTTGAAATCACCCAGTATGAAAACCGCTTCTATGTCACTGCTATCTATAATTGCACATATTTCACTTAAGCACTGCGTAAATTCGACCAGATTTTCAGTACAATCAGTAGGCATGTAAACACAGATTACTAATACGGTGCATTCACTATTAATCACAACCCTACAGGCGAGTAAGCGATCACTATCACAATCCAGCATAGTTACGGATAAGAATGCATTTTTTCGCCATAAAATGGCCACACCACCATAAGGTCTTCCTCTTAAAACTCCCGCTGATGTGTCCACTGCAGATTTGCCAGCATATGCATAGTCATCGCCCACTGTACCCAACAAAGGGATGTCGTGAGGCAACAACCAGGTTTCCTGTAGTGCTACTATATCTGCCTTACCACACAGGGACCTAACACAGTCTAAAGAACGCTTCAAACCTTTGCAGTTGAAGCTTATAATTTTACTATTATTGTTATTCTTCATATTGGTTTTTTACTTGTTGTCATATCCGGACGTCTGTCCGCGGTTTCGTACCTCCTGTGTACAAACCGACGAAAGACAATTCCTGCAGGCCACAGTGTTTCATCCAGAAATATTGACAATTTATAACTTGGTACAAAAAATTTGTAGGCATTATACTTATTTTCATTTTTAATCAACAATTTAATAAGTTTCACTTGTTCTCCCGTTTTTGTGAAAATATAATCAATAATATTTTGTTGTGTAGTTTCCTTATGTATATTGGTAATATGTATAGGCACATATTTTTCCGCTGCCCTAAAATTTAGTTTTCGGTCACAAATTGCATTTCCGACCTTTCCAATAAACCGATTTCTGTTACTCTTATGCCTCTGTACCAGGGTCCAATTTTCACTATTTTTGACTATATTCCCGTTAACATTTTCTTGATGGGCCGTATCTGCCACAGTTAATGTTTTTTTTAAGGAAACTATACAATTACTAGTTGTATTATTACGTGATATTGGTGACTCAGACACTAGCGCATCGCTGAACTTTGTACTTAAAATCGGTGAAGCAACGGCGGCTGGCCGCCACCCGCTTTTTTATTTATCATGTCAGCTGATTTATATTGTGTACTTTCGCACAGGAGTATCTTGCTATCACTATTAACCGATTGTTGCAATTGACAATGGGCGGGAGAATTATCCAAGTTAGCAGTATTATTGCTATTATTTAATAATAGGCCCATCGGCCCGCTGTCGGATTCGCAATTTTCAGTATGTAAATACCCTCCTCTTCTAGTGTTGATATTACAATCGAAATTGTCGACGATCGGTGTTACATTTTTGAGATCCGACTTTAGTTGATTCACTTGTTCTATTGTCGCATAATTACTTTTAATAATTTTGAGATCATTTTGCATTAAAATAATATCTTTTAACAATCGTGTGACATCAATATGATCGAACGTAACGGGGGTAGACGATGTAATTCTTTTGCCACAAAGATTGGAATTTTTTCAGGATCTACACCTTTTAAAGTGCTAATAATGTCTTCAATATTACGTTGACATTTTTTATCGCCTTTCCGTGTTATTTTCTTGACTGCAGAAATGGAGTCTAACAGCAAATCTTTCGCCATTTCTATTTCTTCCTCGGTGAAAGCGCCTATACACAAGCGCAATATACTTTCTTCATCCATTACATCAATTTTTGACTGTATGAAAGCTAGTGCCTCATTAATAATTATGTTACAGTGAGCACATTTTACAGCGGATGACATTTTTGACAATAATTTACACCATAGGTACATACGCGCGCGCGCACCTTATGACGTCTTGCGTATGACGTAATAATGCCTTACATTGTATAGATAGAGCATCGAGCCTCAAAAACGGCTCAACTTTTTGTCAGCTAATTATCAAATTGGCCAACTCGTTATTTTTAACAATACTTACGTACACAATGTATCTTGGCGTTGGGCTCCCTATAATATGGCTGAACACAACGATGGCTGGCTCATCCGTCATACTCGTGAACGGGTGCTTGTGACGTTGTAGGTTTTTCTTTCTTTTATCGATTCGAAGTTAGCGATAGTCATTTTATACAGTCATATTTTTTTTGTTTTTTGTTGTTTTTTGTTCTTATTGGGGAAAAGCAACAGCTGTGTTTCTTGCCCATTGTTCTCAGTTGAAATTGTATTCCGATTTGGGAAGTAGTATTATAAAAAAAATACTATTTAAAAATGCTTATTATTAGTTTAATTGAATAAAAAATATTTTTTTTTTGTTTACTATTAAAAAGAAACTAATTTAAAGGGATCACTCACCAATTTATAATCCATTCCCCATTATGCGATTTCATTTGTTTTTTTTTTATGTTATTTCATTTGTTTTTTTTTATGATATTTCATTTGTTTTTTATTTTATTTTATGTATTTCATTTGTTTTTTATTTTATTTTATGTTATTTCATTTTTTTTTTGTTTTATTTAATTTGCTATTGTGTTTGTTCCGTTCGCGGACCTCCACAGTGCTGGGAGACGCGTTTCGGTCAAGAGATGTATCGGCTGGTGTTGCTCGACGCTTTCATATCTTTGTTTGTGTTGCCAGCTATTGAGTTCGGTAGAGCTTTTATTTATAAGTGAGTATATTTTTTTGTGTTTTTTTATTATTTAATAATATCATATTAGCCATTTACTGTCCACTGTTTTTTTTTTTTGATGGATGAAAATGGTATGGTAGCCCCGCTTGCGCTAACGGGATACGCTGGCGGAGCACCAGTGAAGGGTGATAGATGAGAATGAAAACAGGCCAATTAGCCCATCACGATGAATTCATCAGGAATTAACCATGATAGTTTCCAGGGAGAACCGCGAGGAGGTCGACCTGGTTGGGTATATTGCTAGCAATGGGATTCTCAGTCTCCATTACTAACAATCCCTTTCACCCCTACTGTCCACTGTTGAACACAGGCCTTCCCCATAAGGGGGCTTCTGCCAGTAGTTGCCACGCCTGGCAGGTGAGTTAGCAAACGCAAGTAGGCTTTGGTGATGTTTGCAGAGGGATACTGTTGCTTATCCCTCTACCATTAACTTTCCTTAGTCGCTTCTTACGACATCCACGGGAAAGGAACGGGAGGCTCATTCTATGCCTGGACCACACGGCAATTTTTTATAATTTATTTATTTCATTTAAATTTATTTAAGATAATTTTTGTTAATTTTATTGCATTTACATTTGTTTAATTTATATTATATGTCTTATAAGAGGGACATTGCTGCCCATCCCTCGACCATTATGTTATACATCTACTATGTTTATTCGATTCAATATGTAGTAAACAATTTGTTATTCCAGTTTGAACTACAAAACTAGCCCGCCAGAGTTCAATATCGCGTACAACTCGCTGACCCTGATCTACAATCAGGCGGTCGTGTGGTTCGGAGTGATGTTCTCCCCACTGCTGGTGGCCGCCGTCGCTGTCAAGCTGCTGCTACTGTTCTACGTGAAGAAGGAGTGCACCATGAGGGCGTGCCAGCCGGCTAGGAAGGTTCTCTATATTTTTCCTCTTGTCAGGCTACTGGTTTTCTTCTCTAACCAACTCTATCCCAGGCCACGTTTTGACCTCCCTATACGAATTGAAACCTAACCTCGGGGGAAGGGATTATTAGTAATAGGGGCTACCAGCTTTATTGCTAGCAATGTACCCTGTCAGGTCTACCTCCTCTGGAAACCATCGTGGTTGATTCTTTGTTACCAGAGGGAGATTTTTACAAAAGTCGATTGCTTGGGTACCTCTGTCCCATTCGTGTTTCAACCGTAAAGCAGTTGTGTTTACATGACTGTGTTTCGGTTTGAAGGGTGGGATATGGCGTGAATTTACTGGGTACAGAGGAATAACACCTGAGTACTCAGGAATGGCAACGCATGGGAGGTATCATGGGCGAAACAGTATACTCTGTTATGTCCATGCTACTGCTCATGTCTATAGGCTACGGTTACCACTTTCCATCAGGTGGCCCGTCAGCTTGTTTACCATTCTAAATTGTATAAACTTCTTGAATTCGTCACGATTTGCTAACTAACCTGCTTTCATTCTCACCTATCACCTCTCACTGGTGACCCGCCAGTGTATATTGAAAGTGCAGGCGGGGTTACCATTCCATTTTCATCCATTAAAAACGCACCTAACCTTTCCTTTATCCCCATGTAGTTGTTTGTCAGTCTTCTCCTTCCTCTTTTGTCTTCTATCTTTGCTTCTATAATGTTTTTTATTAATTAAAATTAATATCCAATGTCTAATACAGAAAGAAAAGGATATTTCTTGCTTTTTCTCTCTTTTTTAGTGTATGTATGTGTATGTACAGTAAATAGATAGACGGGCAAAGTTTCTGCAAATTATTATTTTGGCCTCTATTGTTCTCATTAAAACCCCTTCCTCACATTAATTTCTATTAAATATCTCACATAAAGCTTCAAATCACGCAACCAGCTATGGAGAGGGCTATGCTGGGAGTTTCTTTGCGTGATAGAATCCGAAACGAGGGTATCCGCAAAAGAACTAAAATAACCGAATAAGCCCGAGGGATAAGCAAGCTGAAGTGGTAATGAACTGTTCACATAGCTCGACGAAACGACAACTGATAGGGAAGAAAGGTTCTTGAGTGGCGACCCCGTAGGGGCAAACGCAGTGTAGGACGAACCCCCCACTAGATGGAGTGACGACCTCAAATGTATTGCGGGCAGTCAGTGAATGCAGGTGGCTCAGGACCGTTCCTTATGGCAGTCTATGGGGGAGGCCTCCAGTCCAGCAGTGGACGGATAATGGCTGAAATTATGCTGACGATCTGCTATATACAGACATTGTCTAGTTATAGTTTTATTATTTTATTAAGATTGTAATTTTTTTTTATAATTAAAAAATTTTTTTTGTCGTCAGGTGTGGCGCGCTGCGCAGACGCAGACGGTACTGTACATGCTGGTCACGCTCTCTCTCTTCGTCACGCTATTCGCCGTCGGATCTATATTTATGAGGTAACCAATAGATAGATAGATACTCTTTATTGTTTCCTCCATAAGATTACAATAGTAAACTTATTATAAATATAAATAATTACAAGAAATAATCACAATGAGAAAACAATGGGGGACCTTATCGCTAAAAGCGATAGTACCGTCAGCATCGATACTTTATGAGCACCTACTGATTACAGACATTTGAAATATACGGTTAGCGTCAAAATTTGGATGGATGTCGTATAAAGTGGAAGTTAATTGAATATTTATAATGCCATATTTGATTAATAGATGGCGTAAGTTGCCGTTCTCTTATGTTTTTTATTTATTTATTTATTAGACACATAAAACGGATCATAACCATAAAAAAAAAAACATAAGTAGTAGTTACATTTGTGATAAAGCTAGGATACAATCCAATTACATTATGTACACAACTTGAGTGATTCGTGTAAAGCAAGCACATAAAATAAAGAAAATACATAAATATAAATATATAAAAGATAAAACTATATAAAAGAAAATTCCTATTGGATGGTAATTGGTTGGTAACCTGTGCTAACGGTGTGCCCCAGCGGGGTACCAGTGAAGGATAATAGGTGAAAGTGAAAAGGCAGGTTAGTTAGGTTATTATGATGAATACACCTGGAAACCAGCATGATGGTTTCCAGGGTAAAACTGCATGATGTGAAATTATTAAGTATTTTAGAGTCTTTGACAAAGGTCGGTAACACGCGAATTGGTGTTGCAAGCGTCCATGGTTAACGATGGTTATTTCCGGCTGGCTGTAAACCCATTAATCACTTTGTTGTCAGAATGTCGTCGCAGCAGTGCGGGCCGCTGCAGCAGTACTCGCGCGTAGTACAAGTGGTGACCGAGGGCTTGCTTCACCTCCACCAGCACCCGTACGCCTCCGCAGCCCTGGGTTTCGTCACGCGGCCCGGCGTTATCGGCTTCCTCCTCACGTTCCTCAGGTCAGTATCCACCTTCATACATTCAGTGAAGGAGGAGAGCTCGTTAGAAACTAGAAGGTTGATACAAATTACATTAGATTTTTTTTTATACAACTTAGAATGACAAACAAGCTGACGGCCCACCTGATGGAAAGTGGTAACCGTCGCCTATAGACATGAGCAGTACCATGGACATAACAGCCCGCTTCATCCTCACCTATCATTCTTCACTGGTGCCCCGCCGGTGTATACTGATAGCGCGGGTGCGGTTACCATTCCATTATCACCCATTAAAAAAACAAAATACCGTGGAGATCGCCTTTCCCCGTCACTAACAATCCGTTTCTCTCTTGCAGCGTTTTCGTGTACTACACGCGCGCCCGTGCTGTCGCGCAGGCGTCCATGGTGGACATATTACAGCGCATGGTGTCGCTGCAGGCGAAAGACAAGGAGTTCCTGCTCGGGGCCATCACCAAGGTGTCCAACGGAGGTGACGTTCACATTCACCCCACACTTTTAGAGTATATTTTTTTAGTTCTGGGTGCGTCATTACGTGGCGTCATGTGCTTGTCGTTTGATGCCAATACTTTTTTTTTATACAACTTAGAATGGCAAACAAGCTGACGGCCCACCTGATGGAAAGTGGTAATCGTCGCCTATAGACATGAGTAGTACCATGGACATAACAGAGTATACTGTTTCGCCCATGATACACCCCATGCGTTGCCATTCTTGAGGACTCAGGTGTTATTCCTCTGTACCCAGTAAATTCACGCCATATCCTACCCTTCAAACCGAAACACAGCCATACAAACACAACTGCTTCACGGTTGAAACACGAATGGGACAGAGATAAGACTGTCCAAGGCAGGCTTGGAATGCATATTTTAATTACGGATAGAACTGTTGAGATGGTTGGATTGAGAAATAAACTATAACTTTATTTAATCTCATATTTTGTTTTAAATACATATTTTAGTAGTACAACGCAAGTGGCTTAATCTAAGCCTGAGCGAGAATGCAATATGGCGTGCGCTGGGTTCTTCCCAAAGCGAATTTAACCTAATTGATAAATAGACAACAAGAACCTTATTGATAAACGGTACATGAGAGGTAAATGGGCGACCTTCGGCTGCGATATAAAATACGCTGATGGGATACCAGAGGGAGACTTTGTACAAAAGTCGATTGCTTGTATACCTCTGTCCCATCCGTGTTTCTACCGTGAAGCAGATGTGTTTGCATGGCTGTGTTTCGGTTTGAAGGATGGGATATGACGTGAATTTACAGGGTACAGAGGAATAACACCTGAGTCTTCAGGAATGGCAACGCATGGGGGGTATCATGGGCGAAACAGTATGTGTGTGTACAGTTATGTCCACAGTACTGCTCATGTCTATAGGCGACGATTATCACTTTCCATCAGGTGGGCCGTCAGCTTGTTTGCCATTCTAAGTTGTATAAAAAAATTCTTTTGGTATGTTGAATCAGTTATTAATTGTCCACTGTTGAACATAGATACCCCTTATGGGGGTTTTGCAAGTAGTTGCCACGCTTGGCAGGTGGCTTGGCAACTGCAGTTTGGCTTTTGGTGATGTTTTAAGAACGACGCTACAGCCCAACCCTTCACCATAGGTGAGGTCTCTAAGGTGCAGACCAAACTCGGAACTTTACAAAGTTGTCTGCCGTGAAGCAGTTGTGTTTGCATGGCTGTGTTTCGGTTTGAAGGGTGGGATATGGCAGTGAATTTACAGGGTACAGAGGAAAAAAAATGGAAATGCATGAGGGATACGAAGGGAATCGCAGTGCATCTGCTATTACCTTGAAGCTAGTCATGTCCACTATAAGGTCCTGATTGGTAGCGGCGTGATGGGCCGGGTCGTTGTATACCCTAAAATATGGTTGAGCGCAATGATGGCTGACCCATTCGTCATACTCGTGAACGGATGCTGTTTGTGGGGGCTGGTCTGCTCATGTAATAATATATAAAATAGCACATAATTCTAATTATATTTACGGTATCCATGCAAATGTAAAATGATCTTGTACGAGTACATAATAATTTAAACAGAGAAACTGTTGAGTTTCTTGCAGTCTCTTCTCAGCAGATAACAACATCCTGAACCCAGCAGTGCAATCATAATAGTTTGACGATTTAAAAGAGCTTTTGCATGGTGTCTTTCATGTCTGTAGGGGATGGTTTTTTTTAATGAGTGATAATGGTATGGTAACCCCGTCTGCGCTATCGGTATACAATGGCGGGGCATCAGTGATAGATAGCGTCCTGTAGGGGACGGTTGTTTTTTTTATGGCTGAAAATGGTATGGTAACCCCACCTGCGCTAACGGGATACGCTGGCGGGGCATCAGTGAAGGGTGACAGATGAGAATGAAAATAAGCCAGTTAGCCCATCATGATGAATTCATCAGGAATTAACTATGATAGTTTCCAGGGAGAACCGCGAGAAGATCAACCTGGTTGGATATATTGCTAGCAATGGGATTCTCAGTTTCCATTACTAACAATCCCTTTCCCCCCCTGTAGGGGACGGTTACAGCTTTCCATCAGATAGGCTGTCAATATTTTTGTATCCCATACCGGATAAAAAATGTATCGAATCAGAGGTGGCAAGGGTATGGAGAAAAGAACAAAGTACTTTTACAATATTGCCATAACTACCCTCATAAAATTAAATCTAACGACGCTTTTTAAACGCTTAACTGTTCTTCCAGAGTGGCTCTACAGCCCTAAAGAGGACGACGAAGGTCCAGATAGTCACACGTGGAAGTACCTTCGCGAGGTACGCAAGCCTTCCAACTCTGGCTTCCACTTTGATGCCTCACGGTTGAGCCATTCCTTCGTAGACCGACCGCAATCGTACGTAAAGGAGAATCGATCTAATTCATACTACGCCGAGAGGTCAAAGTCGCAAGACGACGGCGACACGGACAGCTCGTTCAGTTGGAAGGATTCCAGCAACTGTTTAAATCGGAAAGGCGACGAGAATGATCACAATTTGTCACAAGTATAGTCAACTGCCAAATTTATTTCTGTATTTAAGTTTTTTTTTTATGTAACTTAATATTGCAAACAAGCTGACGGCGCACCTTATAGGAAGTGGTAACCGTCGCCTATAGATATCAAGTGAATTTATTAATTTCTAATTTAATTCTGACAATAATAAATAAATAAACAACGAAAATGAATCTATTCGGAGTCAACGACTTGTTTTAGAAACACTAAGTACATTTATTTAAATACACAATTGGGACTTAACGCGATGTCAAAGCCTTTACAGGTAAAAAGTACCTACATACCTGCTTCTTTATTGCAAACGTTTCTATTTACTTGGTACTCTTTTCCTGTTTAAAATTAAATGAATAGATTTGTTTTGTACCTTATTGTTAGTAAAATAAAGTTTATAATGCAATGCTTTTATATATATGACATTATATGTAAAGAATGTCACGTGAATGGACGAGATATAATAAAAAAAAAATATTTGTGTTCGAAGTATATTGTTATTTAGGATCTGATTAAATTTATGTGCATAATATTATATTATTGACAGATTTACCATACAGTCCGTGCTTAAAAAATTTTATATTTTTTTTTATACAACTTAGAATGGCGTTCCTCGACCGTTAAGTTCGCTTAGTCGCCTTTTACTAACAAATTAGGCCATTGTAGCCTGTAATAAAAACTATTACACCCACAGGATAGAAAGTGGTGGCCCATTCTATGCCGAGACCATATGGTCCCAAAATAATTATTGTTCTAAAATTGTTGTGCTTAGATGTTTTTTTTTTTACATTATTTTTTTTTATAATACTATATTTTTATCATAATAGTCTTAATTTAATTTAAGTAAATTTTTATTTATATGAAAGTATTTTGTGTGGAAGTATTAAATTAAAAAAATATAAAAAAGTGCATGTTTATAGCACGTATTTGGAAAAATAACCAGTGCCAAAGCAATTTGTAGTTGTTTTTACAGTTACTTTGTATATAATAATAATTAGATACAAATTTATAGATTAATTCTTGAGACTGTCTACTAAGTTGTTTAACTAAATATGTCCTGCAGGAATCTCCCGTGTTCCTATTTTTAACAGCATAATGTTCATTTATAGTGGCTAAATATTTCTCTATTATATTCTGTTCTTTAATTAATGTCATTTTCGTCCCAGTACTGGGCATAGTTCATTTTACATTAGTTATTTTATATAAATAGATATTTTTAGATAATCACTAGCAAAATATACTAGATTACCATCTATAAAATTGTTTCCTCAGTTATCAAGAGTGACTTCTTATGAGGGATATGATAAGTGCACAAATCAACTAAGTTTTTGATGTCCTTATAACATGTAGTGTCCTGTAACATGTAGTGTCCTGTAACATGTAATGTCCTGTATCATGTAATGCTCTATAATATGTAGTGCTCTATATCATGCAGTGTCCTGTAACATGTAGTGTCCTGTAACATGTAATGTCCTGTAACATGTAATGTCCTGTATCATGTAGTGCTCTATATCATGCAGTGTCCTGTAACATGTAGTGTCCTGTAACATGTAATGTCCTGTATCATGTAGTGCTCTATATCATGCAGTGTCCTGTAACATGTAGTGTCCTGTAACATGTAATGTCCTGTAACATGTAATATCCTGTATCATGTAGTGCTCTATATCATGCAGTGTCCTGTAACATGTAGTGTCCTGTAACATGTAATGTCCTGTAACATGTAATATCCTGTATCATGTAGTGTCCTGTAAACATGTAGTGTCCTATATCATACAGTGTCCTGTATCATGTAGTGTCCTGTATCATGCAGTGTCCTGTAACGTGTAGTGTCCTGTATCATGCAGTGTCCTGTAACATGCAGTGTGCTGTAACATGCAGTGTCCTGTAACATGTAGTGAAATGAAATGAAATGAATTTATTTTGCTAGAATGCAGGTAATTTTAGATGATAGTGTCCTGTATCATATGGTGTCCTGTATTATGTGATTTTCAAGGACTAATAATTGTCCATCTACTTTGTGTTGTGTATTAGATAATAATATACATATTAAGACAATTTTCTATTTTTATAATGATCTCTAAATGAAATGGTGCTTTATATACTCGTACACCTGTACCATTAATGTACAATATTCCTGGTTATGTCAATTTATCTGATGTAAAAGACTGTTGTATATTTATTTATAATGATATTATACTTTATTATATTTTAAATAAATTTTAATGAAAAATATATTTAAATAATTGTTATTTGTGTCTAATGCAATTAAATGTATTATCGTACAATATATCGTTTTATTTTTTGTACACATCCTATTAGCTGTTAACTCCACTACTGAACATAAGCCTCCACCATATTGGGTAGTTGCCACGTTTGACAAGCGAATTGGCAACTGCAGTTAGGATTTGGTGATGTTTTAAGAGGGACGCTGCTGCCCATCCCTCTTGTTGTTCGCATAATTCTGCAACATTGGACAGATTATGTATAAAGAAAATAGGTTTGTGTTTCATCAAACTAAACCGACTTCAATTGTGCTAAAATTGGTTATTTATATTTAAAAACTATACTGCTGAACCGATTTTGATAAAATTTCTATGGAACCAGTCTGAAGTATATCCTTTTAGAAAAAAAAATTAAGTCTTTTTACAACTGATGTATTTATGAAACAAAAAATAACAGAACTTGAGAACCCTAACTTGTTTTGAAATCGGTTGAAAATAGTATGTACCTATTCTCCTGAAGTAATAAGACTTAACAGCCATAATGTATGGAGTACTCTATTAATTACTTAATCCTATTTAATACATATAATAAATACAAGTTTGTAATGATGGATATTTGTTACTATTTCACATAAAAATTACTGAACAGATTTTAATGGAATTTGGAATGCGGATAGATTATAGCCTAACTTAGCACATACTAAGCTTAGCTACTTTATGTATTGATTCCTACAGGCGGAGTCGTAGGATAAATAATAGTAAAGATCTGTTGTTATTTAAAATCGATCGATTCATAGTGATAAAGATCGCTTTATTAAGCTCTATTTACTGGACCGATTTCGTTATGAAAAAAAAACACGAAACTGAGTATGAAATTTCAGAATTTCATTTCATGCTAAACCCCCTGCTAAAAATAGGGGGGAAAGGGATTGTTAGTAATGGAGACTGAGAATCCCATTGCTAGCAATATACCCAACCAGGTCGATCTCCTCGCGGTTCCCCCTAGAAACTATCATGGTTAATTCCTGATGAATTCATCATGATGGGCTAACTGGTCTGCTTTCATTCTCATCTATCACCGTTCACTGGTGCTCCGCCAGCGTATCCCTTCAGCGCAGGCGGGGTTACCATACCATTTTCACCCATAAAAAAACCCCTGCTATTAGATAGTTTTCGTTTCCAAGTAACAATGTGCGTTGCTACGGCGACGCGTCACTGACGTTACTGTTATCAACAAGTGTGTGAATTTTTACTAAAATATATAGTCAAAGTTAAATATACATTTAAAAACAAATATATATTGTATAGGTGAGTAAATAATAATTCATTGCCGTAAATATAAACTTATACAAATTTTGTAGTATACACAAGTACAGTACCTACAGAATTGCAAAACATAACATACCTGCAATACACGTATCATTCAATCAATAATAAAGCAAAGTTTTTATATTAATGTAATGAAATGAATTTATTTTGCTGGATACAGATTTATATTTCCCGTGTACATTCTGCCTCTATGCAAGTTTAAGAATTTTATATGTATATTTCAATCTGTATTTATGTTACTGTATTTCACTTGAATTATTCACTTGTCATTGTATATTTTTATTTATGGTGCAATAAAGAGTTAAATAAATAAAAATTATATTTCATTATTCATATAATACATTCATTATTACTATTATTATTATTTATTACAGTAAACAGAAAATAAAAGTAAATAAATAAAAAAAAATCAGTAGGATTTGTAAAGTGTGGTGTTTTGAAGTATCAGTTTGTTTTTGAAAAGGGGTCTCTTGTCCAAAATAATTTGTGAATTTATGTGTTAGATAAATAATTTATTACTTTTTCCTGGTACCCCGTCAGCGTATACCGAGAGCATAGACGAAGTTTCTACTCCCTTTTCAGTTCTTTTAAAAAAAATCGTGATATATTAGATAAATTCTAAATGGCGAGCGGCGACCGCAAGCGTCCCGCGGAGCCAGCGCCGCGCTGCTCAGCTCGATTCATGGGTGCAGCTCGCAAGCAGCCCGCGCTGCCGGTCCTCGCGCGGGCCGGCTACGATCACGAGCTTGAGCGGGACAGCAAGCTACTGCGTGCCTCCAGAAACTACTATCCGGAAGGTATTTTGATGAAAATCGTTTGAAAACATAACCATAACAGTTAAATCTCAATTTTGGGAGCAGTCAATTCCTTAATACTACATACAATACAGAGATTGAAAATACGATTCAAAGAACACCAGTTAGAAAACTTTAAAAGGTATTCCGAAATCCAAGGTTCTTTACTGCTGCCGAAGATTGCTATAGAAAGTGGAAACACTGATGGGAGAGTATTGTTCAATTAAAACGGAAATATTTTGAAAACGTAACGATTCAAAAAGTAATTAGCAAAAAATATCACCAGCACAGAGATGCAAAGACAGGTCGGATACTTTTTTACCTAACGTTAAAGATAAGAGGGAAAGGGATTGTTAGCAAAAGGGGTCTAATTTCCCTATTACTAGCAGTACACCCTACCAGGTCGATCTCCGGTTCCTCCTGGAAACTATCGTGGTTAATTCTAGTGAAATTCGGCACGATAGGCTAACGGAGCTGCTTTCTTCCTCACGTATTATCTCTCACTGGTGCCCTGCTAACGTATAACGATAACGCAGGCGGGCTTACCATTTCATTATTATCCATTAAAGAAAACGTTATAAATAAATTACAAGTTTAATTTGATAGTTTGGCAAAACGTATGATATGGATCATTGAGAATTAAATTTAAAGCATACATACCAAACTGCTTGTGCAGCGTGGTGACTTGTGGGCAAAAGGTCCCCAATAAAGAGGATCCATAATGTGTTACTCCTAGTGCGAAAAACAGGGAATCGCACATGTTGGAAGCAATGCTTTAGTGTAGGCCTATCCAGCAGTGGATAGATATAGGCTGAAATTATATTGATACGTACATATGTATCTGTCACTTCTGTGTCCCATTGGGCGAGCAGAAATAATGGAACGCCAAATGCTTCGTTTGAAACTGACTTATTGTTTCCTCTACTTTTCATTTGGCCCTTCTTCAGAATGTTCTTCTATGGTTGATATATCTAGGGTGATCCCTAAAGACTTTTCCACCCATTCATGCTCGATAAATCTCTCTTTAGTACCTAATTCTTCTTTGATCCATTATCTCCAAATAGCCACACCAAATTTAAAGCGATTCTGTTCAATTCTACTAAAAATTTAATTTATACTGGTCCTTGTTGTATCAGCCGTTAAGGATCCACTGCTGAACATAGTCTCCCCCATAAGGGGGCTTGCTAGTAGTCGCCACGCTAGGCAGGCGGGTTGGAAACCGTAGTTTGGTTTTGGCTGATGTTTTAAGAGGGACGTTGTTACCCATTTCTTCACCATAAGCTTCTTTTATACTGGTCCTTGGAATGTAATATTTTCGCTGTAATACTAAATTGAAAATTTTTGTGATAGAAAATGGTTTTTCAGAATTACTCCTTTGTTGGTATATTTTTTTTTTATCCAAATTTTGCAAAAAAATACGAGTAGCTTATGTTTCAGGCGAAAGTGAAGGCGGATGCAGTGAGTTCCCGCCGTTAATGCAACGTAAATCTTGGACCAGGAGAGTGCCGTACTGCGATGGTTTTAACCATGCGAAACCTGCAGATTCTATAGGTATTTGTTTTATTTTTAATTAGAGGGCAACTTTATAGATTATTCGTCTACTAAAAGGTACATACCTTGGTTTCTATCCTGTTTCTGCCATGAAGTAGGGGTGCCTGCATGGCTGCGTGTTTGTTTGTAACTTAGGATGTGGCAGAAATTACAACAAAATATGGACGTACAACACCCTAGTACTCAATGGCAATGCATGATGGGTATCATGGGCGTTACAGTATATTCTGTGATCCCATTGTGTTATCCATGTCTATAAGCAACGGTTATCAGTTTATATTAGGTGGATCAGCTTCTGGTATTCTAAGCTATTTAAAAAAAAATTGTCTTGGACAAATCGTACAATGCTATTGAGCCCTAATCTGAAAATTTGTCTTTTTATATACATGTATCAGGGAATTGTTATACACCTGCAACGAAGACGATGCGAGTCCTCAACATGCCTCCAAAGAGACGACCCAAGCCAGAACTGTACGGACCTATAGGGCCCAATGGGGAGCTACAGTTCCCACCGCTGAAGCCATGGGCCGAGAGAGAACGGGAGCGTTTGGAGAAATTGAAGAAAGAACAGGAGAAGAATAAGTTACCGAAAGGTACCATCGGGGATCTACTGTGATATACAATTAATTCCCAAATATTGAAACCTGTAACTGATTAAATCATATGCCTACGATGAAATATTTGAGTGCCGAAATCAAGTTTATAAATAAATATGGATGTTTTATTCATTATAACTCTTATCATGAGTGTCTCATAGTCCGAAATTAGTTTTAGTATCTAATTAACAATGTTTTATCTATCTCCACATCATGTCTATTAAAAGGTACCAGAGGGAGATTTTGTACAAAAGTCGATTGCTTGGGTACCTCTGTCCCATTCGTGTTGCAACCGTGAAGCAGTTGTGTTTGCATGACTGTGTTTCGGTTTGAAGGGTGGGATATGGCATGAATTTACTGGGTACAGAGGAATAACACCTGAGTCCTCAGGAATGGCAACGCATGGGACGTATCATGGGCGAAACAGTATACTCTGTTATGTCCATGGTGCTGCTCATGTCTATAGGCGGCGGTTACCACATTCCATCAGGTGGGCCGTCAGCTTGTTTTCAATTCTAAGTTGTATAAAACAAAACAAAACAGGTAGGTGAAGAATACCTTTCTATAAAACTATTGTGTTAGTTTGTTAAATTATCAACATTATATCATCTTCCTATGCTTATCCCAATTATTATTTGAGGTCAGCGTAATGTGTTCTTTTTATAAACAAATAAAAAAATATATAATTTACATTAAATTAAATATTTTCACACAATTATGACAAGTATAATTTTAATTGCGTCATAGGGTTGGTTCTTCTAGAAGATTTAGTATCTGGTGCATACGAAAGAAGAAAGGCGGCGGCGGCAGAGGCGAAACGACAGCGGATTGAGAAGAAAAAGCGCGAAAAGGAAGAAGCGGAGCGCGCCGCTCAAGAAGCTCTCAAAAAGTAAATCGAAAGATATTTAATGTTATTGATGTTATAAAATTATAACCAGACAATAGCTGTTTATGGGAGATATGGAATAAAATGAATGTACCAGAAAATATTTACATATTATTATAAAAATATGGGAGATTGACTCTATATCTGTTTGTACGTTTCTTTCAGTATCACACAAAAAATAATGCACTAATTTTATCTAGACGAGATCTGTACATGAGAGATATTTAAGAAAAATTAAATTGAGTGGTCTTTATAAGACTCATTACGCAATAATTACTGCACCAAATTGGATGCAGTTCACAGTTGTGTTTCCGAAAGTATAAGTTTATCTCATTACGCCATCTAGAAGTTGAAGTTCTACTAAAATCCACATGTTCGAAACAGCTGGTAAAAAGCTAGTCATTATATAAGATTTTGTACCTTTGTCAAAATTTATTTTAGGTTTAATAAATTTATATGCATTAATATAATATATGTCGATGTCGGTAGGGGCCGCCCTAGACGGACGTATGTCGACCAAATAGGCGACGTGCTGAAGAAGGGCCAAATTAAAAATACCCGTAACCGGCGAGCGTGTATGAAAAGATTGATGAATGTGGAAGAAGCGAAAGAGGTTTGTTTGAATCGAAGCATTTGTCGTTCCATTGTTTCTGCCTACCCTAATGGGAGACAGGCGTGACAGATATGTATGTATGTATAATACATTTGTTAAGTTATACTCTATTACATTCATTGGGTTTCCGGAAATCCACTTATATGAAGTAACAAACTAAACGCATAATTATATCTTTTAAAAACAAGTATAAGAAATTTCATAACGGTTCAATCAACCATTATGAAATTTGCAATACTTGGATTTGGGATAAAGAACAGCTAATTTCTTTTCATGTCGGCAAAATAAATAAAACTAATGTAAATGTAAACGAGCGAAAACGTGGTTTACAGCTAGTAATACTAGTGCAATTGGCTGTGTTCCAGTTTGAAGGGTGGGATACGGCAGTGAATTTACAGGGGACAGAGGAATAACACCTGAGTCCTCAGGAATGGTAACGCATTAGGGGGTATCATGGGCGAAACAGTATACTCTGTTATGTCCATGCTACTGCTCATGTCTATAGGCGACGGTTGTTACTTTCCATCAGGTGTCCCGTCAGCTTGTTTGCCATTCTAAGTTGCAGAAAAATATCCATAATATTTGCAGACATTTAGCGCGTCTGGAGTTTGAGCTGCCCCGCGATCCCGACCAGCAGAAGGAGGAAATGATCAAACTGACAGAAGAGGAGCACTACAGATATATTCATCCCAAAGACTTGGAGAGGATTCAGTATTATTTGACTGTTGTAAGTACTTACTTATTTAGCAACAATATAATTACTTCTTTAACAATTGCCAAAGCTTTCTAATTAATTTTAAATATCAGTCTCTGGTGGACAACCACTTGCCGGAGTACCCTGAAGAGCTGTACAAGCGAGCCAAGCTGCAAGTGGACAAACAGACGCTGGCTATCAAGCGGCGGCTACTGGCGCTCACGTACCAAGCGTGTGTGCGGCAGAGCGAGGCCGACATTAGGGAATTCTTCATTATGGCCATGAAAAGGTATAATGGACTTGTTCGTTGTTTAATTTCAGTACACGTATATAGGAATTTATATATAGATTCTTACGTAATTCTTTTTATTGAACCGTTCTTTTCGGAAATCAATTTAATTTCAATTTCAGTAGAAAGTTCCACATAAAAGATCATGATAAAATTGACAGAGGCAACAATATTGTGAGGGGGGAAAGGGATTGTTAGTAATGGAGACTGAGAATCCCATTGCTAGCAATATACCCAACCAGGTCGATCTCCTCGCGGTTCTCCCTGGAAACTATCATGATTAATTTCTGATGAATTCATCATGATGGGCTAACTGGCCTGTTTTCATTCTCATCTATCACCCTTCACTGGTGCTCCGCCAGCGTATCCCGTTAGCGCAGGCCGGGTTACCATACCATTTTCACCCATAAAAAAAAAACAATATTGTAAATGTTAGACAAAAGTCTCTCGTCGTCGTCTCTCGCAAAAGTCGTTCTCAATTCGGTTACATATTTTTTTTATGTTTGTCATCTTATAATTGCGTCAATGCTGAACCGATTTAAAGATTCCTTTTTTTATCTGAAAGGATATACTTACATATTGGTCCCATAGAAATTTTATCAAAATCGATCAGTAGTTTAGTTTTTAAATCAAAATAACTAATTTGATCACAAATAAAGTCTAATTATTTAAATATAGTTTTTTAATTTATGCACAGTTTTTTTACCTACCTTTCAGCAAGTAATCTCAGCCAAGAAAATCTGATAATTTCAAATATTGTGCACACTCTTAATGCTATTTCCAGATGCCTCCTTTCGTACATCCTAGAAGATCCCGCTGAACGTGAGCGGCTACGTATCGCGTTCCTCCCGCCTCTGTGGCCGGCTCTGATCGTCAGAGCCCCAGTCCCCTGGCATACGGCCTTCGTCAGGGCGAAGCAGGCCATGTCCTACCGTTACTACCAAGGAAACCCGGTGCTCATTGAATTGCGACGCATGTGGCAGGAGAGGTAAATGAGTTCTTTTTTCCAAGCCAGTCACTTGGAGTGCTTGTCTGTATAAAGTCTTAGATGAGGTACTCATAAGATGCATACAGAAAACCTATATCTGACGCTAAATAGACATGCATATATGCTGTTTGAAGGGTAAAATGAGTAAATATACTGGGCAGAGTAGACTCAAGGTTTTTATGTTATAGAGGTCGACAAAACAAGAGTTATTTGCTTGCGTTTGCTGTGGCCACCAAATACAAAGGTGTTATGAGCACTTATAATCTGCCAGTTTCGCGTCAAATTGAGCTACTAAGAAAATTAATACTGAAGAGATGGATGACACAGGACAGTTTGTAATCACGTTACCTATTCTGACAAATTTTTAAAATTTTTAATAAATCCATGAAGACTTGATTGTGACACTCCAATATACTTAAAAACCTCCTAAAATATTAATAAAGCTTAAGTACAGTCGCCAACCCGCCTGCAAGCGTGGTAATTACTGATACCCCCCACAAGGTGGGGGAGGCTATGTTCAGGAGTAAAACAGTAACAGTTACGTCAAATTTTCTCTCTAGATACCAGAACGTATACATCTGTGACATGAGGCGAATGCAAGAGGGTCTAGAGTTCCCACAATACCCTGACGAGTTCACTGAGCGTCTGACCAAGCTCTGTGCGGAGATGCGAGCCGAACTGATGGACAACTGGCTTATTGATGTCGCTGATACCATGGTCAAGATGAGGAGCCACTGGCAGATCTACGTCGCGAGGAAGAAGAAGGAGTCCACGTTCCAAGTTGAACAATTTTTCAGGTGTGATTAATTTAGCAAGGTACGATTCATGATGTAAAATCATCTGTAGCTCTGTGTTAGCTGATTTTACAGCTGAACACCATTTTTGCACACCGATTACAGTTTCTTATCTACCTCATGCAAGATAGAGCAGTAAAATAACTGGGTACGTACTATGATCACATAGGTACAAGATCTTGATGCCACAAGGATTGGTAACGCACGAATAATGCCTCTGGTTTCGCAAACATGAATGGACTGCAGTCACTATATGCTCCTTTATAGTTAATTACATAATATTTTTACTATATTTAGTGCTAGATTTTATGTCACTTGGAGAGTTTAGAGCATGGGCCACTGATTTCCAAGAGGCTGTGTTAATAAGTTGGTGTTATTTGATTTATATTGTTTTAGATGTATCCACGCGCTGATGTCGAGGCAAGTTCGGGATTTGGTGGAACGAAGCATCAACCATTTCGCGGAGTACTTTGCGTATTATTGGGTAATTTGCCAAGAAATTACGTTTTTTTCTTTCTGTTTCCTATTTAAACAACTTTACTGAATTTGACGGAACTTAAGACTGGGAAAGTGGAAATAACTGTTGAAGTATTTTGCAATGTAAACGGTAAATCTTAACAATTTGTTCTGTTATATATTATACAAAACATAGTTGGCTGCATACTGTTCATTGAAACATAGTCGTTTAGGCGCACGAATCAGCGCAACTCAAAAAGATATATGCATCAATTTGCAGAAAGTAGTCCATTATGTGCACAAATTCGAGGAAAGCAATAACCTATACGCGGGAGTTTGCAAAAGACATTGGGCTATGCGTACGAATTCGCAAAAGATGATCGAGTATGTGTATATCTATAGAACGTAACGCGCAAATTCACGGAATGTAGTCCACGGTCAGTAGCAACGACTGCATTCCGTAGAATGCTGCAGTATGCCACTGATGTATCTGCTTGAATCTCCTTAAACAATGCCATCATCATCATCATCTCAGCCATTATTTGTCCACTGCTGAACATAGCTCTCCACCACAAACTGCCATAAGGAACACTCCTGAGCCTATTCAATGCATTTAATGTCGTCACTCCATGTAGTGGAGGGTCCTCCAAAACTACGCTTACCCGTACATGGTCGCCATTCAAGAAACTTCATTCCGCACCAGTTGTCGTTTTATTGAGTTATGCGACTAGCTCATTCTCACTTCAGCTTGTTTATCCTTCGTCACTCGTTTTTCGTCATCTACATATTGCATCATAAATTTTAACGTATCTTCAGGATGGCAACTCATACAGTGGCCCATACCGTGACTACCTATTCATCAAACGGCCACTACTCCGCATCAAAGTGGCGGGCAAGCCAGGCTCCACCACCATTGTCTTCGAGCCATCCCTCGACCAAATGAAGGTCCAGATCGTCAAGTGGTTTCACGCAATCATCAATGTTAATTATCAGCTGCCCAGTGTGGATAACATCATGTACCCTGGTAAGTTCTATACACTACGTTTTTATGGTTAACTTTTTATGTTCGGTTATAAAAAAAATTTGAAAATATTGAAAACATACTTTTTTAATTATATTAAAATGAGTAACACTAAAATAGCAGAAGAACAATAAAACAAAAACCGAGAAGAAAAGGAAGATATTGACTTCTTGGCTCATGAGGTGACCGAAATGTGAGGGTGACATCCACTAAAATTATCCCAATTGTTTTGTCGGTAAACGGTTGTATTCCAACTAGCCTGGAACCGCACCTCAGATAGATGGAATTCCGGGGTAGCTCTCTTTCGGGAAAGATGCACAAAGCTCTGAAATACTGACCGCATAGTACGCCGGTTTCTCTCCCTGTGGCCCTGAATCTCGACCAACTCTGTTTCTGCCGGGGGTTAATTTGCTATCTCTTTTCCTTAAGATGAGAGATGTGAATTTTGGAAATAAAAATAATAATGAATACATTCTACCGTGCGTTTTTCAAGACATTTTCTTCTACGCACAACTACTCTTTGGAATCAACTTCCAGCAGCAGTATTTCCGAACCTATATGATATCATAATCTTTGAGAAAAGATCATATTTCTTTTTAAAAGGCTGGTAGCACACCTGCAATACCTTTGGTGTTGTAGGTGATCATGACAGTCACTTACCATCAGGTGAGCCGATTGCTGGTTTGCTCCCTGTGTTGTAAAAAAACATTAATTTTTTTAATCAATTTTAAGGTGCGTATCGTCCGAGGCCATTCCTGAACACTGTATACCCGGACGAGCAGTACATGATGGACATAATAAATCAAAGCATCAAGCACTTCAGCGCCAACCGTCCGGGCCCCAACAGCTACTTGGCCAGCTACGAGCCCTACCACTATATCCTCGACGGTACTGCGCACCAGGAGCTGATGCAGTTTTTCGCCCAAGAACCCACGCCTTATCTTAAGGTTTTATTTATCAACATCATTACTTCATTAACTATATGCTCGTTTGTCTCTTGTATTATAAAAAAAACAACCTTGGTGTATAAGATAGAATATGGAATACATTGGAAAAATTATAGCTTTTAACGACAAGTTCTAGAAAAGAGCATGATCTCTTCTTAAAAAGCCGACAACATACCTGCATTTTCTTTGGTGTTGGGGGTATTTGTGAATGGCAGTAGTTGTGCATGCGCTCTATTGCTTATGTTATACTCGTATAAAAATAGGCTGATCCTTTTACGCCACGTTATATGTGTGTGGTGATTGACTATGATGTGTTATTCTCCTTTCTATCCTCATGATATTGTAACAAGTATATACATATATAAATGACCACTACAAAAATTGCTCCCACTTATCGGGCTATTTCATTATCCAATACTCTGATTACTAAGCACTCCAATATTGACAACGTCAATAACAAATTAGATAAATTCTCTAAATGTTATTTAAAAATTTTAAGTTTGTAAAATGTACCATTATACGTTTTGGGTGAAAATTACTGAAATAAATAAATAAGAGAAAGAAAACGGTAGACAGGCAAACTTCGGCAGGAAGTTTATTCCACAGCCTGAGCGTTCGAAGGAGAAAATTCTGAAACTGCATTGATCGTGGCTCTCGTTTATAAAAAAGTATGAATCTAGGAATTCTCGTCCCGCATCTACATGTACGAGGCTCTCCGTGACGAGGTCTTGTTCCTGCGACGTGACATCCCCCTCAACATGGTGATGCTGGACTGCGGGCCCATCAACGACGCCATGTGGACCATCGTGGACGGACTGCGGCAGTACATCATCGACCACTTCATTGCGATCAACAGGAAGTGGAACAGGGCGTTAGTATTCATTTATTGGTTGTCGTGTGAGTTTCAGATAAGAATCATGCAATATGTACAGGATATGGTATCTCAGAATATGCTTTATTTTAAGGCTGCAAGGAATTTAATTAAATTTATTTGCACCCGAATTAGCTGGTTTCCGGAAAGGCTTTTTTTATACAACTTAGAATGGCAAACAAGCTGACGGCTCACCTGATGGAAAGTGGTAACCGTCGCCTTTAGACATGAGCAGTACCATGGACATAATAGAGTATACTGTTTCGCGTTGCCATTCCTGAGGACTCAGGTGTTATTTCTCTGTACCCTGTAAATTCACTGCCATATCCCACCCTTCAAACCGAAACACAGCCATGCAAACACAGCTGCTTCACGGTTGAAACACGAATGGGACAGAGGTACCCAAGCAATCGACTTTTGTACAAAGTCTCCCTCTCTCTCTTTAACACCTTCTCTTCATATACTACAAATGTATGCTGAAGCAGATTATACCGAAGACTGAAAAAATAATTTGCCACTATATCTGGCGTTTGTAGACTCTGAGAAAATCTTTAACTCGGTCGAGATTTAGGCGGTAGTTTAAGAGGCGACTTAGGGAACTTAAAAGTTGAAGGATGGGCAGCAACGTCCTTCTTAAAATACCACCATGGCTACTACTAATTAAAGCCTCCTTATGGATGAGGCCTATGTTCAACAGTGGACAGTTAAAGGCTGATATGATATGACGATGAGCACAGTCCCTCTAACGGTATTACATTGACTATAAATATATCGAAGTACTGAAGTGTATGTACAGTAGGACTACCATGTCTATCCAAGTACAGAGCCAAAGTACGTAACCCATTCTAGTTCAGAAAGATCTAAGACAGGGTGATGTCATATCCCCGAAGTTCTTCACAGCTGCATTGGAAGATGTTTCAAACTCCTGGATTGGAAGAGAGATGGTATAAACATCAATGGCGAATAATATAGTAATCATGGGGGAATCTCTGTAGGACTTGAATACCTCAATGACCTTAATAATACCTTTGTGGTATAAAAAAATTATGGGGTCTTTATTACAGATAGTCTCATCTTTTTAAAAATACCGTTACGTTTGTATCATGTACCTTCAAATGAGTAGTACTATGGGCGTCACAGAATATTCCGTGATGTTTATAGTCATAGTCCATGATTCATGTGTATAGGCGATGATTAATACCATAAATATATTCCAATAAAAAAAAATGCTGCACAGCATCTGCAACGTGTACGAAGAGATGGGCGCGCGCGCGTCCGAGAGCCCCGAGACCACGGCGCAGCTGGTGGAGCTGCTCAGCTACATCTCGGAGTGCCGCGACTGCGCCATGTTCGACCTGCGCGAGCGCAGTCGCACCACCGCCGAGTACGTGCTCTTTCTCATGCAGCACGCGCACCTCAACTGTACGTCCTCCACTTTCTTACAGATCGTTATTGGTCGCTGTATTAAATAAATAGAAAGAAATTTTGAAAACCTATCCGATATATTCAAGAACGGGCGCTGCTTTTAGATACTAATCTGCTCTTGACTGGTCCACTCTTGTTTATTACTTTTGACTGATTATCAAATTTCTACTCTGAAAATGAATATAAATAAACACTGAAATACGAATTTATTATCATTGTATCCGGATAAATTTTAAAACTTAAAATTTCGCGTTGATTTTTTGACATATTTTAAATACACTATTGAGATTTAAAAAAAAATAGAAAGTTGTCGAATTTTCGATGTGGATTGCACCACTTTGAAACGTTAGCAATAGAGAAGCAGGTATGAAGGTGCTAATTACCTGTAAAAAAAGTTCACATTGCGTTAAGTCCCGATAGTGTATTTAATTTATTAAGCTATTTTGTACTGAAGAGGCACTGTTTTTTATTATTAAATTTTTTATAGAGTTTTCTCGGTATATAATAACAAACGGAGCTTGTAAACATCTCTCTAAAGAGTTTTGTTCTGTTTACTAAAACAAATCTTCAGTAACAGTAAAAGTATCCACATAGTGTCTTAACGATTTAATCAATTTCTATGCAATTTGGTACTATATAGATGGAGAAGAACATAGACTACTTTTTGTCCCAGTCAGTCAATGTATCCTAGTCACGCAGGCGAAGTCGCGGGTAAAAGCTAGTTCATATATAATTGTTTGAATGTATCGTAATACAGCAGTACTGGGGGGAAGGGATCGTTAGTAATGCGGGCTACAGTCTCATTGCTAGCAATATACCCTGTCAGGTCGACCTCCACGCGGTTTCCCCTGGAAACCATCGTGCTGAGTTCCAGGTGTATTCATCACGATAGGCTGACTGACCTACTTTTTTCATTATTCACCTATCATCTCTCACTGGTGCCCCGCCAGCGTATACCGATAGCGCATGCGGGCTTATCACTCCATCATCCATTAAAAAAAAATACAGCAGTGCTGCCAAGCGTAGCAACTACTGGCAATACCTTCCTTATGGGTGGAGGCTATGTTCAGCAGTGGAGAATTAACGGCTGATACAACAATAACGAAAATTGTATATAAATATCGCTAATCACAGTCGAAGACATCAACCTAAACACACGCGTGTTCCTCTGGCCACTGGACATGGAAGAGACCATCGATCTTACGCTTAAGACTCTGTATACCAAGAAGAACATGGCGGAGGACAAGCTGCGCAGCCGGAAGGCGATCTTCGAGGAGAAACTGAAGCGGCACGAGAAGGAATTGGAACTATTCCGGCGGTTTGACCCGCCGCTTTTGAATTTGGATCTGTTAAAAGAAGTCGTGGGGAAGGTGGACGAGATTTTCCACAATTTGACGGTTAGTCTGTTATCTGACTACCTTGTTTAAACGGTTTCCAGTCTAGGAGTATGATCTCAATTTGTGTGGCAATGTTTTTTATTTGACTTAGAAAGGCAAACACTGATGGTTCACCATTCAAGTCATTAATTTCATCATTCAATTAATTTATCTACATTGTTTTAATTTTTTAATTATTTCATTCAATTTATTCCTGCAATTAATTTATTTATTTTATTTAGAAACATTGTAAGGAATCGGTCCAGCAATGAATTTCCAAGAGTGCGTTTATCAAAGAACTTTAATATCCGTTACTTAATCATATAACTTCTTTGATTAATTACAGGAGGACAAGCACGAAGCGGACGACATTATAAATGAAGAAACCCTACTAGACCAGGAAGTGTCGGTCTATTTCAGCTTGCAGACCATGCTGGCCAGCGTCGATCCCTTCCACAAGCTCTGGCACACCGCTTTCGACTTCTATGACGGTTACGAAAAATGGTCTCTTTCTTATAAGACCTTTTATTTTAAACGCTATTCCATTCTTGAAAATGGTTGTCGCAATCCATTAATACTCGATACCAGCTTGATCCTTGATATGTGGAAAATAATTTATTTATAGATATTTTTTTTTTAATGGATGATAATGGAATGGTAACCCCGCCTGCGCTAACGGTATACGCTGGCGGGGTACCAGTGATAGAGGATAGGTGAGGATGAAAACGCAGGTCAGTTAGCCCATCGTGATGAATACACTTGGAATTCAGCACGATGGTTTCCAGGGGGGACCACGGGGAGGTCGACCTGTTAGGGTATATTATTAGCAATGGAACTGATAATCCGCATTACTAACAATCTCTTCTCCCCCCTATAGACACATTGTCACTATTGTTGTTTCTTGTAAATAAATAAATAAAATAAATAAATATTGCATGCGTGAGAGAAATGATTCGTGTCTTATTTATTCTCTTATGTTTCATTTTCCAATAGATTTAAATGCCGCTCATCTATAAGGGGCTAAAATATCGCTAATTTTAGAAGCATTCATGGGATTGAAAAATAATTAATAAATATTTCCGGACTTTCTGGTGGAATCGGTAATGCCCAGATACTTTTATAGATATGAATAAATAACAACAACTGGTAAACAATCTAGTAATTTATTTACGTCATGGAAAGTGATAACCTTCGCATAAAGATTTATGTAAATATTGTAAAATGAAGACAAATTCAGGCTAGTTGATCCATCGTAGAGTATTCACTAGGACTTAACAACGATGGTTTTCAGGAAGAAATGTGCGGAACAAGTTAACAGTCTATAATTCTTCTTTCTTGATCGTTTGACAGGTACCATGGTCCCTTCCTGGGACTAGATGCGGAGCAAATCGCCGAAGACGTGGAAGCATGGTGGAAGCTGCTATACAAGCTTGGCAAACAACTATACGAGTACCCCGGAGCTAAACGCATTGCCGATATGGTGCGCAACAAGGTGGAGAAGTTCAAGGTGCTGCTGCCTGTGCTCTGTGCTATATGCAATAAGGTACGATTTGAAGACAATTATTTTGTGACCAAGCCATGTTTTTTTTTATTTCTATCGTGCAATTTCGTTTTACATTAGTGAAGTGTTTTATTTATTTTTATAATTTTATTGACTAATAAAATATGGTGTAAAAATCGGACTTAATGCTATAGGCATTATTTATAAGGTAATCTTTTTTTTATATATATATTAGCTTTTTGCTCGTTACTTAAAAATAAATAACTGTAGGGTAATAGACTTATATAGTAATTTAATTACGTAATTGTAACTTTACACGGTATGTGATATATTCTTTAGCAATATAAATGTTGTAAGCCTCTTAGTAATAAATAGATATGAAGCACAAGTTCACTTAGTTCATTTAATTTAGATATCATACTATTAAATCATATATTTACTTATTTTACTTTGTATTTGATATATAACAAATAATATAACATAAATACCCAACTTCTGTTAATCCATTCACACTTATTTAACTATAGCTTCTTTAGGACTTCCATCAACAATTGTGATATATTTTATATAATGACCACGTGGTTCACTATACTTGTTCACTCTTGATACGTCAGGGCGCTCCGCTCTGTTGAACAAGACCCAAATAACAATCTTTTATATCTACATGGCCGAATTCGAGTGAACAAGTCAGTGATTCTTACAATTTCATTACTTTTTATTCAAGTATCATGACAATAAATAATTATAAAATTAATTAAAATATAAATTAGTGTTCTATATACATTACAAGAATAATTTATTACTAAATTTGGTATAATAACAATTTTAACGTTTTATTATATTTAAAGTAGTTAGTCTGATTTTTATTAATAAATGCAGGCTACACATTTGAACACAAGATGTTTAAGAAAATTAATATCTAATATATAAAATTCTCGTGTCACGGTGTTTGTTACCAAACTCCTCCGAAACGGCTTTACCGATTTTCATGAAATTTTGTGTGCATATTGGGTCTGAGAATCGGCTAACATCTATTTTTCATACCCCTCAATGATAAGGGTGACCCTTCCCAATATTTTTTTTTTAATGGACTAAAAAAATATTTTCCAAATAATGTATATGGCAAAACAACGTTTGCTGGGTCAGCTAAATAATTTAAAATAAATATCTAACACACGCATGTATTTTAGAAGTAGAAAAACTAATAAAATTGATCACTTTTAAATAGCGTATCAAGGTGAAACATATACCAGACTTTAAGTTTATACCTTCGGGAATACAATTGGGAAAGCTTCAGTCAGTTTGGTGCAATAATAATTGCATGTTGCCGGAACAAATCTACAGACAGACAAAATTTAAAAAAAAATATATGCTTGGCATCATTTATTAGTCGTATTAAGACCCTCTTATATTAAATATCTCCCTAGGTACAGATATCGTCTAGTATTGCTTTATATTAATAAATTTGCAGAGTATTTTTGATGATTGATAGCTTTCTTGTGCTTGTGTGCGAACTTGAAGCAATCTTTTACGCTTTATTTAAAGACCCTATATTTCACTGGGTAACATCTCTTTAAGGATTTTACAATTTGACTATTTTTGAGAGGACTTCGAAACAGAGCTGTATGCGACTAAACAAATTTCGAATATTCAAGATGTTGGGATTGGATTTGTATTTTGGGATCGTAATTTTTTATATACGTAGGGCATGCGCGACCGTCACTGGGCGCGCATCAGTGAGCTGGTGGGAGTGGAGGTGGTACACGGGCCGGAAACGACGCTGGCCGACATGGTAGAGCAGGGCGTCCACGTATACGCCTCGCAGCTCGAGGAGATTGAACAGACCGCCTCCAAGGAGTACTCGCTCGAGATGGCGCTCAAAAAGATGAAGGACGAATGGGTCGGCGTCAAGTTCGAAGTGGTACCGTACAGGTGGGTGACAGATTTATAAAGTACTACCGACCCGCCCCGGGTTTGCACGAGTACAATATTTGTTTGTGTAACTTAAACTGTTCAACACACTTTAGTAGCTGGTATTCTAATGTATATGCAAGTACTGCACTAATATTCCCTAAGAATTTAAAATGAACAGCTTGTATTATTTGTTTACAAGATCGGTACTAGTGAGGAATGAGAAGTGAAGACGAAGTCAGATAGGCCTATCGTGCTTTTTTAGACTTTACATAAGTGTCTACATGTTATTAACCTGTTTACGATTCCTTTAATGATAAAACATGTATCTACAGGGATACAGGCGTAGGAATCCTAAGTGGTTTGGATGAGGTACAACAGCAATTGGATGATCACATACTGAAATCGCAGACGATGCGTGGTTCACCGTACGTGAAGGCGTTCGAGGCAGACATGGCTGCCTGGGAGGAGAAGCTGATCAGCATGCAAGATATACTAGACCAGTGGCTTCAAGTTAGTCATTATTAATCTGTAGTCATTAAGTATCCATTGCTGAGTCTTAAATCATCTCTTTCGACTCTTACAACATATTAGAGGTTGTTGCTGCATCTACTAGGGATTTATAGAGTTACGAGTATGTGGCTTGGTTATTACTACTACAGATTGCTGATTCTTCTGATTATAATATCGTCCGCTGGTTCATTTGAAGATATTATCGTTTAGGACGCGTAGTAAACCAATCAAAATTCGTAATGCGATTCCAAACCTGTTTGTATTAAAAATCCCCCTTGTTACGGTCATTTATTTGTTTATTTATTTATTAAATCCACTGGGTGAGCCTTACAGTCTTCCAATACGCACACCCAGGAAAGCATGAGTACAATAATATATAAAAAAGGAATATTACACATATATAACAAGAATAATATAAAAAGACTTAAACAAAAACGTCTGAACACAAATACTCTGTGTCCACCCGACGAAACCCTAGCAAGTTGGAGGCAAATACATCCAATTGCGGATACTGGCTCAAAATATCATTGAGTAGTTTTAATGCAGGAGATAGATCATAGAAATGATATCCAAAGTAGTATGGGTCGAGATTACAGCCATATCTCGAATTTTGATTGGCAAATAGTGTTTTCCATTATCGTACATTTGAAATTGAAGTTAATGTGAAGGTTTTTCTATCGGCAAAGTTTTCATATTTATGCAGTTTTCTATGTCTCTCGTTCTAGTGCCAAGCAACATGGATGTATCTAGAGCCTATATTCTCGTCGGAGGATATCATGCGTCAGATGCCGACAGAGGCTAGAAATTTCCGGGACGTAGATAAGGAATGGCGGTCAATCATGGCAGCCACACAGAAGGATCCCATGGTCTTGAGAGCCACAGACTTTCCAGGTTTGTTGAAGAAGCTGAAATACAGCAATGCACTGCTGGATGATATACAGAGGGGACTGAATGACTATTTAGAGAAGAAGAGGCTGTTCTTCCCGAGGTTAGTCAAATTTCGTAATTAATAATAAATGGTCTGGTCTCGAAGCCGTAAAAATAAGCTCGCTTTCGATATGCCTACATTTCATATTGGACCTTAAATTAAAAAAAAAACTTTTATGGGGGAGAAGCGTTGGACAGTTAACGACTGTTATGATGATTTACCGTGTGGTCCCGGCATAGAATAGGCCGCTTCCTTTTCTGTGGATGTCGTAAGAGGCGATTAAAGGAGAGCGAGGGATGAGCAGCACTATCCCTCTTAAAACATTTTCAAAGCCTAACTGCGGTTGCCAGTCCGCATGTCAAGCGTGGCGACTGCTGATAAAACCCCTAAGGTATTCAGAAGAAGACAGTTAAATGCTGATATGATGATGATGATGATTGGAATCTAAAGTGACAGGAGGCTGATTGTTTTATTTTATTCTATGTATTTCTAAAGGACTGAATTAACCAAGTTCGTGCGTCCATGATGATTAAATATTTGCACAAACGTTTATTTATAATATTTAATTTGTTATGAAATAAGATATTGTGATAGTAAAAGATGTGCTTAAGATTTATATTTTCGGAGATAATAGATGTTGTTTATATAGCATTTGTAACAAATTGGAATAACCCCTGAGTATTCAGGAATGGCAACGCATGGGAGGTATCATGGGCAAATCAGTACACTCTGTTATGTCCATGGTACTGTTCATGTTTGTAGGCGACGGTTACCATTTAGCATCAAGTGGACCGTCAGCTTGTCTGCCATTCTAAGTTGCATAAAAAAACGAGGTTTTTATTTATATAAAATCATTTATCAATAGATTCTTCTTCTTATCCAACGACGAACTGCTCGAGATCCTCTCCGAGACCAAAGATCCAATGCGTGTACAACCACATCTGAAGAAGTGCTTCGAAGGCATATACACACTGGAGTTCAATGCTGCTAAGGAGATTGTCGGAATGGCTTCCGCTGAAGGCGAGGTCGTCAAATTGTCGAGTAGTATACAGCCCACGGATGCTAAGGTAATCTGTACCAGAAAATACATGGCTAGATGCTTTGTACACACGTAATACTTCAAAAATATTTAAATTTAGAATGCAGAATCCCATTTAAGGAGAGCTGATGAGATATATCATTAAAGAGTACAATAAATATCATTTAGGGTATGGTGGAGAAATGGCTGCAGCAATTGGAGCAGCAAATGATCGTGAGTCTGCGCGACGTAGCCACTGAGGCAGTGGGCGCTTACCCCATCAGTAAACGCGAGGAGTGGGTCCTCAACTGGCCTGGACAAATCGTACAGGCCGGCTCTTGCGTACAATATACCGCTGAGGTGAGTCCAGTTCGATACTTTCAATTTAGTTGTTGATGTAGAGCGGTTTTCTGCAACGGTACAAATACAGGTAAATGTAAAAAAAAGATTATAATCTTTCATAATAATTCCGCTTTTATAATATTTCCGCTTAGTGAAGTTCGGATATATACTATGTTCAGGTTATAGAAGCGATAGAAACGAACAGCCTACCAGCATTAGTGCAACGCAGCACGGAACAGATCACGGGGTTGGTGTACCTGGTGCAGGGATATCTCGACCCTGGCAACCGGATTACTATAGAAGCGCTCATTGTCTTGGATGTACACGGTAAATATGTGGACCAACTGTCAGTTGCACATCATGTTTTATAGAATCGATTGGTGATGCTACAGATTCACATATTCGCATGCATTTTATTCAGATACAAACCAACTAACGTTTGTAACAGGGCGATCGATTCTCGAAGAAATGGCGGAAAAGCAGGTTTCGGATGTGACGGACTTCAACTGGATTTCCCAGCTGCGGTACTATCTGCGCGGGGACCGCATCGTCTGCTCGATGATCACCACGGACGTGGAGTATGGGTTTGAGTACCTGGGCAACACTGGTCGCCTCGTCGCTACCCCGCTCACCGACAGATGCTTCAGGTCACTTGCTGTACCTATTATTTTAGGGCGAAGAGGAGGGTGTATATTGTGAAAGAGAGACCTAGTAACGAAGAATGTTACGCATGAGGGAAACGAGGCAGGTCAAGGCATTCTGTGATTTTCATGATGATGTTATGTCAATTTGCCATGGTGTCCACTTTCTAGCAGGTTTTCCGCTGTTGGCTTGTTTGACGATTAATTACTAAAGAATAAGATTAAATGAAAGAAGTTAAGGAGATGACAAGAAGAGTATATTATATTTTTATTTTGTATGTTCTTAAAAAAGAGCGTAATAAAGTTTCAGGCGTTCATAGGCAGTGACTGATTACAGTCAAATGGGCTGTATGCTTGTTTGTTACTTTTATGGTATAAAAAGTGCCTACTTTCCTTCATTATAAATCATACGTATATTGTACCTCTAGGACTCTAATGAGTGCCCTAAAACTGAACCTGGGCGGTGCGCCTGAAGGGCCAGCAGGCACTGGTAAAACGGAGACCACCAAGGACCTCGCCAAAGCGGTTGCTAAAAAGTGTGTAGTCTTCAATTGCTCAGATGGATTGGATTATAAGGCACTTGGTAAATTTTTCAAAGTAAGTATTGTTATAAAGTATTGAAAATAATATTTTTGTATTTTTGTGGTTAATTGAAAAATATTAAAATTTATTTATTTGTTTAGCTTAAATCTGTTAACCTAATAATGTATGTACCTACCTATAGTAGTTACAAAGTAAATATGCCTAACCCGCCAAGTCGGGGGGAAAGGGATTGTTAGTAATGGAGACTGATAATCCCATTGCTAGCAATATACCCAAACAGGTCGACCTCCTTGCGGTTCTCTCTGGAAACTATCATGGTTAATTCCTGATGAATTCATCATGATGGGCTAACTGGCTTGTTTTCATTCTCATCTATCACCCTTCACTGGTGCTCCGCCAGTGTATCCCGTTAGCGCAGGCGGGGTTACTATACCACTTTCACCCATAAAAAAAAAAACCGTAAGTCTGCGACATTCTAGACGAATATTGTGTCCAACCATGCCCAATAGATGGGACGGTAATCGGTCGTTATAATGATGACCATGATGATATTTGTTCAGGGTCTAGCGCAATCTGGAGCGTGGGCATGCTTTGACGAGTTCAATCGGATAGACCTGGAAGTGTTATCGGTGGTGGCCCAGCAGATCCTCTCCATCCAGCTCGCTATACTTCGCCGGGAGAAGCGGTTCGTGTTTGAGGGGACCGAAATCAACCTCAATCCCACCTGTTCAGTCTTCATCACAATGAATCCGGGGTGAGTTACACTTGTGAATTTATTCTCTAATTCACAGGGCAGTATTGACAATCGAGTATCTGATCTTTATCTTATACACCTCTTTTAAGTGAGTCTTGACCTTTTCGTCAGAAGAGATAATTATGATCTATGTGATCATAATACATTACTCTAAGGCGTCCCAAGTACCAGTATCATAGCTATAGCTAAGGGGGGAGGGGAGCACAAAGGGGCAATGCCCTACTTTAAAAGACCTAATGCCCTTAAAATGAAAGACCCCAAAAAAATTAGACAGATTCGCTTTTTCAAAGTCACTTAATTATGGCTTATGCCCTACCAAAAAGTTCTTTTGCCCCACCTTAAACTTATGTCCAGCTACGGCCCTGATCAGCATCCTTTCAGTGTCATTTTGTATACTTCATCCTTATTTAGCACCAATAACTTTTCCAACCATAAATCCTTACAACGGTTCTAGAATCTTCCATGAAACGCCATTTATGTTTGTCGAACAGATACGCGGGCCGTACCGAATTGCCAGACAACTTGAAGGTTCTGTTCCGCACTGTCGCCATGATGGTACCCGATTATGCGATGATTGGCGAGATCACGCTATATTCCAACGGATTTGTTAACGCCGGACCGTAAGTGGACTTACATGTTCTATGATGTATGTATGATTTATGTATTTATAGTCTCCAAGATACAGGTCTGGCCTAGTTTGGGGACTCCTGGTAATGCAGACTTTTTTCTCATTCAATATAAATTGTAAAAATTGTAACTTGTACTTTATGTAACTGCACCTCACTTGAATTATCTAATTAGCATTGTACTTTTTTTTGTGCTATTTTTTTATGTTTGTGGTACAATAAAGAATTATTAGTATTATTTAAAATATAGAATTCTTGTATCATAGTATTTTAAAAGACATGATGTTGCAATTTGCAAAAACAATTTTATTTATAAGTTACACAGAATGAATATTTTTAAATATTATTAATGTAGGTACTATAAAACTATATGAAATTTTACTGAATTCTGCTTATCTTACCACCTGAAAAAATCTCTTTAATATATAATTCCAATTAACACATATTATTAAAATTAAGATCCTTAACCTGCAAAGGATTGTCGTATTTAATTTTTAACTGTTCCTACTATGCTTGATTTTGCTTAATATGGGCTCAATTTGGGAATAAACACCATCGTTTGCAAAAAATATAAAAATTGCTTCAAAATTAGCAATGGGTAGCACAATGATAAAAAATATAGATAAATTGAAAACTTTCTCCTTTTATGTATGTATTAAGGTTGGCGCGTAAGATAGTACAAGCTTACAAGCTTTGCTCGGAGCAACTGTCGTCACAGAACCATTACGACTACGGCATGCGCGCGGTCAAGTCCGTGCTGCTCGCTTCCGGCGCGCTCAAAAAGAATTACCCTGAGAAGGACGAGGCGCAGCTCGTCCTCAGGGCCATCATCGATGTTAACATGCCCAAGTTCCTTTCCCAGGTCTGCCTTATTTCAATTTATTGCCTTACTAGCTTTAAATAATTTGATAGATGCCCAGAAAATTGAAATTCGTAGATTTGTGGAATCAAGGTTTGTTGAAGGTTCGTCATAAGTTTAGATCAATTTATGTTTTTAATAAATTTTAATTCAGTCATTTACTCATTTGTGTCTACTTCATTCTACTCAAAAAATACAAAATTTAGGGCTACTCTTAGTCAGTGATGACAGGACGTATTGATTGTAAATATCTGTTCCGTTATAGACCGGACATTGGTATTTTGCAGATATTTAAATAAACATTGCGGTCTTCTAGAATTTAGGGAGGTAGGTCTTCTAAAATCCGGTCATTATTAACAATTTCCAAATTTTAGATACCATTCAATTTCTATATTTTTGAAGTCGCAAAATTTATCCATCCACATAAGGGAGGGATCTACCAGTGAAACTGAATTTTTTCTTTAAATAAACATAAGTAGATCGAAAAAGAACAAACTAATGTAATACTAAGCATTTTTGTTGTTGATTTTTTTATTGGGAAAAATGTTCAAGTTTACTGGTTGAACACTCCTTTAATATTATATATTAAAGAGAGGATCACGTATTTGTCGGCTTTCTTAGTAAGCACAGTTAAAATGTAGGTCAAGGCGGTTTAAAAGCCACGTTCTTCTCTTTGTATCACCATCTACTTATGTCCAGGATGTACCGTTGTTCGCGGGCATCTACTCGGACCTGTTCCCCGGCGTGGAGATACCGCAGCCGGACCGCGCCGAGCTATTATGCTGCATAAACAAAGATTTGGAGAAGAGAAACCTCCAGGCCACAGAGTGGTACCTCGAGAAGATTATACAAGTGAGATAATACAGTTAATTATCTTCACAATTTTAGAGTTTCCCTTTGTTAGTGCTACTAATTCAAGTATTCTCTAAAAATAAGTTTTACTCACAAACTACATTCTTGATTTATGTTGTAAATTAAGTATATTTAATTTTTATTTATTCTATGTTAGACTTTTTTATCTTTTTATCCCCCTTTTATCTTTTATTTGCTTGTTTTTGATGATTAAGATGTAATACCTTCATATCCTGTAACTGGTCTCCCATTGTGGGCACATTGCATTTGCTGCAGGTGAAACACTTCATAACTATAGACATTTCTATTTGGTGTTAATAAAGGTCTTCAGATAGCTTTTGATACGAATCTTGTATTCTAGATCTACGAAATGATGCTGGTTCGGCACGGGTTCATGATTGTAGGCCCACCGATGGGCGGCAAGACTCAAGCTTACCAATCACTGGCGGACTCCTTGCGGGCCTTGCAGCTCATGAAACCTCCGCCAAGGCACAAGGAGTTCGGAGCTATATACAGGATTATTAACCCGAAGGCGATCACCATGGGTCAACTCTATGGGTGCTTCGATCCAGCCTCGCATGAATGGTGAAACTTTAATTAATAAATTAAAATTTTAAGAATAAGAGGATGTGAGTAAGTGGCCTTATAGCTGACATTACACCTGGTCAAATCGATCTCAAAGTAGCCACTGGATACTATTGTGGTTAATCCTTGGTGAATTTGTGACGATAGGTCAACTGACCTAATTTCATCTTCACTTATCAATTCATATGTATATTTGTATTTCAAAACCAATAAATATTTTCTAACGTCAGGGAGTGGGAGAAGGAACGAAACATGAAACGAGTTATGCAAATGAGTGAAACAAAATATTTATGTCTAAATGCGAGGCGTTAGTACTCAGTTCTCTCTACTCACCCTTCAAAGAACTAAAATAATCATAACTTGTCTAGGTCCGATGGCGTTCTAGCAATTGCGTTCCGTGAGTACGCGATGTCAATAACGCGCGACCGCAAGTGGATATTGTTCGACGGGCCGGTGGACGCGGTGTGGATAGAGAACATGAACACGGTGCTCGACGACAATAAAAAGCTGTGCCTCATGAGCGGCGAGATCATACAGGTTTGTAAAGTCATCACATCGCTTTAGCTGCTGCTTGTTCACTGTTGAATATAAGAGAAATTATGGTGGAACTATAGACTGTCATAAGGAACAACCCAGAGCCATCTGAGCACAACTTTGAGTTTAATCTTCTTCGTAACTCGCTGTCCATATTTTTCTTATAGCTAGTCCCACTGTTGCTGCTAAACCATTGGAAGGAAGTAGGGGAGACTCATCTTCCCAACTTGCTTTCTACATATTTAGAAGTAGAGTATAAGTAAGATTTGTATTCTCTCCTGACAGATGACAAATAAAATGAACCTGATCTTTGAGCCGGCGGATCTAGAGTTTGCATCGCCGGCGACGGTTTCTCGTTGCGGCATGATATACATGGAACCCGAGCAACTTGGTATATATTTTGTGATGTAATTTGAAAATTATGATGCTGTCCGTGAGTGTGGTAAGAAGCGATTAAGGGAATTTAATAGTCGAGGAACTTTTTTGGACAGCAGCGTTCCTCTTTAAATATCACTAAAGCCTAACTGCGATTGCTAACTAGCCTTTCAAGGGTAGCAATTGCTGGTAAAGAATAGGGGCAGGCATATATTCGGCAGTGCACAGTTAACGGCTGCTATGATGATGATGATGATGAAAAATGTATTTTGAGAGAAACTGTATGACATAGCATGACCACATTCTTTGAAATCTATCTGGGATTTCCTTTTGCAAACGCTCAAATCTGTGTGTAAATTTCCTCAAAGTGGTGCAGGCTATGATAACCATTTGCCATAAAATGGGCAGTATTTGCTAGTAATGGGGTATAAAAAATATTTGAAATTAATCTCTAACTTTAAAAGTAATACTTGAAAAATACATAGCATGGTTTTGTTATTTGAAGATGGCTAAAAATAAAATTTGACTTTAAATAAAAAGGTTGGCGTGCCTTCCTCGCGTCATACAATACACACTTGAGCAAAAAGTTGATCCCAGAACAGTTCGAGTTGATCCAGGAGTTGATCGATTGGCTCGTGCCTCCTGTTTTCGAGTTTTTGCTGCTGCGGTGCCAGCATTTCGTGCACGTTGGGGAGATACATCAGTTTTATGTGAGTATTAGTGTGCCAATATTTTACTTAATTCATAAAACAACGTTATTGTTTAATTACACATAATCTAGAATTCTAAAATATGTTTTCTGTAAATGGGCAATTAACTAATGAAGGCCTTTACGTACTATGCGAATTCATGCACAACTTCAAACGAGTCCCGAGATACTATCTCAGGATTCGTTGAGATCCTTATAGAACATAGTTTTAAAGTTGAGTTATTATTTATTCTGTTATAAAATTAGAAGTCCGTTTAGTTATTAAACCAAATAGGTACCAGTTATTTTGTTTGTCTGCTACTTAACTGTACCTAACTCTCGCGACTTTGCCTCTTTGAATCATTATAATCTTATTTGATTAGAATTATTTCGTTTAATTCCGCCACCATTAGTATGTGTGTGATTGCCAACATTCGAAGATTGACCACCACTATTACAACCAGAAGTTACAATCTTCCATATTAGCCATCAATCTTTGACTGCTATTTTGTTCGTGCACGTTTTGCGTCATGTGTTTCACCTCTAAACGAGGCATCTTCAGGCAAATTCTTAATCTTCAGGCAGATCGTTGTTCAGAGCCTAGCATTAACCGTTCAGCGCCCAAACTGCGAATGATTAACTAAGGTACCCAACCCAAGCAGATGACTTTTGTATAAAGGTTCACTTTGGTTTGAATATTTCGTTGGCAGTCGTTCACCCGCCTGTTCACGTGTCTGCTGGAGGACGAGACGCAGTTCAGCACCGTGTGGCTGCAGTGCACCTTCATATTCGCGCTGCTCTGGGGTCTCTGTGCCACGCTCAATGGTAGCTATAATTTATGAATTTAGGAATATTGTAATATTCGATTATAATTTTTGGTTTCCAACTTACCTGACAAGTGTAGCAACTATTGGCAAAACCCCCTTTATGGGGTAGGCTTTTGTTCAGCAATGGAAAGTTAACGGCTGATATGAATATGAAAAATTTGACAATAAACGGTGGAAAAAGAAACAATCGGAATCTAATTACATACTGTGTTGCTATCAATGGGGACTAACATTCCTATTACTACCAAACTCTCTCCCCCTGACGCCCATTACTACTTCTAAAAAGTTCTATTAAGTGTTCCTTACCTTAAAAAATAAAAAAACGGATCCTTTATAGCAGCCTTTCCCAAAGTGGACGAAAACGCCCCCTTGTGGGCGCTGCAGACTTAAAGGGGAGGCGGTAAAAGACCCAGAAAAAAAATGGGGGCGTTGTGTAAAGGCTTGGGGGGATGATTTGTAATTTGAAATAATAGTGGTTTTTAAGTAGGCGAAAAAATGGGGGCGCTAAAAAATAATTTATTGTCAGTGGGTCTTGGGGACCCCTGACTGCATAGGATCTCCTTGTTGTCCATCTTTTTGACCCTTTTTCTTAGGATCGCGTGGAGCTATCAAGCTGAAATTACTATCAAATAAACTTAAGTCTGAAATCTTTTGAAACCGTGAAAAATCAAACTTCTAGATAAACACAATCAAAAGATAGTGTATATTTTGATATTTGCAAGGGAATCCAAACCTATAAGGTACTTCGTGTTAACCTAGAATCTTACCGAAAACCGTAAATTTGTAGTTACATCGTAATTTGTTTTTTGTTTAATTAAAATTTGTGCGGAACCCTCTGTATGCGAGTTCGACTCGCACTTGGCAGATTATAATTTTTTGCTTTCTAATTAATCCCTTTACTAAAAAATGAAAATTTCTTCTCAGCGGACAGCCGGAAGCAATTCGACTTGTTCTTTCGTAAACTGCTGGATGGTAACAATGCGGCGCACCCTAAGCCGAAGTCGTTCAAGCTGACGAAGAACCAGCTGTTCCAGGACAAGGACACCGTGTTCGACTACGTGTATGACAAGAGGAACAACGGCTCCTGGATACCCTGGATGGAGCTGGAGAAGGAGGCGCCCCTCGCCGCCAACGCCAAGGTATGGAGTATTTTTTATTCATTTATTTATTACATTCATAGGGTACAATGACCTGAGAGAAAACAATAAAACACATTAAATGTTAAAACAATTTGTAAAATTAATAGGCTAGTGGGTAACATTGGGGAGAGGAAGGGATTGTTAGTAATGCGGATTATTATTTCCATTGTTAACAATATACCCTGACAGGTCGACCTTCTCTTCCCCCCCCCTGGAAACCATCGTGCTGAATTCCAAGTGTATTCATTACGATAGGCTAACTGACCTTCCTTTTCATCCTTACCTATCATCCCTCACTAGTGCCCCGTCAGCGTATACCGTTAGCGCAGGCGGGGTTACCATACCATTATAATCCATTAAAAGAAAAAGGTAACATTATTTTTTTTTCATATTATCATCATCATCATCATATCAGCCGTTAACTGTCCACTGTTGGACATAGGCCTGCCCCATAAAGGGCGTTTTACCAGTAGTTGCGGGTTAGCAACCGCAGTTAGGCTCTGGTGATGTTTTAGGAGGGTTGCTGCTGCCTACCCCTTGATCATTAAGTTCCCGTAGTCGCCTTTTACAACACCCATAGGATATTTCCACCTAAGCTTATATACCGTAGTTAGTAAGTGTGTATGAAAGTATATTGTGTAGCAAACCTGGAAATGAACATCTGGGCTTTAGGATAAAATGACCATGCACAACCATTCTTTGGAATCAACTTCCAGCAGCAGTATTTCCGAACCGATACGACAACATAACCTTCAAGAAAAGAGTATATTCCTTTTTAAAAGGTCGGCAGCACACCTGCAATGTCGCTGGTGTTGTGGGTGATCATGGGCGGCGGTAGTCACTTACCATCGGGTGAGCCGCCTGGTTTGCCCCCTGTGTTGTAAAAAAAAAACCATAGGAAAGAAAGGGAAATTTTTCGCGTAATAGATATTATATCTAAAAATGGCTTGGTTTTATTTAGTTTCTTCGGTTATTTAAATTTTTCTGTAATATCTTATGTATTAATTTAGCATATAACAACTTAGATGGAATTCCATTTTTTGGAAGTCGTTTAAAAGTTGTTTTTTTCAAATATCTTCTGTAGAGAGATAGAGAGAGACTTATTTTTTAACGGATGATAATGGAATGGTAACTCCGCCTACGCTAACGGTATACGCTGGCGGGACACCAGTGAGGAAAAGGCAGGTCAGTTAGCCCACCGTGATGAATACACCTGAAATTTAGCAAAATGGTTACCACAGAGAGTTGATGTTGAGGTCGACCTGACAGGGTATATTGCTAGCAATAGGACTGGTAGTCCGTGTTACTAACAATCCCTGCTTCCACGAGAGAAAGAATTTAGGAAATAGAAAAATCAGATCACGCAGGCAAAGTTGCAGGAAATGGTTGTAGTCTATTCTCTGAGATGTTCAGTCGTCTCCAGGTGAACGACCTCATTATCCTGACAAACGAGAACGCGTGTCTCCGCTTCTTTGTGTCGAAGATGGTGAAGTCCAAAATCCCAATCCTGCTGGTGGGCCCCACCGGCACCGGCAAGTCCTCGTTAGTGCTGAACTTCCTGCTTACACTACCCAAGGAAAAGTACATCACAAACACCATCAATTTCTCTGCTAGAACCACCGCCAATCAGGTGAGACAAATTTAGGTTTCTTTTTTCTATTCGTGACTTAAGTTTTGTAAGCGGTATCGAACCCTTAAGCCTTAGAAGAGATTTTGCCTCACTCTGCGTTTTCTATCGCTTGTACAACGGATTGTGCTCAGAGGAATTGTTCAATATGATGCCCACGTCTGTTCTGTACGCCCATGTCTGTTGACATGTAATAGTGATAACAAAAGTAGTTCTAAATATACTTAAAATATTGGTTTTTTGTTTCAGACTCAAGACATAATCATGTCCAAAGTGGATAAGCGTAGAAAAGGCGTTTTTGGACCGTCAATGGGGAAGAAGGTAACGTGCATTGTCGGTTATTATTGAAAATTATGATGAGATTGTTTTATTGCTAAGAGAAAAAGCAATTATGAGATTTAACCATATTGCTTATACAAGATTGTCCTCCATAAAAAAAAAAAAAACTCATTTCAATTGTGACAAAACCAGTTATTTTGCTTTAAAAATTAAACTATTAAACTGATTTTGTTTAATTTCTATGGGACTAATCTATAAGTATATCCTTTCAGATAAAAAGAATTTTACAAATCTGTTTACAACTAAAGGAGTTATGAGGCAACAAATGTAAAAAACTCCGAAATTAGAACCTCCTTCTTTTTGAAATCGGTTGAAAATTGTATCTTGACGATATCTGTCCATGGGAGATCATCATCATTTCAGCCATTAGAGATATTTAAGAAAAAATTATGTGAGGTGTCTAAATAATAGCAATAGAAGTCAAACACTTAATTTTTAAAAATTTTGTTTGTCTGTCTGTTTGTCTGTATATTTGTTCGGTTATCACGCAAAAACTACTGCAATTAGAGGCGGTTACCACAGTTGTATTCTTGAAGATCTAAATATAAAAATTGGTGTAAGTTTAATCTTGATACGCCATCTAAAGGTGATTTATTGAACTAAACTTTCGCCTGACATAGCTGTTGCTTAAAACAAGATAAAAAAGGAGGCATGCGATTACAGTGCGTGCTGTTCGTGGACGACCTGAGCATGCCGCAGAAGGAGCAGTGGGGTGCGCAGCCGCCGCTCGAGCTGCTGCGGCAATGGATTGACCACGGCCACTGGTACGACTTGCGCGACATGGTGCGACAGGAGCTCGTCGACGTGGTCAGTCACATCTTCATATATCATAACCGACACAGTGTAACAATAAATCTATAGTTTACACTGCTCCTAGAATAGATTACCCCATCATTTCTCGTAGGTGTCGTAAGAGATGACTAAGGGAACTTAATTGTCGAAAGATGGACAGTAGCGCCCTTCTTAAAACATTACCAAAGCCTAACTGCGGTTGCCAACCCGTCTGCCAACCATGGCAAGTTCTGGCAAAATCACTTTTATGGGGGAAGCCTATATGTTCAGCAGTAGATACGCAATTGTACACAATTATGAATGTTCGCATATAATTATAATGACAATCGAGTGATAATTACCACTATCACCCATAGGCAGGAGGACCATGGACATCAATGCAATGTCATGTATGGTATTCTCAATGTACCATGCTTGCAGACTACTGTTATGACACCATATCCTGTCATTACACTGTCGTCCCAACCAAAATATCACAGGTCTGGCATAGGGGAACTGAGGTAGCTAATCATACAACTTTTACACCAAGTTCCTCTGATAAAATACCGTGGGTTTGTACATATCTAAAGACGATTACCACTTCCCATCAGATAAGCTGTCAGTCTGTTTGTCAATATTATGTTATCTAAGCATGGCCGTAGCTCTAGGGAGGGGGAGCATTGAAAGACAATACCCTACCTTAAAAGGCCCAATTCCTTAACCTAAAATAAAAGGTCCCAAGAAAACTAGACAGCTTTTTGGAAGTCACTTAGTTTTTTTTCCAATATTATTTGGTTCGCGATTGGGAAATGAGTATTAAGCTTAAGCGTCTTAGTTGACTTAAGCTGCGATTTGATACAGCGAAGTCACTTATGAATTCTGCCCTATCAAAAAGTTATATTTAAGTCGAGAGGGTAAACCTTTAGACTTTGATGTTTTAGAATTTTCATCTTATTGTTTCAAAACCTTACAGCTATTCGTATCGGCGATGTTGCCCCCTGGTGGCGGTTCAAACCTGATCTCGTCGCGGCTTACCCGTCATATGCTCCTCATCACGCTAGACTCCTTCGAAGACAATACGCTTAACAAGATATTCGGAACTATCATGGACTGGCACTTCGCCAAGGGTTTCACTGATACCTTAGTGAGGCAAGCGAAGGTACGCAAAATTTTTGATGACTTTATTTTTATTTTATAACTCTAGCAAACACATGTATTAATTTTCATTCAATTTATTGACTAGTAATATAAACTAGGCACGCAGTAATATAATTATGGCATAGAATAGGCCATCCCTTCCTTTCCTGTTGTAGGCGACTAAGGAAGGCGAGAGATGGACAGCCGTATCCCTTTTAAAACATCTCTAACCTAATTACGGTTGGCAATTCGCATGCCAAGCGTGGCAACTACTGGCAAAACCCCCTAAGGAAAAGCTTATGTTCGGCAGTGGACAGTTAAAGGCTGCTATGAGGATGAATATAAACTAATTTTTTAAAGAACATTTTAAACTTTAAAACAGTTGTACATATATAGTGATTCAGTGAGAATTTACACCATTTGTAGAGAGAACTTTGCTCAACAACTTGTTCAAGTTGAATTTGTTGAACAAGTTAGAGAAATTCTTGACAAATACGACATAATCTGATTTCATTCTTACTCTTATTCTATCCTTCACTAGTGGTTACCCCATTCGCGTATACAACTACCGCAGCTAGATTTAGTATACCAGTTATTATCAATTAAAGAAGAAACAAAACGATTACTTAAAGGCGGTGGTGTCAGCCACCATGGAGGTGTACAAGACGGTAACGGTCCAATTCCTGCCCACCCCGAGCAAGTGCCACTACCTGTTCAACTTGCGGGACTTCGCGAGGGTCATCAAGGGCATTCTGCTGGTGCCGTCCACGCATATGAAGGAGCTGAACAAGCTGGTAGTACTTTGGGTGCACGAGACCTACAGGGTCTTCTATGATCGTCTCGTAGACGACGCTGACAGGTAAACATTCATTATTATAAAGTACAAGGCTGCAAAAAGAAACTGTCTTGAGCCTCCTGCATTTTTGTATGTAACTTAGAATGGCAAACAAGCTGACGGTCCACCTGATGGAAAGTGGTAACCGTCGCCTATAGACATGAGCAGTACCGTAGACATAACAGAGTATATTGTTTCGCTAATGATACCCCCATGCGTTGTCATTCTTGAGGACTCATCAGGGTTATGTTTTATTTACATTTGTAATAGCGTTTGTTAAAGCTTTCGTATATATATTTTATATGTATAATATAGGTTTGTATAGATATATAATATTAATATAATATAACTCTCCTTACCTGTGACGCCATGGTTTGTGCTAAAAAACAGCGCTGTAGCGCTTGGAGCGATGTTCAACTTGTTGTTTCCTAAGTGAAATAAAAATAATAAATAAATTCAAGAGTAGTCCTGCTGTTTATTTTTAAATTTAGATTTCAATTGAGCAGAAAACGGTGGAAGCTTTTTTATTTTGTATAGTTATGTTTATTTGTTTGTTTTGTTCTTGTTTTGGATGCTACTGTGTGAGTCGCATGATTCTTTGAATTAATTCTTTCATTCTTCCTTTCTTTCTGCTGACAGACTCAAGCTATTCGATGTGGTGTACAAAGCGGTGTACAGCAACTTCCGAGTACACATGGACCAAGTGATGAGCGAGCTGGGCTACGTGCCCGACGGCGAAAAGCTGTCCAACAAACACGCCACCAACATATTCTTCGGCAATTACATGGAGCCAGATGCAGACCCCAAGATATATGATCAGGTACCGCATTATATATATGTATGCATAGATATGTCGCCGTGTGTTCCAGGCATAGAATAGGCCACCCCTTCCTTTCCCGTGGGTGTCGTAAGAAGCGACTAAGGGAGCACGAAGGATGGGCAGCAGCGTCCCTCTTAAAACAACATCAAAGCCTAACTGCGGTTAACTGCCCAACCCGTCTGCCAAATGTGACAACTACTGGTAACACCCTACTTATGGGGGGGGGGGGGGGGACTTATGCTCGGCAGTAGACAGTTAAAGGCTGATATGATGATGAGAATTGTTATATGGATCAATCCTTGTAACGTGTATATGAATCAGGTAACGGACTTGGACGACATGGCGGTGAAAATGGAGTACTATTTAGAGGAGTACAACGTGGTGTCCTCGTCTCCCATGTCCTTGGTGATGTTCCGCTACGCTCTCGACCACATATCGAGGTGTACTCGCGTCCTGCTGCAAGACAACGGTGAGCTTGTAATAATATAAATAAAAATGTAATTAGACGATATCTGATATCTTTCACAAGACACGATTTGCACGATGCCCACGGCCACCTTCTACCATCGTATAGCTCGCTATCTTTCACCCCCATACCTTAGATTCACTTGGTTACGGGTACTTTTAATTTGGCCCTTCTTCAGCACGTCGCCTATTTAGTCGACATACGTCCGTCTAGGGCGGCCCTAGATCCGATCACTAATGATGTAATCACTTTTACACTTATTATGTAAGTAAAAATGTGAAAGACATTGTTTCTGTACTCTCATTGTTCTGATCTTGTTGACGGTACAAACAGGTAATCTGCTGCTGGTGGGTGTGGGCGGCAGCGGTAGGAGCAGCGCCGTCAAACTGGCCGCCAGCATACTCGAGATGAACGTCATTCAGGTATACAGATGCTGGCTCTTGGTAATAAATTATTCCTATTACAGTGTGGTATTTTGTATTTATTATAGAAAAATATATCTTTAGTCCATGTGAAATAATCAGATATACCATCGTAGCCTCATAGTGACTATGAGGTCTGACAGACTACCATGGCACTATCTGGCCTTAACTGGATTGTACAAAATTCCAAGGTTGTCTGGAAGTGATCGCTTTTTGCGATAAGGTCATCCATTTGTTTTCTCACTGTGATTATTTCTTGTAATTTGTTTGTATCTATAATGAGTTTGCTATTGTAATCTTTTGGAGAAAACAATAAAGAGTATCTATTTATCTATCTATCCATTTCTGCCAATTTAGAGAGCATGTTTAATTATGAATGAAAATAACACAATAATCCCGTCTCTGCGATGATGGGTGAGGATGAAGTTGAAGAGGCTCGTGACGATTATTTCCAGAAGAAACTAAATGGATCCTGCTAACTTCCATTTCTGAGGGGGGGGGGGTATTGCTAGCAATATACAATTAGCGCAGGCGAGATTGCCATTCTATTATCATCCCATAAAAAAAAGCTTCCATTGCTATGAAAGAAACCGTTCCCCCAATGACTTCCAGATATTTATCATCATCATTATATCAGCTTTTAATTATCTACTGCTGAACATAAGCCTCCTCCATGGGGGGTTTCGACAATAGTTGCCACGCTTAGCAGGCAGATCGGCAACCGCAGTTAGGATTTAGAGATGTTTTAAGAGCGACGCTGCTGCCCATCCCTTGCCCTCTCTTCTCCCCCTGGAACTACATGGCCAATATTTATATCAAGGTGATGATAAACTGTATTGGTTTGTACAGATCGAGATATCCCGCGTGTACGGGCAGAACGAGTGGCGTGATGACATACGTAAACTGTTGATGAAGGCCGGCATCATCGGGAAACCGGTCGTGTTCCTCTTTGCTGACAACCAGGTAGAGAATATGATGATCATGATTCTTTTATACAACTTTGAATATTCTACTAATTGGTCGTCTAAGATCCATCTGATGAGAGGTAACAATTGTCGCCTAATGACATGAACAGCATCCAGTCAGCAGTGGCACATAAAGTGCCACTGCTGACGTATATTGTGATAGTCATCAGGTGTTGCCTGCCACTCCTGAGAACTAAGGAGTTAGTTTCCATATCTTGAAATCTCACTGCCGTATCTAATTATACTAATGTAATAAACATGCAAGTTTGCAAATATGTTCAGACATTACTTTATCACGCTGGACTATGGATCTTTTTGACATCTTTCTTTTGTAAGTAGTATAAAAAACAATTGCAGCAATGTGCCGAGCACAGATTTACTTTACAGAACGTTGCAATATACACACGCACAAGAATGTACATTCGCACACACCTGTATCTTTTTAAATTTAGGCTTCAATTGAGCTGGGTTTCGGTTTGAAGGGTGGGATAGAGACAGTGAATTTACAAGATACAGAGGAATAACACCTGAGTCCTCAGGAATGGCAATGTATGAGAGTATCATGGGCGAAACAGGATACTCTGTTTTGTCATTGTTACTGCTCATGTCTTTAGGCTACGGTTACCACTTTCCATCAGGTGGGCCGTTGGCTTGTTTGCCATTCTTAGTTGCATAAAAAAAATTGAGCAGAAAAAAGGTATATGCGTTTTATTTTGCATACTATCGTTTTTTTTTGTTTGTTTTGTTCTTGTTTTGTATGCTACTCTGTGAGTCGCATGATTCTTTGAATAAATTATTTATTTCATTCAATTGGAGAAAATATCCCGATAAAGGAATACCTATGAATTAGGAACGCCGTAAATAAAGAGGAAGTATGAGAAATAAGTGTCAGGACTGAAGCAATTCTATGGTCTATGCACTAATGGGCGAACGTAGAGATCCAAAAGTGTGACTTTGTATTTTTCGTCGACGAGTTTTTTCTGCACGTGACAAATTTACATTTTCTGTCCAGATAATGTACGAGGGCATGGTTGAAGACATTAATATGCTTCTGAACACCGGCGATATCCCTAACTTGTACGGTATGGACGAGAAGGTCGAGATCCTAGACAAGATGCAGACCGCCGTCAGGGAGTCCGTGAGTTGCATAAACGTCTAAACTTTACGTTCTTAAAAGTAAACAGGTGGATGCAATTGGTGAAGCCTAGACAGATGGACGACGCGTGAAGAACTGCTATAGATGGTTAAGTTAAAAAAGTGAATATTCTTTTTTTATACAACTTAGAATGGCAAACAAGCTGACGATCCACCTGATGGAAAGTGATAACCGTCGCCTATAGACATGTGCAGTACCATGGACATAACAGAGTACACTGTTTCGCCTATGATACCCCCCATGTGTTGTTATTCCTGAGGACTCGGGTGTTATTCCTCTGTACCCAGTAAATTCACGCCATATACGCCACCCTTCAAACCGAAACACAGCCATGCAAACACAACTGCTTCACGGTTGAAACACGAATGGGACAGAGGTTATATGTTTTTATATTCTCCTATCTCGTTCCTGATAATAAGGCGTTTATTTGTTTTTATGGCGATAATATGGTGATGTGTGGATATATTTAGCTTTCTCTAGGATCTATGTTATAATATCGTTGCCTCAGATACCTCAGAGTCGATAATTGGAGTAAGGTTTGTAAATTTATTACTGGACTTAAATATACTCGTATATGCAAATTTTTGTAAACATTCCTAATGGATTTTGATGAATGAATACTAGCTTTTAATATGTATGATGGACATAAACTATTGAAAATAGGTCAAACATACGTTGGTTTTTTACATAGTTAAAATACAGAAACAAAGACTAAATGAATGATGGCTAAAACGAAATGCAGAAGCATTCTTTGTTCGGATTATTATTCTAAATAGCAACTATTTTTTATTATTAACAGGGCAAAAAGATAGAAACAACTCCTCTAGCGATGTTCGGTTTCTACGTGGAGCGCGTGAAGGCGAATCTCCGCGTAGTAATGGCCATGTCGCCCATCGGTGACTCCTTCAGGAATCGCCTCCGAATGTTCCCGTCTCTCATCAACTGTTGTACTATTGATTGGTGAGTTTTTTTAATGGGTTGTAATAGAATGTCAACCCTAACTGCGCTAATGGTTTAAGCTGGAGGAGCTTCAGTAAAGGATGATAGGTAAGGATGAAAATGTAGGTCAGTTAACCCATCGGGATGGAATTAACTAGAATGATTTCCAGAGGAAACACGTGGAGGTTGACCTTATAGAGTGGCGGGAGAATAGATTGTTAATAATAGGGACTAGGAATATACCCTATAGAGTCGACTATTTTAGTGATACCTAGTTATCTATCATGTATTCCCTAAACATAAACTTTAACAGGATATTTTAAGATTTAATAAAAAATAAGAGGAAATAGTTACATATCTTGCAATGATTAATATGTTCCTTCAATTAAATTTTAAATCAGATTCCCTCTTACTTAAATATTTGGTTATAAAAGTTTAATCTTCCAACGCTTCGACTTTACAGTATTAAAACTTAAGGTGCAAGTTTTAATTCTGTAACTTAGCAAATTAGTTAGAAGACCAAATGATGTGCAGGTTCACAGCTTGGCCGCCGGAGGCTCTGGAACGCGTTGCGTCCATGTTCATCTCGAGGATAGAGAGTGTCGACGAGGATCTGTGTACAGCCTGCGTCGAGATGTGTCAATTGTTCCACATGACCGTCGTGCAACTTAGCGACAGGTTCTTGCATTACTGAATCTTGTTTTTTAATACAGTGCAATTTAACATTACTTAAAAAAATTACATGGTATATAGCTCCTACTATTTTTTTTTTAAACGGTCACATTTGTTTCTCATTTATGATGTTATATTTTGTCGGGTTCGTACAAGATTGTCGTGTGTGCTCTGGCATAGAATGGGCTACCCCTTCCTTTGCCGTGACTGTCGTAAGAGGCGACTAAGGGAGCGCGAAGGATGGGCAGCAGCATCCCTCTTAAAACATCTCTAAAAGCCTAACTGCGGTTGCCAACCCGCCTGCCAAGCGTAGCAAGTACGGGCAAAACTCCCCTTATGGGGAAGGCTTATGTTCAATAGTGGATAGTTAATGGCTGAAATAATAATGGTAGTAATACAAGATTAGTTTTATGTTGTACAATCCATAGAGAAAGCCAAATATATATTAATTTGTAAATTACCTAAAAACTGATCACAAAACATCAAAGTAGAATACAAAATTTGTCGCTGTATTATGTATTACATTAATATACTGATTTGAATTAGATAGATAGATACATAATTTATTTGCATCATTTACAACACACAAATAATAACAGGTATTGGTGTATACTTAACAAAAGAAATAAAATAATACATATAGAAAAAAAAGGAAAGTACATAAAAGAGGCAACATAATTTATCGTGAGTGTGCCACAGTAACACAAAATGGTCACAACTCAGTTTATTGCTTTACCCTTAAAAGAGCAAAATACTGATATTCTATTGTGGCCAAAAGCCAAAAGCTACCGCGAGAATTCTTGACAAAAACAAATATTCTGTTATTATGCTATAAATAAATAAAATAAAACGCCAAATACCTACAATGACAAGAGATGTTATATTTGCATGGCTGTGTTTCGGTTTGAAGGGTGGGATATGGCGTGAATTTACTGGGTACAGAGGAATAACACCTGAGTCCTCAGGAATGGCAACGCATGGGGGGTATCATGGGTGAATCAGTATACTCTGTTATGTCCATGGTACTGCTCATGTCTATAGGCGACGGTTACCACTTTCCATCAGGTGGATCGTCAGCTTGTTTGCCATTCTAAGTTGTATAAAAAAAATTTTATAAGTAGAGAGGTATAACAGTCAATGACAGATTCATAAAGCGATTCGCTTATTATAACCTAATCAATCCCGGACATTTATTCTTTGCTTACTGATTGCTTGCTTATTTATTTTGCAGATTTTATTCTGAACAAAAGCGGAAAGTGTATGTCACTCCCACAAGTTACCTCGAGCTGATCAAGGCCTTTCAGAATTTGTACGCGCTCAAGGTGGACCAGATAACTAAAGCTAGGATACGGTGAGTGATCATAAAGTCATTATAACCTTAATAATTCATCACAATAACTTCTGAGCATGAGTCTGCTGTCTCTACCCTAAGGTGATATTTTTTTTAATGAATGACAATGCAATGGTAACCCCGCTTGCGCTAACGGTATACGCTGACGGGTACCAGTGAAGGATGATAGGTCAGAATGAAAAGGCAGGTCATCATGATGAACACATCTGGAAATCAGCACGGTGATTTCTAGGGGGAACCACGTTGAGGTCGACCTGATAGAGTATATTGCTAGTAATGAGACTGGTAGTCCGTATTACACAATCAGTAACAATCCCTACCTCCCAGAAGGGGATGTTAGCCAACTATTAATATGTTAGCAACTTCGTGGATGGATTTATTTTGAGAATTTTTTCGTGATGCCAGTGTTCTGTAAATGGAAGATAGTAGTAGAAGTTCATAAGTTTATCATCTCAGCCACAATCCGACCATTGCTCAACATAGGCCTCACCCATAGACTGCAATAAGAAACGGTCCTGAGCCGCCTACACTCTACCACTGATTCTCTGTAATGCATTTGAGGTCGTCACTCCATCTAATTGGTGTCATCCTACACTGTGTTTGGCCGTTTAGGGTTGCCACTCAAGAACCTTTCTTCCCCATCGGTTGTATGTTCTTTGAGCTATGTGACCAGCCCATTGCCACTTCAGCTTGCTTATCCTTCTCCTACTAAAAATGAGGATGAGTAGAAGTTGAGTAAGAAGAATACGAATGTCAACGAGGTCAGCCTTTCCGTACTCTTACATACGCCTTTTCGTGTTATATTTTTACTTTTTAACAAAATTGTTTAATGAATTATGTACCTATAGCTATGAGCTTACGAGTATCATTCGATGTTTTTTTCCGTCTAGATATGAAACAGGACTGGAACAATTAGACTTCGCAGCGGGACAAGTGGCCGTGATGCAGCAGAACCTAATAGATCTGCAGCCTCAACTCGTTGAGACCTCTGACAAGACGGAGAAGCTCATGATCAAAATCGAACAGGACACGGTGGTCGTTGAAAAACAAAAGGAGGTAACATTGTTTGTTTACATTTCGAATCTGACACATGATAGTTAATACTTGGTTGTTAATTTATTAATTACATTATTTCTAGTAGGGAGTCATGACAAGATGGCGGCTACTCGAGCCGCCATCTTGTAGTGACTCCCGCCTTTTTTGCATTATCATACCAAATGAAATAAATGAATCTAACAATTTCAATCATTATTTTATTTTCACAAATATATGCCCCCAAAATGGAACATTGCTTTATTTTATATACAGGTATTAAATAATGTATTGACAGCTGTTACAAGACCATGTTAGCTTGAATGAATGGATTAATTTCATTTACTAAATATTGGCGATTGCCAGTAGCAGATCTTAAAATTAATTACAATTGTTCACCAATATTTACCATCACATAAGTTTATAAATGTTCTTTTTACAGTTAATAAAATAATATAGTCATAATATTCATAAATAACATTGACAAAATTTATTACTTTTTTAATTACAGTTATTATTCTAATAAGTCATGTTATGTTTTTGTAGTGTTGAGCTGAAATCATTAAAACTTATTTAAAAAGTTTTTTACGTGACCAGTACTCGCTTGATTGTTTTTAAGCGGTATCCAAAAGAAATATTTATTTGATTTTTGTGTTAGGTACATGACATCTTCGCCAACTTGAAACAGGTTTGCTTAACGTACCTTAACATTGAAATACAGGATTTGTTTCTCTTAAGTGATCAAGCGTATAAATGTAAATTATTCCTTAATTTTATTTCGAGCAAATGCGTTGTTCTCTGTACTCTAATTCTACATATTTCGATCCAGTTCTAGTGTTGTGTTCTTTGTTTGTCTTCACAGATCGTAGGCGCCGACGAAGCTCTCGCTAACGAAGCAGCCGCAGCAGCTCAAGCCATAAAAGACGACTGCGAATCAGATCTGGCAGAAGCTGTACCGGCGTTGCAAGCGGCTTTAGATGCTCTGAACACTCTGAAGCCAGCTGACATCACCCTGGTGAAGTCCATGAAGAACCCACCAGCTGGAGTAAAACTGGTCATGGAAGCCGTGTGTGTAATGAAAGGAATCAAGGGTGATAGGAAAATGGATCCTAATGGTATGTTACTTTATAAAAATGATGATGAAAATAGGATTAGTGACAGTGAACGAATAAAAACGAATTAGATGTACAGATCTTTTGCATTCTCTATTATGATATATGTATAAAACGTATTTATTTATTCTTTATTGCACAATAAAACTTTGTATAAGTGGCGAACTTAATGCCATATGGCATTCTCTACCAGCTAACCATTAGGTAAAAACAGAAAGCGTATGAAGGGCAGATGTAGTGAAAAATATGTGACATAATTAAAGCAACATACTGAAATAATTATACATAAGAAATACACATATAACACATAAATACTACTTATAATATATATAGTTAAACTAATATTTATTGGTATTTTAAAAAGAAAATCTAGGAGTCAAGGTCTTCTGTTATGTATTAACGTCAGAAGACTTTTCGTATGTAAATAAGGCAAGTAATTGCAAGCACATTATATTTGTTTTTCTATTATTGAAAAACAAAAAAATAAAATAAGCAAAACAATAAACTGACCATTTTGTGTTACTATGGCATTTTGCTTTTTTTTGTATATGCATTGTTTAATCTCTTTTTACTGTATATGTTTGTTGTTATTTGTTGCAATCTAATTTTTCCAGTTTATCTTTTGACTTTAGAGGAGCCAGTACTATTTTCTTAAAATTTCCTTTTTTGTTTAATAAATAAGTCCCAAATAATTATACCTATGGTCTAATCCTTAAATTGGGATATTGCATGAGTAAATACAACGAACATTTGGGTGTCATGCACCCTGTATGACATTATGCCATGACAGTTTTAATTGAGTCAATTTAGAAAATTTCATTTCCTAAATACAAATAAGTTCTTGTCTATTGTTGTTAAGGCAAACCGTACGAAGATTTCTGGGGTCCATCACAGAAGATGCTCGGCGACATGAAATTCTTAGAGAGTCTGAAGAATTACGACAAGGACAATATTGCACCTGCCATCATGAAGAAGATAAGAGACAAGTATGATTATTTATTAATTTGTTTATAGCAAGGTAACAGATTACAAATTAATACATTAATAAAATAAATATTACATAAAATATATAAAACGACCTAAAAAACCTAAAAAAGCCTCTCCCTAGAACTTTGCCAGTAGTTGCCACGCTTGGTAGGCGGATTGGCAACTGCAGTTAGGCTTTAGAGATGTTTTTAAAGGGACGCTGCTGCTCATCCCTTGCCGTCCCTTAGTTGCCTCTTACGACACCCACGGGATAGGAATGGGGTAGCTTATTCTACGTCCACGTAAATAAACCTTTTTAATACTTGCGTAATTATCATAATACATGTATGTAACATGTCCTGAGCAATATAAACAGACAAACAAATGTTTGTATTAGGCATAGGTAATATACCAATCCGATATCTATATATTGGGTTCCTCTGGACATTGATGGCGGAAACAAGGTCATCACCCATTACGATATCGTCCATACCGGTCGGATATCTATTTTCAAATAGATTAATTTTTATTTAGTTTTTATGCAACTTAGAGTGGCAAACAAGCTGACGGTCCACCTGATGGAAAGTGGTAACCGTCGCCTATAGACATGAGCAGTACCATGGACATAATAGAGTTAAAAGTCTGTTATCCAATATTATTTTTTGGATAACAGACTTTTAATGTATTCATTATTGCACTGGTATATAGATATTGCTATATGTTGCCCGCCCCTAGTTTGTTTGTGTTGTGTGGAAGTTGAAGTGGGGGAGGGATTGTTAGTGATGGAGTCTAGCTTCCCCATTGCTGGCAATATACCTTGCCAGGTCGTCCTTGTCGTGGTCCCCTGTGGAAACTACCGTGTTTCATTCCAGGTGAATTCATCACGATAGGCTAACTGATCTGCTTTTTCATCTTCATTAATTATCTCTCACTGGTATCTTTCCATCGTATACCATTAGCGCAGCGGGGTTGCCATTTCATTATCAATCTTTAAACAGGGTGTTGCAAGCCATGGGGCCACCAGTCCCCGCTATTAATTATACTCTCCCCCACCCCCGCCACATGTAACTGGACCTGTACAGGTACATCCCAGACCGAGAGTTTGATCCGGTGGTGATAGCTAAAGTGTCGTCCGCCTGTGAGGGTCTCTGCCGCTGGGTGAGAGCCATGGACGTGTACGACCGAGTCATTAAGGTAAGCGCCGAAGGTAGTCCTGGAAGATATTATAATGTTCCTAGTCGACATTGTTGTGATTTCATTTGTTTAGGGTTCTGTGCTTCAAAGGGTGAAAAAGGGGCTTACATATGGTAACACTCTTGTAATTTACTGTAAAATAACTCACGTATAGAATATCATCATCATACTTTCAGATTTTCCCTTATTGGGGGAGTGTTGCTAGTAGTTGCCACGCTTGACATTTTTTTGTGCTATTTAGAATGGCAAACAAGCTGACGTTATCGGCGCCTATAGACAAGAGCAGTACCATGGACATAACAGAGTATACTGTTTCGCCCATGATACCTCCCATGCATTGCTATTTCTGAGAACTCAGGTGCTATTACTTTGTACTCTGTAAATTCACTGCCATATCCCATGCCATGCAAACACAACTGCTTCACGGTAAAAACATGAATGGGACAGAGGTGAAAGTCCTAAAATCTATCTTGTCATCTCTAGGTAGTGGCACCGAAAAAGGCAGCATTAGCGGAAGCAGAGGCCGAGTTGCAGATGCAAATGAATACGCTCAACGAGAAGCGAGCCCAACTGCAGGGCGTGCTCGACAAGTTACAGGTCAGAATAATTCTCCGTATTGTATAATTTCATCAGTATCATTCGAGATATTTATCAGATATTGTTTTCAACGAAATTAACCTACGACTTAAATTAATTTAAACCTGCAACAGTAATATTCGATAAAATGTGAAGCCGTATTATATTCCCAGCATGTTTATGCTGGGAAAGCATGCTTATATGGTTGGAAACGGCTTCATATCTTCTTCATATTTTCATTGACCTCCTAGTTTATGAATCCGGGGGAAAGGGATTGTTAGCAATGAGGTCTAATAGCCCCATTGCTAGCAATATACCTTTTGAGGTTGACATCCAGGTCCCCTTGGAAACCATCATGGTTAATTCTTGTCGAATTCATCATGATGGGTCAACCGATCTGCCTTTATTCTTATCTATCATCTTCTACTGGTGCCTCGTCGGTGTATACCGATAGCGCGAGCGGGGATATCATTCCACTTTCACCCATTAAAAAAAATTACGAATCCAGTTGATCGCCAGGCCTTAAACGATGAGTTTGCGGAAATGACTCGAAAGAAGAAGGGTCTAGAGGACGAAATCGATCTGTGTTCGACGAAGCTTGCACGAGCTGAGCAGCTGATAGGCGGACTGGGCGGCGAGAAGGCGCGCTGGACCGAACTCGCGAGGCAGTTGCAGGATTTACTTAATAACATTATAGGTAAAGATTGTATGGACTTTGTGTCATACATTGGCTACCTCACCTATGCTATTCGTATATACTGGCAGTGTATTAGTGAGTGATAACTAATATGGACAAAGTCAGTGAGTCGTTGTGACGAATGTATCAATAATTAACTTTGATGGTCTTCAGAATTGGACCATGTACAAGTTGATCTAACAAGATACATTCCTAGCAATGAGTGGCTAGTCTCCCATTGTTAACAATCCTCTATTAGTATTGCTGGGTACCCTTTTCTTACATGTGGAAAATGCGTCATGCAGATTCACACACGCCGGAAGATGCGTGTGAATACTGTCGGACTCTTACCGGCTAAAAATTACATGGTGTTCCTCGTCACGCCATAGTGCTGAAGGTTCTGGGTTCAATGCTGGGTACCCTAGTATAACTAGTGATTTTGGGGATGGGTTGAGAGTAATCTGTAAACTGATTAACTATAGCAAACTTTCAGTAGGTAAGATATATTTCTCTGTATATAATATCCATTCAGATAATATGTGTAATAATGGTCCAGTATTGAACTTAAGCACCTGGCTCAAAAAGTTCAAAATCCTTTGCTCTAATCTTTTAAACAAATCTCAGCAGAAAATTTTGGTCTCAGGTGATGTTTTACTATCAGCGGGCTTTATAGCATACTTGGGGCCGTACACGGTCAACTATAGAAGAGAGATTATACAGATGTGGAATACACGCACCAGGGAATTGAGTAAGTTTATTTTTAATTAGTTTTTCTCGTAAAATTTCATTGAGTTTGAAAGGTATCAAGAGTCCCCAAAACCAGTGTATGAGACAAGATTTAAGGGAAGAGTAAAACGAGATATGTTTACCCGGAAAAGGATCTTTGTGAAGACAAATAGAGATTTAATTTATTTGCAATTATAGGCATGTTTTTCTAGTTCTTATATTATTTTTTATAAGAAAATATTAAATATACTTACATACACACTCGCACACTCACATTAGAGTAAGATAACCGCAAATAAATAAATATAAAAACATTATGAAGTGCTCTCTGACACCACATTATTAAGTCAGTTGTTGTAAAGAGATGTCTAGTATGAGGACATTAAATCCCATTAATGTTTAGGTGATGATGGCATTGTATCTAGATATTCCATGCTCGGACTCCTTCTCCCTGATCACGACCCTGGGTGAGCCTGTAGTGATTCGAGCGTGGAACATCGCCGGGCTGCCGGTCGACGCGTTCTCCATCGAAAACGGGATCATCGTCGAGAAGTCGCGACGGTGGCCGCTCATGATTGATCCGCAAGGTAACTTATCAGAAAAGGTTGTATTTCAATAAATGAAGATAGGAAAGGATTTTTTTTAAGGATATAGATAGAATGGTACTCCTTTACTAATGGTATCCAATATCAAGGCTTCTAAATAGATATTATTTATATTCAGATATTATTCATAATTTGGTCGAGAAAGCTCTACTCGTGACAGCCGCTCAAGATTAAGGATCCCGAATAGTCCTGAAACTAGCCGAGCTTTCTTGACCGAATTACACGTAAGTTAAATCGGTAGTTTAATAACTACCGGTTTAACTTACGTGTAATCATTATAATCATAATGATTTATTACATAAATTACCTTTTGACAAAAATTATGAAATATACAAATATCCTAAATAAATATTTATAAGTAAGTTTTTTTTTATTTACACTATATAGAACAAGCCAACAAATGGGTAAAGAACATGGAACGTGAAAACCAGCTGAAGGTTATAAAGCTGACTGACTCGAATTATATACGCACATTGGAGAACGCGATACAGATGGGCCTGCCCGTCATACTCGAGAACATTCGGGAACAGCTCGATGCTGTACTCGAACCAGTACTTTTGAGAAACATCTTCAGGTAATCACAGACAAAGACAAGTGTGTTATAAAATTGTAATTTTCTTATTATTATTTTACTGAACTAGGTGACATCTTGCGGATGTCGACATCACTGGTTCTATCTATCTATCCATTTAAGAGCTGCGCTCTTGTCGGTGGAGCTCTTGCCACTCACTACGATTTTCAGCGAGTCTCTTCACCTCTTGATACGACACGACACCAACTCCTTCCTTGATCTGCCTGATGTAACTATGTCTCGGTCTCCCTCTCCCCCTTCTTCCTTCTATCTTACTTTCTATTATAATGTTCATAAGTTCGTCATGTCGTATCAAGTGTCCCAACATTTTTCCCCTTCTGTCCTCAATAGTTGACTGGTTATTTCATCATAATTATTTTGTTTAATCTCAGTACCATTAGTATGTGTGTATCAATCGGTCGAAAATTAGTCTTTCACAGTTTGGGTGTCGAACAGTTAACAGTAAGCTCCGAGCAGCGATCAATAATTTGCCTGAAGATGACTTGTTTAGAGGTAAAACATTTGTCGGAGAATATGCGTGGTTGGACCTGAAGGATGGACTACCACTCTTGGTAATCATAGATTAATGGCTAATATGGAAAGTTGTGAAACTTCTGGTAGTAATACATACATACATACATATCTGTCACGCCTGTCTCCCATTAGGGTAGGCAGAAACAATGGAACGCCAAATGCTTCGATTCAAACAAACCTCTTTCGCTTCCTTCACATTCATCAATCTCTTCATACACGCTCGCCGGTTACGGTTACTTTTAATTTGGCCCTTCTTCAGCACGTCGCCTATTTGGTCAAGATACGTCCGTCTAGAGCGGCCCCTACCGACATCTCCATTCTTTCTTGCTCGATAAATCTCTTTCGTAATTCTTCTTTCATCCATCCCCTCCAAGTGACCAAACCAACGCAACAACTGGTAGTAATAGTGGTGATTAATCTTCGGTTTGGCAGTAACACGCATATTAATGGAAGCGAAATTAAACATCATAAGTGTCGCCAAATATATAACAAGTTTTTAGAAATATGGTTTTCAATGTATTTTGTAACATCCATGGAGCTGTTCATGTCTATAAACGAAATTTACCATTGTCCATCAAGTGATCGATCAGCTTGCCATTCCATAAAGTGTAAAAATCATTTCTTATCGGGGCAACTAAGGCATCAAGCTAACTCTTTCTAACTAAAATTTCTTTTATTTTGCTCATGTGACTACTGCAATTTTCTTGACCAGATCTGGCGGCATAGACTGCTTGAAGCTTGGCGATAATATATTAGAGTATAACCATAACTTCCGGTTCTACATCACCACGAGGCTCAGCAATCCGCACTATTTGCCAGAGATTGCTGTCAAAGTAAGTGTTTCTTCCTTTTCCAATATTAACTTTTATCATAATAAAAGCGAGTCTTTCAATCCATCTCCAAAAAATTAAGTATTTAAGGTCTTCTGTACTCATAAATAAAAATCTCGAGTGGTGTATTATCGAACCAAACTTACTGAATATCAAATTATAAAAGAAATGAGCACAGTAGAGTCTTATATAACTACTTACATTTATTTGTTGCGACCAGGTAACATTGCTGAATTTCATGATAACTCCTCAAGGATTGCAAGATCAATTACTGGGCATTGTGGTGGCCCAAGACCGCCCTGAGCTCGAGCTGAAGAAGAACCAGCTGATCGTTGAGGGAGCAAACAATAAACGGACGCTCAAAGAGATAGAAGACAAAATTCTAGAGGTATTGATGAAAACGTATTTTATTCAGTAGTTAAGTGTATGGCATAGAGTTATTATTTAGATATTCTCTTCTTTACCATGTATATTTCCTTACGTATCATCAAAACCAAGGTTATTTCCTAGGTGCTGTCTTCAGCCGGGAACATTCTAGAAGACGAATCAGCCAATCAGATCCTCTCATCGTCGAAGGTGCTTTCGATCGAGATCGAAGCTAAGCAGGCGACTGCTGCTGTCACTGAGAAGGAGATTGACGAAGCGCGACTCCTATATGTGCCTGTGTCCAAGCACAGTTCTGTGCTGTTCTTCTGCATATCAGATTTGGCCAATATTGATCCTATGTATCAGTATTCTCTTAATTGGTGAGTGACTACATACGTAAGTAACCAGCCTCCTTTTACGAAAGAAAGCAGAATTCTTATATTACCTTTCTGTCTGTCTCATAGACGCATATGTCTATCGTTTGCACTCATAATAAGAGAAAGTTATAACTCGCTTAATATTTATAAGCAAAGTAGGGTAGTTACAATAACTTTTTCTAGAGTAAGAAGCCGGCCAACTGATCAATGACCGCAACCTTTCTTTACTCTAATGTAACCCCCTTAACATTCCTCCAGCCCATACATTTGTGGTGTAAAAGAGATAGTTTGATTGGCCACTATACTGCATAGTTTTAACAAATAGAAATCCTTTGCAGGTTTATAAACTTGTACAACCAAGCGATCCAGAACTCGCCTCAAAGTGATGACCTAGATTTGCGTCTCTCAAGCTTGAACGCGTACTTCACAAAGAGCATTTACGAGAACGTATGTAGGAGCCTGTTCGAGAAAGACAAGCTTATTTTCTCTCTCGTTCTAACTCTCGGCATTTTGAGGCCGCAGGTGAGATGGATATCGTTACTGTATAATGTTTAAATTATTCAAAATTTTAATTCGTTATTAATAGGTAATTAAGGTAATTATTAAAAAGTTCTTAATTAGTGACGGACTGACTACATTAGCAAAAATATTTGAGTGGTAATTCCAAACGAATTAAAGCAGTTGTTTCCCAATATCGCAGGGAACGAATACAAGTGTCTATCAGGACTGTTCCTTTTGACTGTCTATGTTTAGAGAGGTCTATGTTCAGTAATAGACAGTGGGGAGTTGAATTGATGGTCTTTTTTGTTCATTTTTCTGGCTGTGAATTGTAGACAAATATATTTGCATGTTAAATGCGCCTAATGCTGTTTTCAAGATCTATATCCTTATGTGATTCAGGGTTTAATAGACGATGAATTGGTGGCCTTCCTCCTTACGGGCGGAGTGGCGTTGGAGAATCCTTACGAAAATCCAGCCCCTACTTGGCTGTCGGAGAAGGCCTGGTCAGAAATCGTGCGCGCCAGCAATCTCAATGGGTAAGTTTTATTACAATGAGCAATTTAATCTGTTTAGTTAAATTAATGGAATTTTATGTCTTAGATTTGTTATTGGGTTGGATTTAATTTTGAAGAATTTTTCAAGTTTTATTGTTGTTGTTGTATCGGCCGTAAACTGTCCACTGCTCAACATAGCCTTCCTATGGGGGGTTTTGTCAGTAGTTGCCACGTTTGGCAGGTAGGTTGATAACTGCAGCTTGGCTTTTGGTGATGTTTTAAAAGGGATGCTGCTGCTCATCCTTTCGCTATAAGCTTCTTTTATTGGCTCTTACGGCATCCACGGAAAAAGAAAAAAAGAACTGCTTCACGGTGGAAACACAAATGGGACAGAGGTGTCTAAGCAAACGACTTACTGTATTCGCGGTTTCTTTTGTTTTAGATTAATGATTCTAATTGATTTATTATACTGGCCGTGCTTATTTTTCTATAGTTTGCGTGGATTCAAAGAAAACTTTGAGAAAAATATAAAAGCTTGGAAGGACTTCTACGATTTGTCAGATCCTCATGAAAATCCTTTACCAGCACCTTACCAAGATATTAAGGGAATACCTAAACTGATCATCTTTAGGTAAGTACAATTCGAAAATGTAATTTTTTATTACATATACAGCAAAGACTATAATAACGTGTTTCTATGCTAAGCTAAGCTCCAATGTACACAATGCATTTTTATTGTTAAAAATTTCGTAAGCACACATTACATTTTAATCTAATAACTACTGGTGTAACTTACGTGTTACGAAAAAGCTTGACTAGTTTCGGAATCAATTCCTGATCCTTAGTCATGAGCGACTGTGACGTGAACACGAGCCTGACTGTTTGATTCCGAAACTAGTCGAGCTTTTTCTATCAAATTACACGTAAGTTAAACCGATAGTTATTACATTAAAATATGCATGCATCCATACATGCATATATGTACAATTGTGCATATACCTCGTATTGTACACACTTTTATATATTACACATTTATTTCACACCTGTATAGATATTCTTAAAAAAAAAGTTGTACATAAATACTTGACATTTAAATATGTCGTAAAACTATCTTATAATTATCTTGTGTAGATGCATTCGACCAGATAAACTCATCCCCCTCGTCCAACAATACGTGGCACAAGAGATGGGGCGTGCATACATTGAACCACCACCGTTCGACTTGGAGAAGTCCTACAACGACAGCAACTGTTGCTCGCCCCTGATCTTCATACTGTCCGCTGGCTCGGACCCTATGTCTGGACTGGTCAAGTTCTCCATGGAGAAGAAGGTCGTCAGCTTTGAAACTATATCGCTGGGACAGGGACAGGTTGGTTATTTATTTTAATTTTTGAATGGAACGCGTAAGTCTCGTCTTTTATTATTTTTAAACAAATATTTCTGAGTATTTTACATAATACCATTCAGTCAGTAACCAGAGATTTCCTTTAGTAACTAATATGCATTTTCTGCAAGTAATAAAGTTAACCAGAAGGAGACTTTGTACAAAAGTCGATTGCTTGGGTACCTCTGTCCCATTTGTGTTTCTACCGTGATTCAGTTGTGTTTGCATGGCTGTGTTTCGGTTTGAAGGGTGGGATATGGCGTGAATTTATAGGGTACAGACGAATAACATCTGAGTCCTCAGGAATAGCTGCGCATGGAGGGTATCATGGGCGAAACAGTATACTCTGTTATGTCCATGGTACTACTCATGTCTATAGGCGACGATTACCACTTTCGATCAGGTGGGCCGTCAGCTAGTTTGCCATTTTAAGTAAATAAATAAAATAAGTTGCATAAAAAAATTACATGAACTTATTTGTCTAATTGGACCAATACAAATAGATATAGGTAAGTACTCTTAAATACAATTTGTTCCAATAAAGAGATAAATGTTTATGTTTTCCAAAGACCAAACCTGCAAGTCCTGCAACCATCAGAAGATACTACTACATCATACAAAGTCCTGTTTATAATAAACTAGCGACCCGCCCCGGCTCCGCACGGGTGTAGTGTTGATACTAATTAGCACTGCTGGCCCCTCCATTACATTAGAAACCTCTAAAATTATCAATGTTTCTCTACTATATTATGCATGTATTATACATATAAATTTTCCTTTTGAATCACTCTATCTATTAAAAAAAAACCACAAAAAATCCGTTGCGTAGTTTTAAAGATCTATGCATACATAGAGACATACAGACGGGAATCGACTTCATTTTATACTATGTAGTAATAAAAGTGGAATGATGTATTCGCATAAGAGAAGCAAGAGACCATTTTTTGAGATTCTAAATCTTTAGAAATTCATACTACTATATATACTTGGTAGGATATATATAGGTATTTACCAAACATCACCAAGAACACAAAATAAAACTTTAAATCCTGGCTTCTATCACTCAGGGTCCTATAGCAGCGACCATGATAAACCAAGCGATTGTGACCGGCGGTTGGGTGGTGCTACAGAACTGCCACGTGATGGACTCGTGGATGGGAGAACTAGAGCGGATTTGTGCGGAGGTGATAGTACCCCAAGTGACTCATCCGAACTTCCGTTGTTGGCTCACCTCGTATCCCAGCAAGGCTTTTCCTGTTACAGTATTGCAGAACGGTGAGGTTTTTATTATAGTTTTTATGGATGTATGTAATTAGAATGGTAACGAGCCCCGATTACGCTATTGGTATTCGCGAAGATTCCACTGAGAGGTGATTGGAGAGAAAGAATCACTAATATTTTAAGGGAGACAAAAGTCGATTGCTTGGGTACCTCTGTTCCATTCGTGTTTCTACCGTGAACCAGTTGTGTTTGTATGGCTGTGTTTCGGTTTGAAGGGTGGGATATGGCGTGAATTTATAGGGTACAAAGGAATCACATCTGAGTCCTCAGGAATGGCAACGCATAGGGAGTATCATGGGCGAAACAGTATACTCTGTTATGTCCATGGTACTGCTCATGTCTATAGGCGACGGTTACCACTTTCCATCAGGTGGGCCGTCAGCTTGGTTGCCATTCTAAGTTGTATAAAAAAAAGTGAAAATGAAATAACTTTCACTATTGGTGTAAACTGACGGAGAACTAAAAATCAACTAAACTGAACTAGTAAGACTTGCTAGTTTTTTAAGAGACAAAAATAATGGCATGGTAAAACTACCCGTGCTGTTGTTATGATGGGGTATCAGTTACAGGCGACAGATGAGGATGAAGCAAGTCAGGCGTCCCATCATGGCGATATTACAAAAAATAAACCACGCCGGTTTCTAGGAATAGTTAGTACAACGAATTTACCAATAATTAAATACAAAGGTTTTTCGAGGAGACTACCGACTACAGAACCCTCTCTTACTGCAGGTGTTAAAATGACGAACGAGGCACCAAAAGGCCTGAAGAACAATATCTACCGTTCGTACATATCGGACCCGATCTGCGACCCGGAGTTCTACATCTCATGCCCCCGGACCGAGGAGTGGCGCCGGCTGCTGTTTGCGCTGTGCTTCTTTCATGCGATCGTGCAGGAACGCCGGGCGTTCGGGCCACTCGGTTGGAACATACAGTACGAGTTCAATGAGAGCGACCTGAGAATCTGTATTATGCAGCTGCAGGTCAGAATTTATCATAACTACATTTTTCTTCACCCCGTATTCAACCCGGCCCATTAGGAACTTTTCGTTTCACCCCGCCTTACTTTGTAATAAGTTATTATTACATCAGCCGTTAACTGTCCACTGCTGAACATAGGCCTTCCCAGTAAGAAGAGTTTTGCCAGTAGTTGCTATGTTTGGCAGGCGGACTGGCAACCGCAGTCAGGCTTTTAGTGATATTTTAAGAGAGACGCTGTTGCTCATCCTTTGACCATAAGTTTCTTTAGGCGCCTCTTATGACACCCACAATTTTTAAAGAGATTATTTCCTCCCCCCTCAGTAAAATATTCTTTGGAAAGTAATCTCAATGTTTGGGGGAAGGAGATTGTTATTAATGAAGTTTAACTATCAAGTCGATTTCCGTGCGTAAGTGGTTCCTCCTGGAAATCATCGTGGTGAAGCCGTGGAATATCTGCCAGTGTATACCAATAGCATTTTCAACAACGATTTTATTAAAAACACCACGATGGTTTTTAGAGTGAGAAGAAAGAGTTAGATCTGTCAGGTCTATATTCCTAGAAATGAAGTCTCTAGTCCACCGTTACTAGCAATTCATGATATCGACCAATAGATGTTCCTGACGGAGTACGCAGAGACTCCCCTGGACGCGCTCAACTACCTGGCCGGCGAGTGCAACTACGGTGGCCGCGTCACCGACGACAAGGACCGCCGGCTCATACTGTCGCTGCTCTCCATATTCTACAACGAGAATGTCACCGCCGACCCGGAGTGAGTACTAATTATTCGACTAAGCAATTCTTTCGGATTATTCGAATGATTTTCAAAAAATCGACTGCTAATTTGTTTGATTACTAATTTTAATTCATTATACGCTAGTAGAACTAACGGCCAACTAAAATCTTTAATTTGTTAGAGGATACAGGACAAATCCTTGATGGAGTCCTAGCGTCCTTAACTTTTTTGGTGTTTTCGTGAGTCGCGACATAAAAATGGTTGAGAAAAAATGTATATATTAAATCAAAGACTGACTATCGCTGACTATTAAGTTCACGATAACAGATGTATTTTAATGTAATAACTACCAGTTTAACTTAAATGTCATTAGGTTAAGAAAGCTGAACTAGTTTCGGGATTAATTCATGATCCTTAACGCGAGCTTGACTTGATCCCGAAACTAGTCGACACACGTAAGTTAAACCGGTAGTTATTACATTAAAATATTTTTTTTTATACTGTTGAGGTGGCAAACGAACATACAGCCTACCTGATAGTAAGTGGTTATCGTAGCCTGTGAACGCCTGCAATACCAGGAGCATTACGAGTGTGTTGCCAACACGCACTACGTATATGGAATGGAGAAGAACATAGGCTACTTTTTATTCTGGTTCCTCGGTCAGCAAAACATATTCCAATCACGCGAACAAAATCGCGGGTAAAAACTAGTATATAATTCAGTCAAAAAGTACAAATGAGAAACTAAACAGATTAAGGATTGCACGTTTCATCAATAGTATTAGATTTAAAATGTTTATTTTTATAACGTGGAACCGTACGTTTAGTCTAGAGGCAATTTTTTGCTCTGCAAAGAGAAACGGCAATTGTTACCATATTACGACAAGCATGAGATTTAACCCCATTGAATATAAAAATAAATATCAAAACCAGTTCAATGTTGCTTAAAAATGCCACTGCCCATCAGGGATTACAGTCGTGAATAAATTTGTATGTTCTCTACCAGTTATTCGTTCTCGCCGAGCGGCGACTACCGCATGCCGCCCAGCATGGACTACAACTCGGTACTGGAACACATCAGAGCGCTACCAATGATCGCGAAGCCAGAGGTGTTCGGTCTCCATGACAACGCCGACATCACTAAAGATAATAAGGAGACTGTGGGGGTGAGTGGCTGTTTGTATTGTGCTGGCATTGAACCTCCAACTATTGGGTAGTGAGATGGTGTGTTTAACCGCTACACCGTCAATGTCATGATTTTATTACTGATGACAAATAATAATTGGTCCTTCGAGCTGGATATGATCCGGTGATTACTGGTAACAGTTAATATCAACTTACTAGCAATGCACACTGTAAGGTTAACATCCGTGCGGTTTTCTTTGGTAGCCATTATGATTAATTCATTACGATAGGTCAATGAACTCAACTTCATCTTTACTTATAATCTCTTACTAGTATCCCGCCATCGTGTACCAATAGCACAGGCGGAGTTTCCATTTTGTCTCAGGCCTCGATTAGAGATTAAGGTAATGAATATATTTATTTTGGATGTAGTTCTTAATTAACTACTAAGGTTATCATAACTTTTACTGTAGTATAAGCAGTGAGAGCTAGGCTTAGATCGTACTAACTGGTCCTTCGAGTCGGATATCAATCGACAATTTTTTAATAACCTACTTATATTCGCAACTTTGTTTACATAAATAAAATAAATTATAGACCTTTCTTCATCCCAAATGGTATGTGGATATCACATTTTGCCCTTTCATCCGCGTTATAAAGTGTCCTATATATTAATATAGGATGTAATCTATCCACGTACTAAATTTTAAACCGTTTAAACGTGATTTATTAATAAACATCAAACCATACATCTCTAAAACTTTAGATTTTGTAATATTAGTAGGATAAGTGAAATTTGACACCGTTGTGTGTCCGGTTGACAGTTGCTGTTCGGGTGCCTGCTGACCCAGACGTCGGTGGTGAGCGGCGGCGGTGGTGCCGAGGGTGGTGAAGGTGGCGGCGTGGTGGAGCTGACGCGCGAGATGATGTCCCGCCTGCCGAGACAGTATGACGTGTTGGACGTCTCACAGCGCTACCCTGTGCAGTACTACAACAGCATGAACACAGTGCTCAAACAAGTGAGTTGTTTATAAAACTTAGCAAATAAACTGACTGTCTGGTTCAAGCTTCAAACTGTATGTAAATTTCAAGATGCTCGGTAAGTTATGGTAAAGACTATGTTCGGAGTTTCGCTGCGTGATAAAATCCGAAAAAGAATAAAAGCCGTTTACAAATTTTGAGGACTAATTTTATGTTTTCATTATTTTTAATTATACTAAGTACTTGCTAAAAAAAGGATGTAATAATTTGTGTGTGTGAATTTCATTATTTAAACAAACATTTAAAAGGCTGGCAACACACAAGCAACACCTCTCATATCACGGGTGACTGTACAAAAGTCGATAGCTTGGGTACCTCTGTCCCATTCGTGTTTCAACCGTGAAGCAGTTGTGTTTGCATGGCTGTGTTTCGGTTTGAAGGGTGGGATATGGTGTGAATTTACTGGGTACGGAGAAATAACACCTGAGTCCTCAGGAATGGCAACACATGGGGGGTATCATGGACGAAACAATATACTCTGTTATGTCGATGATACTGCTCATGTCTATAGGCGACGGTTACCACTTTCCATCAGGTGGGCCGTCAGCTTGTTTGCCATTCTAAGTTGTATAAAAAAAAATTCTAGGTATCTTTCTTTTAATCTTATTTAGATATAAATATATATAAAATAATAGTACAGCTAGGACAATCACCAGATCAAATACACATTTAGGTCTCATATAGTAACATTAAATAAAGAATAATTCAAAACCAAGTTCACTACAGGAATTAATTCGCTACAACCGGCTACTAGCCGTGGTGAGCCGAACCCTCCACGGCGTGCACATGGCGGCCCAGGGGCTGGCCATCATGAGCGCCGAATTGGAGCAGTGCAACAATGCGTTCGTCAAGGGCATAGTACCCGGGGTGTGGATGTCCAAATCGTATCCGTCTATGAAGCCTCTAGGATCGTATGTAGCTGATCTATTATCCAGGTAAGATTTCTCTACTTTCTAGGAGTAGTCTAGACTCTGTACAGGTATGATTTCGTCTTTTTAAGAACTTAGAACTTGGGTAATGTGTAGCAATATCAATATATTGCGGTTACAATATCTATACATATATTGACCCGATAACAGATATATTAATATTAATTAATAACTATAGGTTATCCAATATATTATATTGAAAGGAACCCGCTAGTAATGAATATAGATATCCGACTGGTATGGGCGATATCGCAATTGGTGGCTACCAATGTCCAGAAGGACTCAGTATATAGGTATCGGATATTACCCATCTAAGAAGTTGATTCGTCCTACGTATACACTATGAATCAAATTAAATACTCGTAGGGCCCACGGCCTATGGCGTCTGGTTTTTACAACAATTGCATTTAATAAAAAAAAATATTCAAATTAGGGAATCAAACTTTTTTTACCGCCTAATTCGGAAAGCATTTTCAGTTTAATGTATGTTTTATGTTACTTGCAATGGTAAAGATATACCTGATGTAACGTGGTAACGGTTGACAACAGACATGACGCAGAAGGGGGGGAAAGGGATTGTTAGTAATGGAGACTGAGAATCCCATTGCTAGCAATATACCCAACCAGGTCGACCTCCTCGCGGTTCTCCCTGGAAACTATCATGGTTAATTCCTGATGAATTCATCACGATGGGCTAACTGGCCTGTTTTCATTCTCATCTATCACCCTTCACTGGTGCTCCGCCAGCGTATCCCGTTAGCGCAGGAGGGGTTACCGTACCATTTTCACCCATAAAAAAAAAACAGACATGACGCTACCTCTATATTGGTACCAGTCTCTCAGAGGTTATCATTCGGCTTAGACCAAAATACAATAATGCAAGAATTGCTACTACACACCACTAAGAAGTGCTGCACACAGAAGTAGAATTGGTGGTATTAAAAAGTCAACTAACTATATTTGGGACTTCGAAAAAAAAAACAATTGAGACTCTAATCCTTAAAAAGATCTTGATAATACGTTAAATAAAACATTAAAGTCAGTTATTACAATTTACTATTACAACACATTAACTACATTATGTGTAATCTAAAAATATAAATACATATTTGTACTCAGTCTATTGTTGTACAGTGCAGTTAATAACTGCTCATCAAATCTACTTATTGCACGACAGACGCGACCATAGATACGGTACGCGAATATACATGAAGCTATGACACGTTTCAATATTAAAGTCTGATTTCTGGGTCCATGGTATGGTCTTTTTGGTTCCCAAAATTTTCTTAATTAAAAGCAATTTTCTTGTTGATAAAATATTGGTATAGGCCTTAACCATTTTATTAATGGACCCTTTGATAAATTGACACCATTAATTAGGCCACTCCAGAAATTTCAAAATGAGTGCCAGCTTAACAGTATATACATAGCCCGGTAGTAGCAGAAGCGAAAACGCGTGATAGAAGTGGCCCTACCCTTAAATTTTACTTTATAGCACATTTGGAATACTGACATTTAAATATATGGCTACGAAATCACTCCTGAGGCGTCCTCGCCGAAGTTTAAAGCATCGTTTCACGCTCGTGTCTTCCATATTCAACCTTCAGTATTTTTGGCTAAGTCGAGCAGCTTATTCATAAGTTCTCCCCCAAAAGATTCTCTGTACTTTTGGCTTATGCTATTTAATAAAGCGTATGGCGTCTCATAGTTCATATTCTCTATGGTCGCTAAGCTGGTGTCGTCGTACTTCCTGCCCACGACCCTGAACCCTGATGCGGACATTTCGATGCAGTAGTCGGTACTCTCCAAGGTGGTCAGGTTGATGTAAATGCGTTGATTATTACTCTTCAGTTGCGGCGATATGTTGGCAGTTTTGACGTGTTTTCTGATGTCGTTTATAGCAGCCTCCGCCTCTTGCGGCCAGGTCTCCTTGTCGAGAACTTGTTCCGACATCGCTCACCTGGAAATAAAGAAATATAGTTTTTTATATCCAGTTTTTTAAATTATTAAGAACCTATCAAAGTTGGGGAGATGATATCTGTTAAAAATAAAAAGATTGTCACCATCTTTTTATTCCTGTGTCACATAAAATGATAAATAAGCTAACGATCCAGCTATGGACAGTAGTAGCCGCCGTCTATAAACATGAACAACACCATGGACACTACAAAACACTGTGACAGCCATGGTACCTCATGCGTTGTCATTCCCGAGGACTGGACTGAGATGCTATAGCTTCGTAACCTGTAACTTTACTTCCATATCTCACCCTTCAAACAGAAACACAAACTAAAGTTCCATCCCAACCATCTAGACGAGTGGTGGTCCTCCAACTTTCATTTTTCAAAGCACTTTGTTCCACGCACAATCACGCTTTGGAATCAACTATCAGCAGCAGTATTTCTAAACCAATACGACATAGTAACCTTTAAGAAAAGATCATATTCTTTTTTTACAAGGCCGGCAGCACACTTGCAATGCTTTTGGTGTTGTGGGTGATCATGGGCGGCGTTAATCATTTACGATGAGCCGAATGCTCGTTTGTTCTCCCCCTTCCTCTGTTATAAATAAAAAAAAGCACAACTGTTTGACCACAAAACATGACTAGTATTCCTCTATTCTCAGATTGAAATTCCTCCAAGACTGGATAGATGAAGGGCCGCCGATAGTGTTTTGGATATCAGGCTTCTACTTCAACCAATCGTTCCTCACCGGCGTTCTGCAGAATTATTCACGTCACAATAAGATACCGATAGATCAGGTGCAATTCGAGTTCGAAATCACCAGTATGGAGGCCGATTGTGAGGAGGAACCTACTTTTGGAGTCTACTGTAAGGTGAGATGGGAAATGATATATTTTTCATCGTATGTCTTATAGTTTTAAGTATAATTTACATTGAAAGAGTAATCTTAATAATATTTAATAAATATGAATAATATATAATAAAGAATATTCTTTGATATAATTAAATAAATTTTTAGATTGACCACGAATATTTTTAGATTTTAATTTATTTAAGATTTTACTGCTGACTTTGGAATATTTTTTTATCTGTGGAGAAGATTCACAAGAAATAATAAAATTTACAAAATAATAATACAAATAAATATTACAAAATAGGATATTAGTAAATAATTTATTTATATATATCATTATTATTTTATATTATAAGAATAAATCTTAATATCACAGATAGAACTTTTTTCCAACATTAAAAACTGTTTTCATTGCGTAGTTTCAATATGAATTCAAATTTACATTAAGTATATAAACAGTAACCAATATCAAGAAATGTATTTACAATATTTTCAAATATTTTATTATTAAATTATCAAGTTTATAATAAAATACATACACAACTTTACGATTAAGTTATTCAATTGATACTACGTTATTACATTTGTATAGTGAAAAATCTTAATGTTACACAATGGTTTATTTTTAACAATTTTATCGATGTATGCAAGCAGCAAACACAGGTCGTGGATAAGCAAGGTCAGGAGCACAGTGTGTTTGTTTGGGTAAGTGTTCACGGCGGCCCAGAGTAGCTCTCAAGGCCAGAGGTATTATAACCACAGCACGCTCTTTGATTGATGTACCTAGTATAATTTTGATTTGTTTCGTCGTTATTACATCATTTTAAATGGAATTTTCTGTGTCTACGTATTTTGACGACCGTGATGGTGTAGCGGTTTAACATACCGCCTCATCTTCGGATGGTTTCGGGTTCAAATCCAGAAAATACAAACAATAATATTCATGAATTGAATGAATGCTTTCCACATATATAAATATTATATATGTATACTATATTATATTATAATAGCTTTTAACCGCGACTTTGTCTGCGTGACTGGGATACATTTACTACTTGGGATTAAAAGGAGCCTATATCCTTCTACACCGAATTTCGTAGTAATTGGCAATTGACAAACAAACAAAGAAATAAACTCACTTTCACATTTATAATACTGGTAAGGATATATACCTAATTACTTTCTATCAGTTATCTTATACCCATAATAATGCAAGCAATACAAAAAAGGTTCATAAACCAATTTTTTTTAATTGTCGACTATAGAGTAACCTCTATCACACTGGAGTGTGAACAAACAAAGCTAGTATTTTGTCATATATTTTTTACAGAGGTTTGTCTTGGATACCATAAATTTTACATACTACAATATATATACATTTATATAAGACTGCTTATACAATCAAAAAAGTTTATATATATTATTACATCTCATTAATTTATATATATAACACAATAATATAAAATATGTTAAATATAAGAATAAAATATAGTCGTTAGCAATATTTTATGTCGAAATTACATCAGAATTCACATTAATTAGTAATAATTTAATCACATTCATGCATGATGGAAATTGCACATTTTTATACACAATTTTGTGTGATCAAATAATTATTAAATTTCTATAATTAAAATGTTAATTAATTAAAACTATTTCTATTTCTCAACAGGGCCTGTTTCTAGAAGGCGCTAGATGGAACCGGCAGACGATGCAGCTTGATGAGTCATACCCCAAAATATTGTTTGATACTATCCCCATAATATGGTTTAAACCTGCCCTCATAGCTGACTTCAACCCACCACCGTGCTATTTCTGCCCTATTTATAAAACAAGTGAAAGGAAAGGTGTTCTGGCCACCACTGGACATTCGAGTAATTTTGTCATGTATATAACACTGCGGTCTGATATACCGCAGAAGCACTGGATAAATAGAGGAGTGGCAAGCTTGACGCAACTTGATGACTAGAATTTTTTATTTTTTTTATTTATTATTTATAATATTGTCAATCAAAAATATTTACATAAAATGTATTTTAAAATTTTTATAAGACATTTCTTGAAAGGAAACATGTAAGATTTTTTTTAATGGATGATAATAGAATGGTAACCCTACCTGCGTTATACACTGGCGGAATACTAATGAGGATTCATAGGTCTACCTGTGAAGGAGGTCAGTTGGCCCATCGTAATTTAACAATAAATCGATTACGATGGTTTCCAGGGGGAAACTACTAGGCCGATCTAAAAGAGTATATTGTTAGCAATGTGACAGGTTTTTTTATAGATGATATTGGAATGGTAGCCCCGCCTGTGCTAATGGTATACAGTAGCGGGACACCACCCCCTCTCACCCATCTAAGATTTTTGTCAGTGGGATTATGTGAGGTAATACCAAAATAGATAATAAATTTTTAGGATAACTTTATAACCATTTTTACCAGAACAATTTACCTTCCAGTGTTATTATTTAAATACTGTATTTAAGTGAATATTATTTAAATAATGCAAAATTTATTTTATTGTTTATACCATTTATTGATTTAACATTAGATGGTGTTCTATAGCAGCGAACTATTGAGGAATAGGCAAGCGGTGTATACATTAGACATAGCTTTTGATATATAAACTCCCTTACAGATAGATATTGCTAGGCTTGGAATTTAATATTAATATCTGAAAATCAAATGATTTTAAAAATAATGCCACAGGGATTCTTAACAATTACTTAATTTTATGAACTTACAAAATCAACCTAGATTGCCATTTCCAAAAATGTACATATTTTCTATAAAGTAAAATAATTATATACATTTACCAGATATACTATGTATTATATTGTTTCAATTATAATTTTATATTACTATGTAATAACCAGTTTTCCAAAATTTTACTATTTCAACAATCTAAAATATAAATAAACCTTATATTCTAAATTAATATTATAAAGACTAAAGGTATGATTTTGCAATGGGCGAACTGTAACATTCAACTGATTTTAAAATTTACACATGCAAATTTACATTATCAGCTAGTAACATAAACTGTATTAAAAAAAAAAAAACAGAACCATGTGAAACCAGGGTGGACCACTATTTGTGCAAAAAAGTTTTTTATTTTTCGTAATGTGAGCTGTATTGAGCACCTTAATTTTCTATTTTAATAATCAGATATAAATATCTGTGATATTTTAATATTGTCAATGAAAATATAACTTATTAATAAAGACTGACTTTTATTTCATAAAAATCTTTAACTATATTATAAAGTAATTTTTATTGGTAGTTAAGTATAATACATAATTACTCATAATGATAATATCTATTAGCCATATCCTGTGGCTTCACAGGTAAAGCTGCAGGCATATGGTTGTATTCGTGTATGTATCAAATTTTATTCAAATGTATACAGTAGCTTTTGTATGAAAGAGTAAGAAATATCCATCTTCACAATTCTATTGCATTTATAATAGTGGGATATTTCTATACTTGGCAGAACTAATAAGCTTGGCAGCATCACATTTGGGGTAGGTTGGTCTCTAGGTCACATCCGTAAGGGACAGTGTTGCTAGTAATAAAACTTCAGCACACATTGGTAGAAAAATAAGTTCCTAATTTTCCATTTATCCATTTTTCTAAACAGTTCTATCGAATTGTGGTAAGAGCCTATTTGGTCTAGGTGGAAGCCCATAGGATATGCAGCCTATGTTTATATGCGGTGCTGAAGCTTGGTATTAATTTTTATAATGTTATTAATTTGTAGATGAATTTCTTTTAACTCATAGCACATTAACAGCTCAACCGATTGTAATTTTTTCTATTTTTCATTCCAGTTAATCAGCATATGCCAGTCATGCAGATGAAATCATAGGTAAAAAATTATCGTTACTATGACATAGTAGGATACTCTTTTATGCTCATTGGTTTAGATCTAAATATATTTATTTTTTGTACACACTAATATTGCGTACAAAAATATAAGTGGAAAGCAAATGTACAAAGGGGAGCTTAAATCCGTAAGAGTTACCTTCCGGCAAACCCAGTGGAAAAAAACATTAATCATTACATATCTAAAGATTTTAATATATATATATCCTAATTAAAAATTTCTATACTAGAAAGATTTCAACATTACAACATGAATGTAAACTAATATTTTGGGAAAAGAGAAAAATTAAAAATCATGTAGACTTAATATTCTACTTACCCGTTTTATAAATATATCTTCTCAATTGATGACAACGGTTGATTATAAATCCCTATATCAATCGCGACATCCACCAAAGTGTCATTACTATAGTGTAATTAATAAGTTGTATTAATTATTTGTTTTATTTGTTTAAGAAAAAAAGTACAAAACACAAATATAGTAAATACTTAAAACCGAAGAATAACAGAATTACAAGATTTTAGAAATGTTATAAAAAGCAGAGAAATAAACATGACACTTGACATATGATAGACTGATGACAACTATAGACATGCTGCACAGATAGATACTTTGTAGATCCTTATCTATGGTAAAAATACGGAAATTTTATGCAAAAACTGGTAAAAACGAACTGTTTGACTTTTTGGGAACAATTGTTAATTGTAAAAAAATGTTTAGATGGGTTTAATTAATATGTAAATACACTTGTTTTGTAATAAACAGTGGTATTTTGTTATTTAGTGACACAAGACAACTATCATAAATATTTCATATTGGTAATTTTAGTTCCTAAATCGTTTAGTAGAGACAAGATCAATGGTTGCGGGCTAAACAATTTCATGTATTATAAAAAATAAAAATAAAAAAATTGATAGAAAAAACTTGTGCAAAATACCAGCTATTAAAATTACATCTATTATAAGGCATCATTAACAAATTTGTTTGATTGAATCTAAATGAGTGTTTACAAAGTTTTGCGAATAGAGAAACGGCTTTTAAAAATTGATTAAAGAATTATTTAATGTGTTAAAGAACAACATGACAAAATTTTTGTCTTAATATATAATAAAGTATTCAAAAAACTTAGAAAACATACATAAAATGTATGTTAATACCTTATTAAATATTAATTTAAACATAGCTTTATATTAGAAGTAATTTTTTTTAAAGATATTAGAGGAGTTGCCTTCGTAAACGCTTAGGTTGTAGAATAATCTTTCTGCTAAGATTTTTCTTAGATATTATAATGGCATTCTTCAAATAGAGCGTGATAAGATTTCTTAAAGATCGAGAACGCGCGCGTGACGTTGTGGTGTACTGGCATTCATAGGCTACAGTAACCCTGTTTACCATCAGACAGGCCGTATGCTTGCTTGCCACCATAGCAATATTAAAAAAGATTAATATGGATAAAATAAAATTTTTAGTGAATACAATATTTAAGTTTTCTGCTTATAATGAAACTCACGAGAGTTTCGATTTGTTGTAGTTTGCAAGCATAGATGGCGCATCGATCTTGTAAACTGCGTATGCCGATCTGACGTTTTTGGTTATTTTTGTTCTTGCCTCGTGTTTACTTTAGTGTCTAATTTTGGTCCAATTGCAAAAATTCAGTTGTGCAATACTATAAATGTTAATATTTCGTTCGTAAACGGTATTTCCGTATAGAACACTATCGATCCGCAATTCCGGACTAGTTATATGTATACAGTTTTATCACGTGGTGGTGTGGTGGTTTATATAATTCTTGTTTACTGCACAAGTCGAAACTTTGCGCATGTGCGTCCCGTCAGTAACCTCAAATTGTAGAGTAGGCACGGATTCGGCAGGTTCCGGATATCCGGGTCGCAACGCGGAGGCGGTGGTTCTCGCGGCTGGTTTGTGATGTGCCCTCGTGCAAGGCGTTCACGCCCCGCGAGTGAACAGCGTTGGTGATACGGTACGCGCGCGCCTGACATGGCCCAGACTCAGTTCACGCGGAGCTCGGAGAGCGACGCATGGGCGCTTCTGTCCCTAAAGTCGGCGCCGCCGTCTCCGTCCAAAGTGCAGTGGGCACAGGAGCCGGCGCCGATCGCGATCGCGCGGCTAGACGGCAGGGACTTTGAGTATGTGATCCGACAAAAGCGTGTTGTGATCGGGCGAAATTCGAGCCGCGGTCAGGTGGATGTGAACATGGGACATTCTAGTTTTATCTCCAGACGGCACCTCGAGCTCTTGTACGACCATCCGGAGTTCTATTTGACGTGCAACAGTAAGAATGGCGTGCTCGTGGACGGCGTGTTCCAGCGGAAGGGCTCGGCTGCGATGCTGCTGCCCAAAAGGTAAGTGCATCCGCGCCGCGCCGCACATGTGTCATCGTAGATAACAGGCCGGCCCCCTCGTACATTATTTACATGCAGACATTAGCTTTTTGTTTGTAAACAAACTTATTTGTTTATCATCTACCCACCTGTTGTTTTATAAAAATCACAATGATCCAAAATTGAATTTTGCCTATGTTGATACATGTGTACTGATCTATTTTTAGATTCTGTAAACAATGGAGATTTCCATGTGTTTCATGGTTAGCAATATGTGAGAAGTAAATAGTTCAATTTTCTATTGAACAAGCTATGAATATTAGTGACATCATATTGAAACTGTAATCACTGCTACTTGATAAATTTTGATATATTTATGTGTCAACAATGATTTAGCATTTTGATCAATAAATAAGTATGACATATAAAATATAATACCTATTATTTATGTCACTGGATGTTTATTTACAATATGTTCACATCCCAACTTGCATGAAGTATTGTTATTGTCTATAATATGGTATGATTACAATTTCATTATCTATTAATGACATTCAATATTATCTATTATTATTTAAGCAATAATGATTAACCTAATGATACCCATATTTCAATTATTGTTATTGAGGAGGAACGTTTTAAATTAAAAACTAAAGAGATTTTTGGATATTTATACTGCTCTGAGTGAATTAAAAAGGTTTTTTTTTTAATTTTATTAAAAGGACAATGCAGCTTTATGATGGTGTAGTGCAGTTCAAAGAGAAAGAGATAAAAGTGTCTTCTCTGTTACACAATTTTTAAAAGTGTGGCCATTACAAAAAGTCCAACCTGGTTCAGTGAAATAACTGTTGCCATATAAAAAATTACATTTAATAAATATAAAATGTTCTTAAGCTATAATTCTTTTAAATGTATATTTATTTCTCATAAAAAACTACCTATAGAGTAGGGAATTTAAAATCTTATGTACTTGATAATCTGAATGGTTTGGTATAGTAGGTGAATATTCTGTAATGAATAGACTATTGCGTCCCATAGGCGGACATTTTTACATTTTAAAAAGTGGCCATTATAGCGGCACATATGACGGAAGCTTAAAAATTGAGTAACTTCTCCTGTTTTCTCAACATTTCCCTTCACTGCTCTGCACCTATTGATCATAGCGTGATGAAAAGTATATATCCTGTCTAGAAGTATGAATAATTGTATCAAGAATATTTCGTTAAAATCCGTCGAGTAGTTTTTGTTTCTATAACAATGAACATACAGACAGACAAAAATTTTACTGATTGCATTTTTGGTATCAGTATTGATCACTAATCACTGCCTGATAGTTATTTTGGAAATATATTTCATGTACAGAATTTACCTCTCTACAGATTTATTATAAGTAAAGATAGATTTATTATAAGAAAGATAAAAAAAAGACTCCAGAGGAATAACACTTCAATTTTAAGAATGGAAATATATGACTGGTTCCTTTGTGGTATATTCTATGAAGTCTATTTTGGATTTTATGTCTGAAGACAATGTTTGTCCATCAAGTGGGCTTTTTTTTATGCAACTTAGAATGGCAAATAAGCTGACGGGTCATCTGATGGAAAGTGGAAACTGTCATCTATAGATATGAGCAGTACCATAGTCATTACAGAGTATTTTTTTACCCATGATACCCTCCCATGCATTGCCGTTCCTGAGGACTCAGTCAACTGTCTACTGCTGAACATAAGTGTGCCCTTATTTAGGATTTTGTTAGTAGTTGCTAAACTTGGCGGGCAGATCGGCTACTGCAGTTAGGCTCTGGTAATGTGTTAATAGTGATGTCACTGCCCATCCCTCTACTGTTTATATGAAATTATTGTTATTTATTATGAAATTTTTCTTACCCATCTCATTCTATAATCATCTCCAGCAATTATCAGAATCATTCTCTTTGTTTACATTATTATTTTTACAAATGATAATAATTTACAAAGCGCAAGCTGTGGATGATGCAATAATAAAAAAAAAAGTTGATTGATGTCCAAGTAACATGTAATAATTATGTTAACAATAAAATGTTCAGATTTCATTCATTGTAGAAATTTATAGGTACATTGAGTAAGACTAAATTTTTGTTAATAGATTATTTTTTCTTAGTTAGCATATAAGTTATGAATGGATGACCACCATGTTGCGGGGTCGGGGGGGGGGGGGGGAGGGATTATTAGTAATGGAGACTAAGAATCCCATTGCTAGCAATATATCCAACCAGGTTGACCTCCTCACGGTTCCACCTGGAAACTATCATGATTAATTCCTGATGAATTCATTATGATGGGCTAACTGGCCTGTTTTCATCCTCATCTATCCTCATCTCATCCCCATTAGCGCAGGTGGGATTACCACGCCATTTTCATCCAATAAAAAAAATACCTCCATGTTGCTTTACAGATTTCCACTATGAACTGCATTGATGAAACTGTTATGTACTCTGAACATATTCAGAATATATTCTTAAAACTGGATTTAAGTTTTAAAAGTATCTTTCGAGATGCGCTTTTAATTTATCTGTATTTTGGAGCATATATTTTGTATGGCTTCATCAACTTTATAGCAGTTTTTTTAATGTCAGTTGTTACTTTTTGCACAGCAAAATGTTATATTGTTTTCATAATAATATATTTATTTGGTACAGTTGTATTTGGTACAGTTCTGAGGAAAATTATTTGCTACCTAATTAAGAGTGATGTGATAATTACCATATTAACAGTGTTACAGACTGTGTGTATGTATATATGTATATATATATATATATATATATATACAGTATGAAAATAGCAACAATTAAACCCATCAGGAATTGTAGTCATGAAAATATATTATTTTGGAATATGATATAAAGTTATTTTATTTAGTTTTTTTTTTTTGTTTTACAAATAACATTGTTAATTTTTTATTTATTTAAGGACCTGTTATGGAGGGTTACATAATATATTTACATCATAAATAGATATATTACTAATAGTGATACTACCTTAGTGAAACCGCAATTAGAACTAATTATTCCTACTTATACAGTAATAACAGTGTGACTGTCCTACATTCTCATACCGTAAATACAATTGTGTCCATATTTGTAATTTCTATAAATACATAGACCTCTAAGTGCGGTACACTGAGTTGTAAATAATTGCCTTATCACTTGGATAATAATAAAACAATCCATTCCATATATTAGATGTGTGTTATCATTAAAGGCCATTCAACTTGTCTATGGTAATTAAATAAACCTATTTTGTCATTACCAATAATGCCTGGTATTGACACTGGTGGCTATGGCATTATTTTTGTATCACATCTCCTATATTTAGAACAGTTTTTCATCGTGCCTCCCACCAAATTGTTTAGAATTACTCCTCTCCATCTAAAGGTTGCCTGGAAGAGATCGCTCTTAGTGATAAGGTTGCCCATTGTTTTCTCATTGTTATTATTTCTTGTAATTTGTTTATATCTACAATAAGTTTGCTATTGTAATCTTTTGGAGGAAACAATAAAGAGTATCTATCTATCTATCTCAAATAAGAAAATTTTAATTCAATTTTTTTAAATTGTTTGTTGATTGTGTTACCAATTTAATGATTTTAGTAACTTACTATGTTTAAACGGCAGAATGGATGTGAACATAATTTTGTGTTCCAAAAAAAAATCGACTTCAATTATGGCGAAACCTGTTATTTAAATTCAAAAACTAGACCTCTGGACAGATTTTGATAATATTTCTATGGGAATAATCTTTAAGTATTACATTTTACATAAAAAAAATAATTTTTAAAATCAGTTTAAAGAGGGAGACTTCTTACAAAAGTCGATTGCTTGGGTACCTCTGTCCCATTCGTGTTTCAACCGTGAAGCAGTTGGTTTGCATGGCTGTGTTTCGGTTTGAAGTGTGGAATATGGCGTGAATTTACTGGGTACAGAGGAATAACACCTGAGTCCTCAGGAATGGCAACGCATGGGGGGTATCATGGGCGAAACAGTATACTCTGTTATGTCTATGGTACTGCTCATGTCTATAGGCAACGGTTGCCACTTTCCAACAGGTGGGCGGTTAGCTTGTTTGCCATTCTAAGTTGTATAAAAAAAAAGTTTACAATTGGAGTCAAGAGGTAATAAATATTAGAAAAATAACAGAATAGACAACCTCCTTTTTTTTATTGAAGTATGTTTGAAATACAGACCAATTGAGATCCTCTTCATTTTCCGAATTACCTTTAGATTGGAGAGTTAAACTTTGAGGACCGATTTTTCTGGTCTAAATCTGTGTCTTTTGGAAATTTATATATCTCGAGCGACTCTTTCGTCCCCATCATTAAATCATTAACCTCTCACACAGCAAATTGTAAACAAGAGTCGCGTTGTAAGTAAACTATGCTAATATCATTTATCATGTCTAGTGTGACAGATAAACTTACATAGTGTGACCTTACGATAAAATATTAAGATTGAAACATAATTGATGCCAATTTTGCCGTTTTGTTTACTAATCACATACTATTCTGTTAGAACAGTGGAAAAAGGATTGTTGGTGATGGGGACTAACGGCCCCATTGCTAGCATTATACCCTGTCATGTCGACCTCCATGAAATTTTTTATGGAAACGATCGTAATAAATAAATTCGTCATAATGTGATAACTGATCTGCTCCCATTCTCGCCTATCTTCATTCACAGGAGTGGAGGGGGGAGGGGGATATTAGTAATAAAGACTCAGTCGCATTGCTCTAGTAATATACCCTGTCAGATCGACTGCGTCACGCGGCCCCCATGGAAACAATCGTTATTGAATTCGTCATGATGGGATCACTGACCAGCTTTCATCATCACCTATTATCACTTACTGGTGCCTCGCTGGCGTATGACACGTTTGATATTCTATCACAAGTTTATTTTTATTCTTTAATTACTTATTTTTTTTTATGTATTTTTATGTTTAGACATTGCTAGTTGTGCCTAGTAGCTTATTAATTGATGGTTGATAA